GCTGCAGCAGCGGCGCTCTGCTTTATTCTCGCTGCTCCTGAAACGGCAGCAGCAGCAGCAGAAGACTAGTCGGGCAGTCTCTCTTCGAATACGGTGTGCAGCTGCTGCACACACACACACAATAATACTCGCGAGATATAGAGAGAGAATTTTATTATTACGTTTAGGCGGCGACTGCTGCTGACACCCCCTCCGTGTGTCAGTGTTTTGTCAGTGCGTGGGTGTGTTTTACTGTGTATACACATACTCGAGTCATCTTGATCGTCAACAAGGAGCTATCCGAGAATCGCTGAAAGCTCTTGGACGCGCGCGCGCGCATACACACAGATATAGCAACAGCAGCTTTCGATAGCGCAGGAGCAGCGGCGGGGTTGGTCGCCTCTAGCTTTCTGCTATTGTCAAACAGGATTGCTATATGTAGATATATCGGTGTTGTGCTTGCGATCATACACACTACAGAACTCTGACTGCCTGCCTGCCTGCAAGCTCGATGCCCCAACGCACGGCGCGTTCGAGTGTGTGCGCGCACAAATTCTGCCTCTGTCTCTCTCCGTGGCACAGGTAGTTTTGCAGCAGCAGCAGCAGCAGCAGCAGCTGAGCAGAGATTAGTAGTAGCATAGTAAGCTGTCGTCGCGCACACGTGACCACATCGAGCTTGCGCGCTCTCCCGGGGAGCCATGATAAAGCAGAGCAGCAGCAGCAACGCAAGCGAGCTTCTGCCCCTCGTGGCTGAGGAAGAGTCGATGGCTGATCGCTACGTGGCTCGTGCTAGAGTCGCAGCAGCAGGGGCGACTTTGGCGATGATCGCGGAGCCGAATAAGAAGCAAAGATTCGCTGCCAGCTAGTCGGTACTGATCGACAACAACAACAAACAATCGCCGCTGCTGCCCCACCACCATCACCACCACCATCGTCAACACCACAATCACCACCACCATGCGAGCTGTCGTCGAAGCTCGCAGCACGACGCGCTGTCGCACATGTTTCCGGATGAAGCGATCAGCTATATAATGACGAAAGTCAGCGAGTCGAAGCGAGAAAAGTGATTATAATTTGTCGCAACTAATCGAGCTTTTAACGATATGATATATGTTACAAAAAAAAAAAACGATATGGTGTTTACAAAAGTGTACCTTAGTGTGTCTCCGTGTGTGTCCTGTATAATAAATATTCCAATCGAAAGCTGACATTATATAAAGTGCAATAAATGTACAAAGAAAATAAAGTGTAAATATAGTTTTTGAGTATCTTGAAAACTGTGCAATGCGCGCGTATGTGCGCGTGTGCGATTCCGTGAAAGGCCTATCTAGTGTACAGAAGGAGTATAAGCAAATACTGCTCACGCATGCTGTGTGTCAATAATACGTGCAGCTGCATATGATTGGATCTCGTGCAGTGTAAAATCAATAACGCGTGTGAACATCGTTTTCGAAAAATATTTTTCTGTGTTTAACCAGTGCGCGTTCAATTAATATCTATCGCGACCGCAGTGAGATTCAACGATCATAATAATTGTTGTGTTATGTGATTTTGCGGTCGACCGCAAGGTGAAAAATAACGCAAAAAAAAAAAGATAACGTGTACAGTGGAGAAAAAATTCATCATTCCTTGTATAGCAGCAGCAGTGATTAGTGCTTTGCGGTTAATAAATAAGTAATATATAGTTTATCGAGCGCGCGGTTAAAGGTCTCGAAGTTTGAATTGGCGCACCGTTGACACACACGCGTACATACTATATACAAACTCCACTGCTCTGCTGCTGGCACAAAGATGAAAGAGTCCAAGATCGCCGCTGGCTCCTTTTCAAACAGACCTATTTACAGCCGGACAATTTTCCTTGCGAAAAGGGAGCCACAACTAGTGGTGTAGCACCGGGTCGCTCGATCCATTCAGCGCGTCGCTCAGAAGAAATAAATACGAAATAACGAACGAATTGCGCTTAAAGTGGGCCAGTATACGAAAATAAAACGCGCGACAACTAATGTATTTCTTATTCAAAAAGTAAAAGAAGAAAAAAAAGAAGAAGAAGAAGAAGCAAAAAGTAAAAAAGTTGAGCGAAATTTTTCAAACGAGGACAAGAGAGAGAGAGAGAGTAAAACAAGTGAAGTTGCTGCTGATGGCGAGGCACGAGGAGGAGGAGAAGAAGAAAGAGGACTACCACTCGAGGAGCGAGTGGCGATAAATGAAAATAAAAAAAATTATCATGCGAGGGACCGAGAGGCGGCGCTCGTCGTCGTCGTTGTCGTGCGGCCGGGCGCGCAAGCGAAAATGATTATTCGCGTCGCGCGCCGTCATTGACTCCGATATTACACGCTGTCTCTCTCTCTTTCTCGTTCATTATCGATAAAAACAACAACAACAACAGTGAGCCCTACTCTGATTTTTCTCTCTCGCTCACGGCCTTTCTGTACTGTTACTACCCTCATCCCGCCGCTCATCGTCATTTATCATCGTCATCGGTCGGTCATATACGCTGCTGCAGACACAAAGACATACATAGACGCGGCGAGTGCAGTGTGTGTGTTACGTGTTACTATAAATATACTACACAAGAGAGAAGTCGAACGCGTGTGCCACTACTCCCCGAGCTTGCAGCAGGTGTGTGTGTATATAAGCAGCATCAGCAGGTGTCCCGCCGAGCCCGTAGCCCCCCATCAAGCAGTGTAGTATGGTAGATGCAGCCGGATGCTCCTCGAGGACGGAACGCGTACCGAGAAGGAGCAGCGGCAGCCGTCGGCCCGCCGGCAGAAGTCGATCACGAAGCAGCAGCAGAGCCAGATCCGCGCAGTCGCCCGCGCGACAGCAACAACAGCAGCAGCAACAACAACAGCCGCAACAACAGCAGCAGCAACATACCCATCGACAGAGGCAGCCACCTCCGCCGCCGCCGCTCCCAAAAGAAAGTGTTCACCATCATCACCATCATCGTCATCAGCATCAACATCAGCATCAGCATCGGCAGCGTCGAGCTTCGAGCAGCGACGGCCGCGCATCGGGCTGCTCGTCCTCGACGCAAGGTGACCAGAGGCCCCCGCGTCAGGCTCGCAAGTGGCGCACCTACTTCGACCTGTTCTCGCCCGTGGGCAGCTACGAGGACCTCAAGACCCTCCACAAGAAGAACTGCAAGAACTACTTCTGCAGGTGCAAGCGCCACGTGGTGAGCGAGATCTGCGTCAACGGCACGCGCAAGCTCTACTGGTTCAACGAGCGCGCCGTCGAGGACAAGGGCTACTACTACAAGCTCCTGCGCCGGGTCAACAGCATTCTGCACACGTGGGCGGTGCGCTACATCAACGGCCTGAGCCAGGCGGACAAGCGACGAAGGGCCGCGGTGATGCAGCGCTACTATCAGGGCGCCGTCTCGTCGGCCTCCTCGGCCAGCGGCCGCGGCAACATGAAGCTGCTGAAGGAGGGCTGCTACTGCCACTATCATCCGCACATCACGGCGGACGTCTGTAACGCGGACTTTCTGCGACGCGTCGTAAGTAGGGATCGGGGCAGGCTGGCTAGCAGCGACGACAAAGACGATTTAGACGCGTTCACGCCCGCCTGGATGGTATACATGAGAGATATAACGATTATTATTCAGGCCCCCCCTTTTTTATTAACGCAGTCACGATCCTGTTTTCTTATTGTACACTTTTTTTACTCTTTCACGTCGACACACACTGTCTTTCTGTTGTTCCCGGGTTTTCCTTCGAATAATATTCCCATGCGCCGCGTACAATGCCAATCGAAAATCTGTAATCGCTCCATCTATGTCTTCTACGTAACGTGTGATCGATTTTCACTGCAGTTGGCAACTCACTATCACCCTTTACCTGATTTTCACCACCCGACGCACGTCGTCTTTTGTACAATAAATGATCTCCCTTGTATCACCTCGATTATTACACTCTATCGCTAATGAGAATCGCAAAGTTAAAAAATTTCCAAATATCAATGTGTGGGTGTATGTGTACCGTTCGAGCGAGGTTGAGGCCCTTTGAAAACGACGAGGGGCGAAAATTTCAGGAACTCGAGACGCCGGTCTGAATCAAAGTTTCGGTCGCGGTATAGAGTTGCAAAATTCGCTGCAGGCGAGACGCCGAAATATCATTAAAAAGCTTTTGGTTACAGAAAAAAAAGGGGAAGAAAAAAAGTTAACGTGGAAGATGTTTTAAAAGTTTGGAATTTCATTGGATTCTCCGCGATGTGTGTGCACATTAACTTCAATTTTTAAACTATTTTGCAACTACTAAGATCATTTTAACTATTGATGTATTTATTCATTGTATATGTCGTAACTCATATTTTAATGGAAACATGTAAGGAGATACACCTGCGCTTTTTTCCTATAAATTAAAAAGAATGCAAAATGAATTAAAATTTTTAGATTGTTACTATTTAGCATAAAATTACGTTAGTCTGACTATTTCTAATCGATAAACGATAAAGGGCGGTTTTTAGCAGAAGGGTCGAGAGTTCCAAAAAATGTGGATTTTAAATATAAATTAGGATAAAGAAGGGTGAAAAATGAAAAGGGTGACTCTTATTAATTGGTCTTAAGTGGTAGCTTAACTGCTAGTTCTTTCCTATCACTGTCATGCAAGTATAATTTTTCATTTGACGAAAATTAATAATGTGACGTCTTATTTAATTAATATATCATCACAGATATGGCGTTTATTTTTATTATTACTTTTTAATAATAAATTTTCAAAAAATTCTGTTTTTTTGGTTTACACAAAGTTCAAATCATTTTTTAAGAAAAGTTTGTAAAGTGACTTTGATGCAACCAAAAACTTTAGGATTCGTTGCATGTTTTCTTTACTTCATGAAAAGAATTATTATTTCTTATTATTTATTATTATTTATTTCTTTCTATATCGTTTCTTTTGCGAGGATTAAGTTTTAATTTTTTTTTGTTGAAAATTTGTAAAAAAAAACAAAATAATACCACACAAATTTATTACAATGAACTAGAATTTATTTTCGATAACTTACATTAAAATATTTTCTTGCAATTATAACATGATGTTAATTCATTTATATGCCGAATGAATATGTGGACTTTAAGATTCCTTGAATTTCAAATTACATTCCATGAATGTTACATGAATAAACGATAGGGCACTGAATATATGTGATACGATTGCGCATTGAATCATCATGGACTTTAAAATAACTCTTACGTGCAGATGTCTTTCGTCAGTTCTTATGTAAATTAACATCGAATGCATAGAGACGATAGAGTATCATTCATTTCTCAATAAGGTTTTCTCTGATTATGCACTGAATCAATATGAATTTTCAGATTACCTTTTTGTGTAAATGTCTTTCCACATGTGTGACATGGATAATTGATACAATTATGTACTGAATCGATATGAGTTTTCAGATTACTCTTTTGTGAAAATGTCTTTCCACAAATATGACAGTTGTAAGGTTTCCAATCATTATGCACTGAATCAATATGGACTTTAATGTAATCCTTGGCTGCAAATGATTTTCCACAAATCTGACATGGGCGACCGATACCATTGTGCACAGAATCAATATGGATTTTCAGATGCTGCTTTTGTGAAAATGTACATACATCGCAGTCATCAGGTTCTAGACCATTATGCACTGAATCAACATGTATTTTGAGATAACTTTTTCGAGCAAATGTCTTTCCACACGTGTGACACGTGTGTTTGATACCATTATGCACCGAATCGATGTGTAATTTTAGACTACCCTTCTGCGAAAATGTCATTCCACAAATATGACATGTGTAATTGATACGATTTTGTACTGACTCGACATGGGTTTTAAGAATACTCTTTTGTGCAAATCTCTTTCCGCAAGTGTTACATGAGTGATTGATTCGATTATGCACTGAATCAACATGTATTTTGAGATAACTTTTTTGGGCAAATGTCTTTTCACATGTGTGACATAGATGATTGATATGATTGTGTACCGAGTCGAAATGGGTTTTCAGATTAATCTTTTGTGAAAATGTCTTTCCGCATACATCGCAATTGTGAGGTGTTAGACCGTTATGCACTGAATCAACATATATTTTGAGATAACTTTTTCGGGCAAATGTCTTTCCACATTTTTCTTGATATTGATCAGACAAATTGTCTACTTTGACAGGCACTAAGTTATTCTCATGAGGTTTTTCATCTTTGCACTCAAACTCGATTTTAATTTCTTGGTTAGATTGAAATTCATTAACTCCTTGGTAATCTTCAAACATATGAAACTGTTATAAAATTGAAGTTTCATAAATATTTTCTTAAAATACCACAATTTAAATCAATTATAGTTACTAATAAACTTACGGTACTCTCTTGCAGATATTTAAAGTATTGCACATTTTTAGTATCTGATGCCTGGTTTTTCGTTTCTCTACCATTATTCTCATTATAACACGAATCATAAGGCTCTTCTTTTATTCTGAAAATATCGATTGAATTAAAAATAACACTCGTTTATTTATTATTTTAATTTTCACACTGATAATCACCCGGGAGAATAGTGGATTGCACCACTGGATTTCATTTTGTTGAATCAAAAACTAGTTTATACTTCTACACATTGAATGTAATTAAATAAGAAAGAACCAAGCGATCTCGAATGCTCGAAATGTTTACAAATATTAGGCAGCATTAATACCAGCAGATGCAGTCAAGGTGATAGAAATTATAAGAGCAGACGTAATAAACATGATGCGGGATTATAATAGCTAAGAACTGTGATATTTGTAAATATCATATTTGAGCAGAAATTTAAACTATTATGAGGAAAATTGAACAAAAAACGAAATAAACGCGAAAAAAATGTTTATCGAATAGAAATCATAAATTTATGATCATGGAAGTTGAATCGTACGCCAATCCAAATTTAATCCAAGCCCAGAAGGCAAAAATCGACATGAACTATAATCGCTGAGAAAAAATTTCAATTAAACTCAAAAAATGTTGTGCGAACTGCGAGTTTTTGCATGTTTTTAACTCCTCTATCTTCATAGGAAGCTTTATAAGTTGTTTCGAAAATGGTTTTTAAACCAGCAGTCGTAGCATAAATTTTTTACATCTTTTGTTAACTAGTTAAAATCGCCTTCAGCTCACTCTATAATCCCTCATTTTGCTAAAAACCCCTTAACTACACCCGTTGAAAAATATACTATTATAGGAGGAAACTTTACCCGTGTATTTTATAGGAAAAAACTCAGGTGTGTTCCCTTGCATGGTATACATTATCACATAGAATACTTTATTTTTCAATTATTTGAGAGTAAGATTAAATAATGATAAAAATTGTCGTACTAGCAATAAATTTAATTCTTTCTAAAACGAGTTTTTTACTTGTATTTTAGTTGTTTATATCATTTACTTTAGAATGATAGCGTGATTGGCATTCAATTAGACTTTTTCTACATTAAAAAGAAGTATAATATTTCACATGAATTTATCGAGTATTTTATTACAAATATTTTGACCTTGGGAAGTACATGAAAAAGCTCAACAAAGTAGATGAAAATATTCAATTACAAAGCCCGAATCAAAATCACTTGTCGTTTGAAATACGATTTGCATGCCGTTCCTTAATTCAAGGTCGAGAATATACGCACAAATATCTCTATACAACGAAATAGAAATAAAAAAAAAATCTGATTTTCCTCTCTGCTTTTTTTTTTCTTCGAGCAGATGTCGGACGACGACAGGATGTCCCTGACGACGGCGGTGAGTGACGACGACGACGGCGAGAGCGCCGTCAACTCGCCTTACCGCGGCAAGCAGACGGGCCAGGCGGCCGCGTCCTTCAATTGCACCGGTGCGGTGCGCAAAGCTGGGTAAATTTACGCCTTTTTCTTGTTATTACGGAGAAATGTAATTCGTTACCCTACGCGTATACATGCATCTAGAGATATCACGTACTACACTACACGTGGCTTTGACAACCTGTGTTTTCGAGCTGTAAAACACAAAACTTTTCTGGTGCTCAAGGTGAAACTTTTATCTAATTTTTTTTTTCATGAGATGAGTTGTAATTGCGTTTGTGCTCCATTATATACGCGCGACGAATGAGCAACGCGTATCATGGGATTCTGTCTCTCTACTTTTGTAGGTGCTCACCCTGGCGAGCTCACTGCAATTATAAACGCGGTCAAGGATGTGTGCTATGAATGTTTTTTATTATTATTTTTTTTTCTAGACTTTCCACGCGCGGAGAGTAAGCCAAGGGATTCTATATCCGTTGTTGTGCGACGTGTAACGCGATACGTTTTTACGCAACCGAGGGAATACATTGAGAATGTATAATAATGAAAAGTGAATATAAAAGCATTCCTCGTAAATTTGTATGTATTTTCAATAAAAAGAAAAGATTATTGAAGAGCGCGAACTTTGTCGTTTATATATCGTCGGTGAGTTCGAGTGCACCTGATTTCTCAAAAGTATAAACGCGATAAATGAAATATTCAGAATAAAATGAATTGAAAGACACGTGTCATATAGATATTGATCTACATATATTCGAATATAGTTTCGCCAAAAAAATCCGTTTTTCGTCGAGGACACATGCCAAGTCTTTTTGAGTGGCTCTCGGCGCGGGGGCACTATGTCAATTAGAGTCGAAAAATCGCCTAGCTCTCTAGCTCTCACTCGCGCTGGCTTCGAAAACATTTCAATTAAAAAAAAGTCGAATACGAAAAAGTGAAAAAAAAAAAAAAAAGAAAAAGAAAGTCGTGTGCGTCAAAACGATCGATAGCACTGTATCCACTAAAATATCAAATATTCTCGCACAGCTTCCTGAGCGTGAAGAAGTGGCTGCTGCGCAAGAAGCACCAGATCGAGCTCGCTCGCAAGCGCGGCTGGAAGGGCTACTGGGTCTGCCTCAAGGGCACCACGCTGCTGTTCTACCCGTGCGAGTCGCAGGAGAATCGCGCGGTGGAGACGGCCCCGAAGCATCTGATAATCGTCGACGGGGCCATCATGCAGCCGATACCCGAGCACCCGAAGCGCGACTACATCTTCTGCCTGAGCACGGCTTTCGGCGATGCTTATCTCTTTCAAGTGAGTTCCTATACAACATATAATCTTGTGCGACGCCTCGACGCCCGTGTGTACGTATACCTTATAATAGCAGCAGCAGCAGAGCTCTGCCCCATGTTTGCTCGCTCTTATCGTATACAATATACATGTGTACATAACTAGCTGCCATATATAGGGTACTATGTAGAGCTTATAAACATAGGGGCTCGCTCGGTCGGGTTTTGTTGACAGACCGCCGCCCGTGCGCGCGACTGAGGCTTTGAAATCGAGGAGGAGGAGGATGAGGCTTGCACTTTTTTTCCACGTCTACGAGCAGTAGTGCCGCTACTTATTACTGCACGCCAAGCGGCTGTAATTGAGTCCCATCGTTTTCTTGGGTACATGCGATGCACCTCGAACGTCATTCTTGCCTTCGCTCTCTCTATAATCTTCCTATATAGCTATGTATACGAGCTATTATGAACTTCTTTGCTCGCGAGCAATGCGATTTAAAGTCGATTTAATTTTTCCGAGCTTCGGAACGAGAATCACACCGGCCGGTAGTGTGTATGCTCCAGCTCGAGTAGACGAGAAGACTTTTTTCATACAAAATACAGTCCGGCTGACTTGCAGAAAAAATTACATTTACAAAATATAATTGCAAAAGGCAAGTACTCTGCTCGTGTACTGTGCGTCTCTCTCACTCTCTCTCGTGACTCTCGAAATTTTCAACTGCCACAGGCTCTTGTAATTTTTCCGCACTTCGTCTAGACTCGGTAATACGATTCATGAAGTGTACTGGTCGTGTATGCGCGCGAAAAAAAAAACGCGTTAAAATGGAAGAAATAAAAAAAAATTGTATACGCGCGAGCGCGAGTTGTGCAAAGGACTTCTCTTTACGTTCGTTTCCGATTAAAAATGTAGTTGAGAATGAAGAAAGAAAAAGAAAAAAATTTAATCACCGCTCGACGCTAAAAGAGTCCGGTACACAAGAAATCCCAAAGATCGATTTGCGATTAAAGCTGTATTGTTAAAACTATATGTGTGTGTTTTTTTTCTGCCTCCCTCAAGGCTCCTTGTCAAGTGGAGCTGGAGAACTGGGTGAACAGCATACACTCGGCGTGTGCGGCGGCGTTCGCGCGCCACCGCGGCAAGACCGGCACGCTCCATCTGCTGCAGGAGGAAATTTTCCGACTCGACAAGGCCATCGAAACGGTAAGTATCGGTGCAACAAAATATGCCGATCACTCACATACGCATTCATTCAATCATTTTCTATATCGCAAAAATCATTCGCGAGCTTTTAATCTCTATCAAGTAATTCACACGCTGCTCTTCTACCTACAACCCCCTCTTTACTTGTGATTTCTCCTGAATTACAATTGCCCGTCGCTCGACTCATTGCTTATTACATTAAAGAGAACGTTATATTTTGTTCAATCAACGAACAAAGTGCGATTGTGCGCAGGATCACAAGCTGAGACACATGGCCGATTTGCAGCAGTCCGTGGTGACGGACATCGACACCAAGTCGCAGATCAACAATCAGATAATGCAGTACGAGGAGAATCTCGAGCGGCTGCATTGCGAGCAGTTCCGGCTCAGGTGCTACATGGCCAGTCTGCAGAGCGGCGAGCTGCCCAATCCCAAGGTAATAATAACGATTATAATAATAATAATAATAATAATGATAGTAATTGCGCATGTAAATTGCGAATCGCGCGCCAACACCGACGCGCGACTCGCTGAATATTGCAGTTTTCGATTCGGGCCAGTATAATCTCGGCCGAAGGACGAACGAATTGAGCGGTATCACGTAATATCGTGCCCGAGCAACAGGTTTAGATGCATAACACTTAAATTCGCCCTACAGGATATTGTATGTGTATTATCAATGTGTAAACACGAGCTTGTACATACAAGCCTGGCATTCGGGAGCTTCGATCGAAATTTCGCGTGACCGGTCTCCATTAATACGAGGCGTGATGCATGATTAATATTTCTTTCTCGACGTGTTCATTCGTTAAACGGATGTACCGTGCTTTAACGAATTCATTGTGCTTCAAAGCTCGAGTATCGCGATCGTGTATTACGACATCCTTTAAGAATGCTCAATAATGCCCTCCACGCCAAAAAATGATCACTCGAAATGTTTTAAAAATATTAATTGCATTGAAAATGGCAAATTAACTGCTCCAGAAAATTTAAACCATGTTCAGCCAGTGGTTATCTGTAAATCTGCAATTGATAAAGAGAAAAAAACTGTTCAAGTCGAATCGAGATTTCAATAGTAGATAAAAGTCATCCATTTCTTCTCTTGTCAACCCAACAGAGTCTACTGACGCACGTTTCACGAGCAACGAAGCAGATGCTGAACAAGCTGGGCGTGTTCACGGTCTCGTCGTTCCACGCGTACATATGCGCCCGCAGCCCGTCGCTGCTCAACAATCTGCTGGCTGGACGGGGCGCCACCAAGCGCAGGCCGCTCCTCCTGTCGCGCTCCAACAGCGGCTCGAGTCGACGCTCGCTCCAGATATCGCGCGACGACGACAAGAACGTCGTCAAAGTCACTGTACCTGAAAACCAGGTATGATTTAATTTTTACAGTCGTGCGACGATCTTATTTTTTCTTGTGAATGTCTTTTATTTTATTTTTTTCTTGTGATTTTTTACAGCTCGTTTCCGTGTTTCTGAGAGACGGCATGACCGTCGAGGAGTTTCTCGCGAGCGCCTGCAGCAGGAAGGGTCTGAACGCGATGGAGCACTTTGTGCGCGTGAAGAAGCGCCGCGACATGGAGGATCACAATTACTTCGTGCCCCACAGATCGGACGTCATCGAGACCTACGTGAGCGACACAAAAAAGTATTCTGAATCAGTATCGCTTACGTCCCACTGACCTTCCGATTTTTTTTTTTCGCTACAGCTTCACACGCACGAGATCGTCGAGGTCTGCGCCAAGATCCTCTACCAGGTCGAGCTGCAGAGGAACACCCTCGACCAGATGTGGGGCTTCTCGGTCGAGGCCGAGCTCATCGAGAACGCCGACAGGCAGGACGAGCTCTGCTGCTACGTGAGCCGAGTCGAGGACAAGAGCGTGGCCATGCAAAACGGTGAGTTGACGAAGATTGCCGCCTGGACTAAATATGCGCGATGGCCCCTTCAACGATCAACGTACATATTGCAATAATCGTTATTGTTTATGTTGCTGCCACTTTGCCACGAAGCCTATACATGCATAATGCCTCAGCCATGAAAGAGCCACATAGTACAGATGAATAGACGCGAGGAGTGCAAGGGCACTGTGCCAGGGCAGTGCTGATATGTAGACGTGCACCTCTCTCTATCGCACCGCTTGCGCGACCCTTTTTCCGGTGACTTGTTTCTTTTTTCTTCTTTATCGCGCGGTTACATGTATATAATGCGGGTCAGGCTGCACACGAGCCACCGCGGGCGAGCGAAAAGCGCATGTCGTTCGTACTGCGAGCTTTTCTCTATACCCTAGGCTATGTATACAGCATGAGTTAGGGAGAGCTTTTGCAGCCATCGATTTCTTTTCGAAGCCGATCGAGATCATCTCTCTTTTAACTGGGTGTGTGGAATATGTATGTCCGCTCTATCGCATCAACAATATGCAACGTCGTGCTGACACAAACACACAAACACACACATATAATAATAATAATAATAATATATATATACGATTCGCTTCGTTGACGCGGTCATAATTTACCTCGGCATGCGTCTCGTCGTCGTAGTCATCGATATCTTCGTTTTCTTTGATGCGCGCGTTGACCTGTGCCTAATAGCTGCAGCACTGCTCACATACTACTATCAACGGCTGCAGCAGCAGCAGTTACACAGCTGTGAGAAATTTATCAGGGTCATCGGCGAGAGAGAGAGGGATATTTGCACGCGAGTATTATTCTTCTCTCTATCTACGTACCATTAGACGCGGAGATAAGCTCAATGCCAATCGACTACTGCCGAGCTATTATAATAAAAATAAATCGTGGCTTTTATTTTCATCTCGATCAATTACCGTCGTCTAGGCTTGTTATTATACGCGCTGACTTATTCGTAGGTTTTTTTTGGGAGGTGAAATCGTTCTCGAGTCTAGACAAAAATAATGTGTATCTCATTTTATATCGATTACTTTGCATTTGATTTCTTTTCTTTCCTTCTTTTTTATCAATTCTTGCGCTCGGTAACGAAAGTTGCCAGTATTTAATGAAAGTTTATTGCTGTTTCGAGAGCTTCTCTCTCTCTCGTGCGCCGCATCACGAGTGTTGAAAAACAACCGTTACATATGCACATGGCATCGATCAGCCGAGGGAGGAGTGGATTTGTAATTGGACGGTGCGGAGTGCTCGTATATATATCTTTATGCATCGCTCAAAACTGGCGCACGGCGAGGAGAGCTTGCAATCTCTTTCTCGTTTCACCTATTATACACACATACACACACACGCGCGTATCGGGAGAGGCAAGAAAAAAAAGATCGCTCCAGCTCGATTATTTTTCTCTTTCTCTCTCTTTTTTTTCTTCTTCTATATACTACCCCCGTTTTTCAACAGTCGCTATATCAAGTTCCGCACTTGATATCCGGGTAATGCTACTGTGTACATATACGCGCGCGCTCGCGCATTCAACCTAAAGTTCTTTTGTCAAAGCCGTAGGCACGCAATTCCGATGACGTATAAGTAGTATAGTCTAGAAGGCAGTGGTAACATGGGACTCTCGGAGCACATTATATACTCTCTTCTTTTTTTTCATCGCGTTTGCGTGCGTGCGTGTGCAGCATATAAGAAGATTGAATTCAATCTAAAGAATTCTTATACATGCGTCGCGCTCGGCGATGACGACGACGACTGTTGTACATGCAGCTGCTCTAATAGAATCTTAGTGTCGTTCGATTGATTCCGAATACGGTATTTATTTTTAAATAAAAAAAAGTAGAAGAAGAAGAACAGTCGATATTATATGGCAAGTACGTACAAGGCGAACCCTTTGTTTATCGCGCAGGATACGGCAGAGTACGCGGCGCTCTTTTACCGCGATGAAAATCGATAAAGGGGAGACAAATAAAATGTAGAATTTTTTCTGCATCGTTATTGCTCACACGTATGTGCGGCGGCTGTGCAAGGAATCGTGGCCTTGTAATTTTCTCCCTCGTAACTATATCACACATTTATAGAGCATCGCGCACATAATAAACTTGCCCCTGCTCGTAAATACCGCGACGAGACGCGCTTGCGCTGCAACTTACTACTTTTTTTATTTTCTACAGGCATAATCAAGGGCGACGAGATAATGGTGATCAACGGCGCGATCGTCAGTGACTTGGACATGATGTATCTGGAGAGTGTGCTGCAGGAGGAGCAGGCGCTGTGCATGATGATGCGCTCGTCGCGCACCGAGCCGCCCGACGTCACGGGCATCATGCGGGTGACCGACGACATCATCGAGAGCCTGGTGTGTCCGCCGCCGCCCCAGGACCCGCCCGTCATCAGCGAGGAGATGATCTCGGGCCTGATCGTGCCGGCGCCCGGTTGGAGTGAGTATTACTATTAACTCGTTCATGATGCGTATCTTTTTTGTTTTTACAAGTGATGGATTTTGAAAGGAGACACCCGAGCACGGGATACGACTGAGAAATTTTGTGTGAACGGATCTGTGAGCTCGATATTTATGTAACACTTTACATGTTATTGTTTATATGAAACATCCAATGAATTTTTCAAAGTACTTGTACTCTATTTGAGAATTTTTCTCAGGAACAGCTCAATATTTCTTGATCAAAAGTTTACTATCATTTATTATTTATGCCTTGATCTACACAAAAAATGATTTATTTTTTTATTTTTTGCTACTATCTTTTCTATTCTACATGGACCGATCAAAAAAAGATGTGAAAAATCATGATCAACAGTTAATTTTAGATTGACGAGTCAGAAAAAACATGGAATTTGAGAAAAGGAAGTTATCACATGTACAAATTTTTAAAAAAACATATAAAAAGGTAGATTTAAAAAATTTTAATTGAAGCCAATTGATAAATTCAGATTATTTTATTTATTTTCATTGTAACATTGATTATTACAAAAGAGAATTCTGACATATTTATCAAAGATTAAGTTTTAATATTCATCACTTATAAACTGCAACTATGTTGTACTGTGTGACATTTTTCATCATTTGTTAGCTTCAGATAAAATTTCATTATCTGAAGTGTTATTTGAAGTGGAGCTCTGCTCTGTGGTCGCCAAGCAAATACGACATAAATCTTCACACATCAGCAGTTCGATGATAAGCTCACAGCAAAGGACTGGCAGTCGTTTACCCGTCAGCTCCCACAAGGGATCCAGTGCCCAACGTCGACAAAATCCTTGTGACATTGTCTCGCTCAGATACTCGGCACAAGCGTCGCTGTGACTATCGGGAAGCCCATACACCTCGTACGAGTGCGCGAACTTGTAGTAGTCTTCGAGTGTGACCAGTTGTTCCACATCTTCGAGTCGTAACTGCACCAAATCGTAAATTGACAGATCCGAAGTTATCATAACTTCTTTCCCTTTGCTCGTGAACTCTTCGGTCACGGGCAAACGTTGAACAAGATCCACCGACTTCTCGAACAATCTGAGCTTAGCGAACATTTTCATAATCGTCAGACCGTCGCTTCGTTGCATTTCGTATCCTTTTTCCACTAGGTGCTTGACGACGGCCAGAGCTGCAGAAACTAGTCTAAAGTAGAAAGTACCGCCAACTAATTTTATAGATCGACGATCATCAATCCAATTCAAACTCTGGGTAAAGTGACTCTCAGTGGGGAAGACGAAGTTAGAAAGCTCAGCACCATGATCTAAACAAAACTCGACCAAATGTGCCTTCCAATTCACCACAGCCAATTGAAGTGGTGTCCGTCCCAAGTTGTCCCGGGCGTCGACCTGGATCGGCCCATATTCGTCGTTTTGATTATCGAATAACATGATGGCTAGGTCACTATCCCTGTTACGTCGACAAATGATGTGCAGAGGAGTCGATCCCTCTGCATTGACCAAGTTCGGATTTGCGCCGTTTCTCAGCAGCAATCGAAAAAGCCGTACTTTATCGCTGTCGGACGCAGCCACGTGCAAAGGGGTGTTACCAAATTTGTCTTGCGCATTAACCTCCACCGTCCGCCAGAAGCCGCCGGCAATCCTGAGGAATTTGTCCGCCAGTTTAACATCGTCGCCGTCTCTCTCGCAAATGACTTGGAGAGGTGTCTTTCCGTTCTGGTCGGCCAAATTCGGATCGGCCCCGCTATTCAGCAGCAATTCGGCCACCCTCCTGCGTCCATGCTCCAGAGCCAAGTTTAACGGCGGATCAGCCGATGTTGTCGCGAGATTATCCAGATCCACCCCGAGCTCGAGGAATTTCGCGACGATACTTCGGATGCCATACTTGCAGGCCGCGTGGAAATGTGTAAATTCAAACTCGTCGATGTAATTCACATCGAATCTGTCGTAAATTTTGAAAAGCTGGCGAACCAAGCTCTTTTTTCCGAAAATGTCCTTACTTCTACTCACGTGATGCAGTGGTGTGGTGCGATTCAACTTTGGCTTGCCGTCTTCATCGACGTCGGGATTGTCTTTGTAGCCGGTATGAGCCACAAACTTCATGAATCGTTCTCGTAAATACTTTCGAGTCTCTTCGGACTCGTCAGTTGCGGCCTTTGTCAGAAGCCAAAAAATCTCTTCGTCTGCGAAAAAGTCTTGGAGATTTGGAAGTTCGCCCGTCCAATAGCCCACTAACTCACAAAGTTGATTGAAAAATTTGACTCGCTCTTCTTCGACCTCCCAATTGACATTTTCTCGTAGGCTCTTCAATTTTTCAAATTTTTGATCGTTACGACGTTCCGGATTACCGTAATAAAAGTAGTCCTTTTCGTAACTGTCGTAGGATCCGCAATCATCACTGTCGTAGTAATAATCGTCATCGGAATTTTCTTCGAGTTCGCCATCGGAACTTCCTTCGGATTCGTCGTCGGCCCCGAACCAGAACATCGTTCAGCCCACTCACGCACTATGCACAGTCGCAAAATATATTTCACTTTTTTTCGCGAGAATCACTAGCTGTAATCGATGGGAATATTTCTTTGTTCCTGCGTTGTAACTCGTAACGTCCGACACCAAGATCTGTCGAGTGTAATAAGCGATATTGCTCGAGCTAAGAAATACAGCAGATGCGTGGGGAGACAAGCGAATGTACAAACGAGACAAAGGCACACACGACGCTACACGCATAGACGTTACAGATCGCCGCAGTGGAGGGGAGCTTGCTGACTATGAGCCGCATGGGCATTCGCAACGTGTGAAATCGGGTTTACTCGTTCGCTTGTTTTTCAGCACGGGGCGAATTGAATCTTGTCATCGAGCCTCCTTATATACTTTCAAGTAAAGCAATGTAGAAAGGCTCTGCCTTAAATGTTTAGGAAAAATAGCTTGGGCCTAAATATTGAAACGACGTCAGATTTCCTGCCACTAGTCGTTTGCAAAAACAGCCCTACCAATAGGTGCGATCCAGTTACAAGTAGCAACAGCGAATAACTTCTCGATTCTTTACTTCTTTTTTATCAATAATCCTTCTCCACATTTCATTTTTTTTTATTGTCACGGCAATTTAGATAAATTCATGTGTAAAATAACACACGCCCAAAACACACCAATATTTGTTTAAAAAGCATTGAAAAAAGGGAGGACTTAAAAAAAAACCAGCAAATTAATGAATTAATTTTCTTTTATTTATTTTAATTGTAACACTTATTTTCAAGCAAATGAATTTCGGAGAGCTGTTGAAGCTGTTACCAAAAAAAAACAAAAATTATTACTATTCCTTATATTTGCATATATTAAAGCTCCACTTTGTATATGACTTTTTAGAGCAGCAATTTATTGCAGGGTAGAATGAGTGATTGCGGCGCACTTGCGCCATTTTCACAATAAATTAATGATCCCCTTGTCAAGATCACATGTATGATAGTTCAAACTATACCTGAAGTTACAATCGAATTCATTTTTTTACAAAATAATTAATTATTTCATCCAAATATTTCTAAGTATGCCAAATAGACGTGCGCCATAATAGCACACGCGCTGCAATAGGTGTTTCTTCCGTTCCATAGAAAATGTTTCATTATCTGAAGTAATGGTTACGAGCTGGTCTCCAGCCGCCAAACAAATATTATACAAATCTTTGTTCGTAAATGACTCGTCGATGATCATGTCACAGCAATCGAACGGCAGCTGGTAGCGCGTCAGCTTCGCAAAAAATTCAATTGCCCATCGCCGAAAAAATTTTCTCGATACTTTTTCGCACAGATTATTTGTGTAAGCCGCAGGACTTTCATAACAGTGTCTTCTAGGGTACACATTAATCGTGCGCGCGAACTCGAAGCAATCCTGATATGTGTATAATTTCGCCGCCTGTTGGATTGGCAATACGACTAGGTCGTACAGCGATAGATTCGGACTTAACATCATCTTTTTCGCTTCGTTACTCAAGTAGTAAGGGTGGTTTCTCAAAAATTCAACGTGCTTTTCATTCAACGGCGTCTCAAACAATTCATACTTAGCGAACACTTTCATAATTGTCATGGCGTCGCTTTCGTCCAACTCGTATCCTCTATTCTCAAGACGTTCGATCACTAACAGGAGGCTGGCTGCTACTTTAAATCCAAAATTACCACTACACCACGACGTAAAATTATTTTTAAATCTCTCGGTAAATTGACTCTCCGAGGGAAAAACGAAGCTAGACAGATCAGCTCCACGATCCAACAGAAACTCGACCATATCCGGTACGAATCTCGCTACGGCCCATTCGAGCGGTGTCCGGCTCAACTTGTCCCGGGCGTCGACCTGCACCAGCTGATTCATTTCTTCGTTGACCGTGAAGAATAGCCTCTCTATGTTATCATTGGATGTATCGCACATGATGTGCAGAGGTGTCTTTCCGTCCTTGTCAGCGATGTTCGGATCGGCACCTTTTCTCAGCAGCAATTCGACCATTTTCGTTCTAGAGCTGTGACACCGCAGAGATAAGTGTAACGGCGAAGCACCTGTTTCTGGCACCAGGCAGTTAGGATCCTGGCCGAGCTCGAGGAATTTCTTGACCATGTCCACGCAGCCGTATCTGCAGGCGACATGAAAATGCGTCAACCCAAATACGTCGGTGTAGTTTACGTCATATCTGTCATATATTTTAAAAAGCTCTCGGGCCAGGGTATCAGTGTTAACGAACGAGTACTTGACCGTGTAATGAAGTGCTGTGGTACGACTCGAGGATGGCTTGTCGCCATCCTCGTCTATCTCGGGCTCGTCTTTGTAGCCGGTCTGGACCACGAATTCGATGAATCGTTCTCCTTGTATATAATGTAGGAGGTCGCTGTTAATTTTTACAGAATCCGAGAGAAGCAGTGCAATTTCTTTCTTTTGAAAAATGTCTCGGAGATCAGGAAGTTGGCCATTCCAGTTTTTCTTGATCAATGGGTCAATTTGACGGAGAAATTCAACTCGCTCCTCTTCGATCTCCCAATTGACTTTTTCTCTCAAGCTCTTCAATGCTTTTAACTTTTTTTGGTTAAGAGGATCGTTGTTGTAGTAACTGCTATTGGGTTCTGTGTAGTGCTGCTTTGACGCGTAATTACTGCTCATGATGAAACGCACTATTCACATTACACAATCGCTTACTAATTTAAAATATATAATTCACTTTTTTCGCGAGAATTGCTTGCTGCAGTCGACACGATAATCTTACGGTTACATCGATGTCGCAACGTGTACTGACTGTGCATGCATCATACGATTTTTATAGAAAGTGAAATAGAAAGTGAACGCGTACTACGCGAAGCTAAGTGTACAGAGATTCGTATATAAGAAGCGATGTACGTGCGTGTCGCTTGACAACGAGCAACTCCCACGCCCACACATAGAGCGAGAAAAACAGAGATACACGAAGCATGTACTATACATAGACGTTACAAAGTCATAAGCGCATCGAGCAGAGCACTGTCGATAATCTACGATTGAAGCGCTCGCTCGTTCGTTGATCAGTTATCTGTTCGTTCCCTGGTTTATCCTCGAAAGACTTGCAAAATGGTCGAGAAAGGAATATTTTAATATCGATATATTTTAACCAATTGTATGACCCTTATATGCCTGACTCAACCAAAATCTCCAGAACAATAAGTTCAAAAATTGGAAAACTAATACGGTTTTGGTAATGCAGAAGAATCTGAGCAATAATTATGTGCGATCTACAAAGTTCTCTTCTTTTTATAGGTATGGCTCAAAATTCGGGTATTTAGTAATTTTCTCAAAATTTATTGAAATGGAAGATGCGAAAAGGTTCATTTTTAAACACGTATGTGAATAGCGTGATAGGATTAAGATGATTTTTAGTCAATACATTAAAATTTATAATCATTAATTTTTCACATAAACTTTATAATTTTTTAATTGTACCAATCACTTCCCTTAGTTTACTTTCGGAAAGTGAAAAACGAAAATATTGAAAAACACATATCCTAAAATGTTATTAAAAAAGGAGGGCTTGGGAAAAATATTAAAATCGAAGCGAATTATCAAATTCAATTTATTTAATTCAGACTGTTTGTAAAACTTATATTTTAGCAGGAAAGTTTCAGAGAGTTTTTATACTAACAAATTTATCAAAGTTTAAATTTCATATTAATGACTTGTTAACTGCAGCTATTTTAGACCGTTTAAAATTTCTTCGTTATGCGAGGTTGTGTTAGTTAAAAAAACCCACAGTGACCTCATGAGCTATGACCAGAAGCCGCCAAGCAAATATGGCATAAATCTTCACACGTCAGCTGCTGATTTTTAAAAATGTAAAAGAAAACATTTTACGCACAAAGTTAGACATCAACTCCAGGACCAGAGAGTTTAGCCGTTATAGGTAAAGTTATACACTCAAGTTCGTGGGTGGGTGAATCGTAGGCCGATTTGCGACAAGTGATCAGGAAATTTTTTATCCATAAATGGATGTTTATAATATATAAAAAAAACATTTTTTCGTTGAACGATTTTTAATTCATCAAATATTCATCTTACAATACTCTTCACAGAGTAAAGGAATGTATGAAAAGATTGATTTTTAAACATAATAAAGGGTACTAGTATCTCGATGATACAGTTGAGAAAAATAAAAATAAAATAATTGAAAACTTTTATTTTTACTCCGTGACTGGCGTCTCCTTATACGATGTATTTATCCAAAATCAGTACTGCCTCTTATTGAATATACCTTTTTTTAATATAACGATAAATAGTACAGTATTAGTCAAAAATTTTATTTTTATGGTTACTCCAATTTGCTTTCACAATTAACTTTAGTATCTCTTCAATTGTACATTTAACTAATTGACACTACAACTGATTCAACTGAGGATGAAAAACAAAACTGAATACAGTATCAAAGAAGGGCTTAGAGTGCATCGCCCGCGGAGAAAAAAAAATAAAGAGAGACTCTCGCACAAGGTTAGAGATAAGCGCCTCCGCAAATTACTCGCAGTAGATGCGCGAGCAGCTGTACTTTATAATATGCAGTTCAGTATAGTCGAACTCTTTCGAACTGTAAAGTAGCACGTAGGGCACGAGGGGGGCTGCTGCTGGCTAATAAGTGTACGTCCCTTTTCTCTCTCTTTCTCTTTCTCTCTTTCTTATTTTCTCTCTCGCCTTTCCTCGGACGCGACGCACGAGGTCCGATTCCATCCCCTTTACACTATATGCCGCGCGGATAGAGCGGCGCGCACGACACAGAGCTCAATCGATATCGCTGACCCGGATTCGCGCGCGCGTCTCGCTCCGGCATATACATATACCCCCACGTAACGTACAACTGCATAAAGCGCGGAAAAGCGTCTATCGCCCGCGTGGCGCACTCCAAACGGATAATTCAGCGCTGCACGTATTAAACACTTTGTATGTATGCAGAGCTCGTCGATGCGACTCGTGCTGGTGCACCGCGTGCTGCTGCTGCTGCTGTATACCTTATATTTCGCTCGGCACCGGGCGGGCGCACTTAAGTGCAATTAACTCGCGCCCACGCGCTCCTAACCGATTCTGCATCACGGTGGCGTATCATTTATAGGGCGCACTACTATACACAAGTGCCGTCTGCGGCTGGGGAGGACGAGTTTTTTTGCGCGCGTTAATACACACACACACATATACCTTATATATACTTGTACGAGCTGTAGCGGCGGAAATTCAGCGCACAAAGTGCGTCTCGCGTGTGCGCGCGGGCGGGTATATAGGTAAACAGTGCGCCAGGGGGCCAGAGAGTACTAGTGCGCTCCCTATATGTAGTGCCACAGCTTGCTCCATATATGTATGTATGAAAATACGCGCGCACCTATGTATATGTAGGTCATACTGCTGCTGCTGTGCGCGCGTTCGAGAGCCGAGAGGGTGGGTGGTGTACGAGCAAGACAGAGAGAGAGAACTGCAAAACTGCCTGCCAAGCATATATCTATATCGAGCGCTTGCAGCACCTAGAGTGAGGTATATATATGTTAGAGAGAGAGAGAGAGAGCACATCTAGGCGGATGCCCTCCTCGCACGACGAAAGGGTTACTCGCTCCCGGCGAATCAGTGTCTCCTTAGCTGCACAGCACTATACTGGCTCGCTGGCAGTTGGCTCGCAGTGCTAGCCGCCCGCCCGCCCGAACGCGCGCGCAAACTCAGGCAGGCAGTTTGGCCATCCGCAAAACGCGCCAACGATGTAACTTCGCTGGCCAACTTTAGGCTGTGTCTTATCGTGTATAGACACCGAAAAGTCGTTTATTTCGAGTCGTCATTGTTTTGTTTTCGTCACAACTCACAACGGGCCCCGTAAAATAAACAGCGCGGAGTGCGGAGCTCCGATATAGCGCGCGGCGGCGAACGGGGCTTCGGAGTGTTGAACTCTCGCACTCGTTGTTCGGCGGCGGCCTCTCCGAACTTTGGAACGTTCCATGTGTACAGTACCGTAGTGGCAGTGCGCGCGCGCTCGTCCATGTTATATCCTTCAGCAGCAGTGAAAAGTGCAGCACGCGGATGGATTGATGGTGGGCGCGAGCCAAAAATCAGCCGGAATGAAAAGTCAGACAGAGATTTACAGTTTGAGCCATTCGTACAATTGATAACCGTCACCTGAAAAAAACCCCAAATCCGCCGCCCGCGAGCTGTTGTTGTTTTTAATGAATAAATGTAAACGTTTCGTGAAGAGACGTATCAACGCGCCGACAATGATAATCGTCAGCTGCATTCGTAATCACCAGAGAGGCTTACTAGGTTCGCACTTATATGCAAAAATAATAATAATATTTATCTTTACTCGCTCGAAATACACAACATTAATTTTTATACATGCACAATTTCATATTTTTTAATCGGTCTTACATGTGCGCGTGTGTTTGTGTGTTGCAGCCAAAGAGCAAGTGCCGGACAGCCTGAGCGCTCACGACGGCAGCAAGCCGACGTCGCGCGCCAACTCCTTCGAGATCGAGAATCTGCTCAAGACCGCGGAACAGGTGACCGGCATCTGTCGCTCGCCGGGCAAGGCCAGCCCGACCGGCAGCGTGCTCAGCGCGCACTCGCAGGCTCTGACACCCTCGCGTCAGCTCACCGACGCCGAGAAGCTCAAGAAGGTCATCCTCGAGCTCGTCGAGACCGAGAGGACATACGTCAAGGTTGATTATCTTTTATTTTATATTAATAAAACGACGATGGTATTTTGGAATGGGTAATTAACTTTTTACTTTCTTTTTACGTGCTTGTAGAATCTGAACAGCTTGCTGGAAAATTATCTGGAACCTTTGAAGCGAGAGACGTTCTTGTCCAATGCCGAGATCAATGCGCTGTTCGGCAATATCCAAGAGATCGTGGCTTTTCAGAGGCAATTTTTGCAAAATCTTGATCACGCAATCGAGGTCGAGCCCGAGTTTCTCAACTTCGAACATCCAAGTCAATTTAAGGTACGATTGATGTTCGATAATTTTTAGGGAATTTCTTACTAAACATGATAATAATTTTTCCAGGGTGTGCTGTTTTCCATTGGAAGTGCCTTCTTGTTTTATGTAAATCACTTCAAACTCTATAGCTCGTTCTGTGCTAGTCATTCAAAGGCCCAAAAAGTCTTACATCCGAGTAAGTATAAAATTTGTTTAAACAAATAAATTATCGCCAAAATAATTTATTGAAAGGTTTATAAAAAAATTTGAATCATCAATTCTATTTTAGATGAAGGAAATCAAGCTTTGCAAGAATTTCTTCAAGCTCGAAATCCGCGACAACAGCACTCGTCGACGCTCGAGTCGTATCTGATTAAACCAATTCAGAGAATATTGAAGTATCCATTGCTGCTACAGCAGTTGAGGAATCTTACTGACGAGCACAGCGACGAACGTCGACACTTAATAGGTAAGCGAAGAAAAATGTTGTGCTCAATTTTCTTTAATAAAAATTAGCGTTTAAAAAATTGTTACTAATATCGTTAAAATAAAACGAAATATAATAATAACGCGTAAATTGAACAGCAGCCTACAACAGCTAGGTTGGCCGAGCGGTCTAAGGCGCCAGATTTAAGCTCTGGTTCCCGTCTGGGAGCGTGGGTTCGAACCCCACACCTAGCAATACTTGGTTCCGATCTACGGGTCGGGATTCCTTTTTGATAAAAAAAACGTGACTAATTTCGTTCAAATAGAACCAAATCATTAATAAGGCGTAAATTGTGCCACTCTCTACAACAGCTAGGTTGGCCGAGCGGTCTAAGGCGCCAGATTTAAGCTCTGGTTCCCGTCTGGGAGCGTGGGTTCGAACCCCACACCTAGCAAATCTTTTGCGATTTTTTTTCAACGAGAATAATACTTTTTTACGTCCTCTTTTTGTTCTACACAATAATATCGTCAATAATTGTTTAAAATTTGTGTTTTTCAGGAGCACTTAATGGAATGGAGAAAGTAGCCGAACACATCAACGAAATGCAAAGAATCCACGAGGAATATGGTGCTATTTTTGATCATTTATTCCGACAACATCAAAAGTCTTGCAAACAGGTACGATTATTTTTCCTTTATTTATTGTAAAATTGTTGTAAAATAAAAGATTATTTAAATAAAACAATTTTTTCTTTCCTCATTTCAGTCAATCGATCTAAGTCCGGGTGATTTACTATATTACGGAGGCGTCGAGTGGCTTAACATATCCGACTTCTTGGGCAAAATTAAGAAGGGACTGGAGTTACACGCCATGTGCTTTGTCTTCAAATCCGCAGTTGTCTTCCTATGTAAAGAGAAACTCAGACAGAAGAAAAAATTGATGGTGAGATAAAACTATTAAGTTCGCGTTTCCGATACAAAAATTTATTAGGTCCCAAAGTAGATATTTTTGAAATTCATTAGAAGCGTATTTTGTGGTTTTCCAATTAATCAATTATTAAAGGATGTATGATATTTATAAACTAGCGTTACGTCACAATTACAGTACCTCTTCTCTTTGTTTACTATGATCCTAACAATATGTTCGTTGAAAATGCTATACCGTCGTTAATAATTTATTAATTAAAAAAATATAGATGTGGAAATGATTTTTAAAAATCTATGTTACGAACACGATGACTTTTTCCATGAGCAATAAAATACCACTTTAGCTCTTAATTTCAACTCTCTCAATGTCTCTCAAAACAGTTCGACCTGCAAGGCGGCTCGAAAGCCAACACCGGCAAGAAGAACGACGGCGACGTTGAGATCATACGCTACCAGGTACTGATACCCGTGACCGAGGTCCAGGTGCGCTCGAGCTCGGCCAAGGACATGGAGTCGCACTTCCTCTGGGAGCTCATACATTTGCGCAGCCAGCTGCAGCGCCGCTCGGAGAAGGTCTACGTGCTCTCGAACAGCACGAGCGACTTCCGCAACTCGTTCCTCAAAACCATCAGGCAGATCATTCGGGAGTCCGTGCGGAACATGAGCATACCCTCGACGAGGTAATTATACATACATCATACGTCGTGTTCATTTGAATGATTTGTTTTCTTTAAGAGAGTGAAAAGTATTGACTGTTCCTGCATCGAGGAGTTTTCCCAGCCCTAGATTAAAAAAAACGTAGTTATCTTCTTCGTTGAGTGTGTAAAACGTAATACCTGTGTGTTATCCAACCGAGCACTTCTTCCACAATTGGATCTCTTGAAAAAAAAAAAAAAAAAACGAAGCCAGAACGATCCTATCGAAACTCTATATACCTCTTCTGTAATCGATGATAGACATCGTTTTAAAGTAAACTTTGCTCTACTCTTCATGGGGCATGACGCCTGTGTCTTGATATATCTCTCTTGCATTAACCCCAGCACTACACCAAATTGATTGTCAGCAAATAAAAAAAACATTACATCAATCGCTCACACGATATTAATCTCAAGCGTGTGCAAAAGCAATCCTGCTCTCGTCGATTATAGGTCGCAGCAATTGGCGCAACAGACGATGACGATGGGCCGACATCACGACAGGAGCGATAAATCGTCGTCGGCCGCCACGAACGGCCATCATCCGTCGGTGCCGCCGAGCCTGCCCACGGGTAGCAGCGGTGGCACCGGCACGCTGTCCAAGAAGGCCATGAAGCAGCAGATGCTGTCCAACACCCTCGGCGCCCGGCGGAAGTACACGCACACGCGGCAGCCGATCGATCGCGACAGCAGCGAGGACGCCGAGGAGCTGCACCACCAGCAGATGCGCCAGCATCACGGCCAGCAGACGTTCCGCACCAGGAGCAAGACCATCAGCGACAGCAGCGGTGAGTCGAGGATCAGATTTCTTTTATCGAGTCACGTGAGGTCTGAACGATTATACTTTCGATATCTCGTATAAACGCATACATACACGTTATCGTGTATTTAAATCCGACTTCTTTTTTTCTCTCCTGATTGTTTACCTTGTGAGAGGAAAAATTTTCAATTTAATCTAAGCACGATCGGAGAATCTATCTACTATATGAAAAAGTAATAAAAATATCCGGAAATTAATCGAATTTCGTCTTTCTCTCTCTCGTTTCAAAAAGGTGAGACAAAGGTCGAGATGGAATCCGGCGCCAAGTCGGAAGGTGAAGAGGACTCGCAGGCGTACGGAGGCGAGAAGAAGACGAATCTGGGACGCACGCCGAATCACCTGACCCTTAGCACGACGTCGACGATATCGGCGGGCAGCACGGGCAGCCAAGCCAAGCTCATACAATCGTCACACCATCCGGAGAATTATCAGCCGGCGCAGATCAAAGAGCTCGGTAAGACGCGCTCGGCATGACGTGATTGTTGTATATTTATATGCAGCAGCGATGACTGACGCGTTTATAACAATCTTGTTGGCCTATTTAATTTTTTGGCAGATGGCCTACGACGATAATCGAGGCTGTATACGAAGCGAGGCGTACGACACACGTGATATTATACATACGTACATACGTATTAAACCGATTACGAGACGATATACGGCACGCGGCGGGTAAATTTTTTTTTTATACAGAAAATTGATTTAGATCTAAGATCTTTGCGGTGGATTAAAGTGTCGCCTCTATAATATAATGTACGTCCGTATCTATAAATGTCCGAATTTTTTGCCTTTACACACGAATGTGTATTATCACGATTACTTTCGTCTTCTTCTTCTTTTTTTTCTTCAAGTATAAACGCAAACAAATGAATCATCACTCGGCGCACGCGCCTATTATCGCGTCGTTGGTCGGGAGTCGCGGAGCGCGTGCCAGGCACAGAAGAAAAAAAATTCACTATCAACCGTTCGATAATCTTCTTGTAATCTCTCGCCTGTATCAATTTGACTGATTGTTCCGTGTGATTATAATTGTTAATCAATTGCCAGTTTGTTTATTTTATTTTAATTTTATTATTTTATCGCGTGATGAGCGAATTTCACGTACATCATCTTTCTCCTCGGTCGGTAGGATTAACAAGATAAATATGAAAGAAAAATTAGGGTACACTCGTTACGTCCATCACGTAACGATCTGAATAATTTTTTGCTCGTATTCTAGGTTCTCCAGTCTGGAAACCGCGCGAGCTCGGCGAGTCGATGACGCTGCCGCGCAAGGGCAAAGCCTCGGCCGCAGAGTTCGCCGAGGCCACGAGCTCCCTTCAGCATGGCGGCGCGTCCCGCAAGTCCCTCTTCGAGATCAACAATCACGTTTAAAGTTCCACACATGCAGACGTCGAAATTCGAAACAAATCACGACGCAGATAAGAGACAAAATACGACTTATGTAAACGAGGATCAATCCTCCTCGTTTAGTAATTTTTAAAATGTAAGCCAACGGTACGAGATTTGTGTATCTCGTCGTGCTAACGATGTAATTATAAATATACCTAACGTATATGGAGAAAACAGCACGTAACACGCGCAGCAATAATAAAAAAGCAAAAAAGGAAAAGAACTAGAAAGCTACGCCACGGTGCCGATCAGGTGCGAAAATGTAAAAAAAAACCAAAAACACACAACCACTATATGGGAAAAAAAGCTCAACGACGTACTTATTACATTATAGTAAAATAAAAAATATAAATAAATACTAAGTGTGCGTGTGTGCGACTGCGTGCGCGCGGCTTAGCAAAATGCAGAGGCCAACAGCACCAGCAGCATCGTACACGCGTCATGTGTGCGTGTGTCGCGTGAATGCGCATAAAATATAATTATGCATCCGAGACTTTCTTCAAAAATGAAGATGATGAAGGAGGGGGAAATAAACTTCAATCGTGCAAATATTTAAAAACGATTGCTGTCCGTGCTAAACGAAGCCCGCCCGCGCTTTAACTATTAACATATATGTACCGATACCATGTGTATACCAACGACTTCTGGTTCGAGATATATAAACCTCCTCTTTTCGATATCGCATACGTAAAAGACTTATATAGGATGCGACACTTATTAATATTAAAAATATGTGTTACCTGCTAGGCGCACGAATTTTAGCACACTCACGTTTACGAAGGCGCGTGCGCAAAACCCGTGAGAATCGTTACCGATTATCATACGATACCTTTGATAAGGTAATCTTGACACTTGTACAATGGGCGCCGTCGCCCCGTCTTCGTCACGAGCCGCGTCTATGTGAGGCCAAAGAACACCTTATATAAAATATTATAATTTTACGAAGTATAAATGACCGGTTCATTGTTTTTTGATATACATCGCGCTTATGTCGATGTACCCGAAATTCGACGCGGGAATTTTTCCCGCGCACGAGCGAATGAAGTGCTTGACCTTTATTCGATTGAAACCAGAACACTTCGTTTCTTAGAATTGATAATTGAAGTAAAATGAAAAAATTGCCAAAGCTGTCTAAATGACCTTGTGTGAAATAACTAGTCCCCGCGGGTACGCGCATCAAATTGAGCAAAGTAATTAACGAGCAAAAATGCGCGTGCTTCGTAATTGTAAAACGTTTATTTTTAATTAGATATCATTAAATTGAATATATAAAATGACTTAAATTAAGTCGGGTTATTATTAATTGTCTTCATTCTATGATCAACCATTTTCCACTTTTCACTTTGTTAATTTTTAAGATTACAACAGTGCCAAGTATATCATATAAATATTGTCTCAAGTGAAGCAGGAAAGGGGTTGGATGTTGCATAAATAAATAAATCTCATATTATCCTACCACGCGTACGTCGTTTAGATTTTTTTATGATACAACAACGAGTCATGAGTTTTTTCTCAAATCCTCAACAATGCACATTGGAATCTTACTACTCTATATTGTTAACGCAAAGTAAAGTAATATTTGGTAAATAGTAAAAAATAAAAGATTTTTATCGTCGGTTTGTTGGTACAATTTTTATACAAGTTCAATTTCTAATACGATTTAAGCAATTTTCCAATGATCTACATTAATAATATAGAGATGCTTGAAAGTAAACGAATTTGCTTCGATTCTTGTAAACTTTTATAAATTACGTAAGTATGGTTTTTGGACACTATATAGATTACGTTTCAACGGAAAATCAGTCTGAATTGAATTAATTTTTTTTTTTAAAAACCAAACGCATAAATCATATAATAATTTAAAATCATCAAATGTTACGAGTCAAGGTTTATAGTTCGAGTTTAAAAAAAATCGTATGTTATATGTTGGGATAATAAGGCTAAATTGAGGCGCCTCTTTTTTGGCTCGATACATTTTTTTTATATATTATATATAAAACCACGACCGTATCGTGATTTCCTTATATAAAAGTCATGAGAAAAAGCACATCAATAGTGAGAGGCATTATTGTATTAAACCCGATATACCCCCGATTTTATGGCCCTTTAGCGCAGACAGCAACGCGACAAAATGATGTAAAACAAAAGTGAGAACAAAAAAAAATCAACTCTGTACATATTAAAATATCGTAAGAATGATTGTTGCGTGTGTTGAAAGAACGATTTACATGAGAGAAAAAGAGAGAGACGCAAGTGATAAAAAAAAAGTGAAGAGGGGGTTTTACGAAATAGTGTGTCACTGAAAAAAATTCAAGTTAATTAAAACTGACGACGACGTAATCTTATAAGATAAATATTATTATCATAAAAAAATTCTTACATCATAATATAAATAAAATATACACGATATAGATTTAACTATATAAAACATTGAGTGTAAGAATTTGAAAAATCAATTAAAAAATCGGCAGTACATGCATGGCGTGATTTTTTTCCCAAACGCGCGTGCTAAAAAGAAATTGACTCGCGTGCGCGCGACAAAAATTGAGTCTCTCGACGACGGTGCCAATAATGCTGATGCGCGAAGTTTGCACCCACTCCCGAAAGTTAATTTATTATACACACTCGGGTGACGGGCGCGATTTTGCAGGGCGCAATCCTCTTGACGATGGCGTTGTCGATGCAAAAGAACAGATCTTCCACTTATTAAAAAAAAAAAAAATGAAAAGAAAAAAATTCAAAGGGTCTCTCGCGCGGCGGCTGCACTCTCGTTCGGTTGTATCTCTGCACCACAACACGGCTGCAGATTTATATTATTACATTATATTATATACGAAGACGAAAAAAAAACTTTCTGTGTCGAGCTCGAGAGTGCGCTTCCCCCGGGCGAAAAATAAAAAATAAAACGCATGGAATTTTATTTTTCACATTGCTTATTGTATAAACGGACCCGAGGACGCGCTCTCGAGGAGCGGCGGCGAATCGGCAAATTATTCTCGGGATAAAAAGAGGTAGTGGTGAGCGCGCGTCTTTAATTGTCGGCCCGAAGACTGGCGTCCGCCGCGCCGTGACGACCCTGCGTATCTCGTGTACCGTAATAGATCGTAATCTTATAATTGTGTAACGCGCGAATCTAGTCAAAAAGAACGAGTGAGAAAGAGAGTGAAAGATATGGGTTAGCAGAGCAATCGACGAAGAAATAAAGGAGCGAGGAGCGAAAGAGAGAGAAAGAGCTCGAAAGTAGGTGACGAATGTGTGTGTGCTAGAGCATGTGTTTCAAAGCGAAAAATATTTAAAAAATAAAAAACAAAAAATGGTTGTTGCAATTGATAATGTAGGTTCAGTGATAAGCTCTATATGTACCATTGCAGTATTTGCAGACGTCATTGATATACATTATACATGAAAAAAAAACTTAAAATTAAATTAAAAATAAACTAAACATATACGTATAGCGATTGATTCGGTATTTGTTACGTAAGCAGAAAAAAAAACAGACACACACATACACATTGTTAATGGGAGTACATTAATGGTTACTAGTGGACGATATCTATACGAGATTTTGAATTTTTTGTGTAAATCAGACGAGAGAAAGTATTCAAATATAAAGAAAAAAATAAAATTAATAATAATCAATGAAAGATTAATCATCGCACGTGCAGTACACGCACGAGGCGGGCGCGCGCGCGCTATATTAATTAGCTCGGCGCGCAATTACGCACACACATACACATTCCGGAGTATATGTATCGATATGCGTGTATACGCGTGTCTCTGTTTCGTGAAGCGCGCATATAATTATATTCGTAAGATATAAATATTAACAAAACAAAACAAAATAACATTGATCTGCGTGTATATACATACTCACTGAAAAAAAGTAACGATGTTAAAATTAGTGTCCCATACGCACGGCATTGTATCTCCGATAATATACGAATCTCGCATAAAAAAAGCAAAAAAAAAAATAAAGAAAATCAATCGATGACTGTTAGGCTGGCTTGAGAAAGTCAAAGAAAAATGACGATCGAATAATACATGATACAAACTCGTTTTGATTTTTCAAGAATGGATATTTTTTTGCTAATTTCTTAGCGTTGACTGATTACATCGATATAGTCATTGACAAAAAATGTACGATTCAAACACGTTATGTAATTATTATCTATATAGTATAATTCATAATTTGTAATAAAGGTGAGCGTACACGAGCCGCTGCGGCGAGTCATTCAAAAAGTGTAACAAAAATAATTTAAAAAAAAGAGGTAGTGTATACCAATTCTTAAGAAACGATGAAAGACCTTTGTCTCGACAATCACGAATGGGTCGGAGTTAGTTAAAGCGATATTATTGATATATTTATACTTTGTGCGGGAGAAGATGCATCCGCGTCTTCGTTCAATGTCAATGATGGTGAATTAGAAACCACCAAAATGAAAAAAAAAGAAGAAATTATTGGGGTTTTCGAGGATCTAACTCGGTCTTGATCGCATCGCTATTATCATCGATATTACACATGAATACAGACGGTTTAAAATTTTACCCGCTCGATCACACATCCAGTACTGTGTAAAAAAACAAATTAAAATCTCATAAAAATGCCGTGCGTAAGAAGGATTGATTACAGAAAAATGTATATTAATGAGTCTTGCGGATGAGGTTTCGAAGAATTTGTGGCAAGCATCGACGAACGACGCGAGAGGTGGAAAAATTTTTTCAATTTTCCGAATGAATTTTTAACAAATATTTATACGAAGGAACGTAACTATTAATTCAATGTTATGAGAATGTAGAGTTTTAACACGATTACAATATAGATTACTATATTATATTGAATAGTTGAGCTTATTTGTATAAAAGAAAATTTAATAACACTATTGAGTCCTGCTTCTTTGATCGTCGAAAAATTAAAACTCGTTCTTTCGTTTTTTTTAATCGAGCATAAAATTTCTATCAACGTTGAGTGATGGTGCCATGAGGATGCAGAATTACAGCGATTACGACGAAATTTTGACCCATTATCAATATAATGAAAATAATAGCATTAACGGGTGAAAATAAAAATAATGAAAACTGTTATCACGAGTGTATATTACAAGCTTAAAATATACTTTATGAATGTATGTTGCAATAATTAAAAAAAAACACAGTTTTTTGTGAACCACTGCAATGGAGGCATTTAGTCGCTGCCGCTGTACTTTCTCATCCTTGACCAATGAAAAAGCGAAAGAGAAAATAATACCAAATCATACTTTTTAGTACTTATTATTATGAAAAAAGGTAAAAAAATAAAAAAGCGATCGTACTCCCTTTGAATGTGAAACTATACGTTAAATTTGTGACGATTTTAAACGATACAAATTTACATACTAGCTATGTTATTGAATTAGAAAATTTAAATTTTAATATTTTGCGCTGATAAAAATAAAAATATAATTACGTATTTATAGAGAGAATATTCGATATTTCTAAGGTATAATACAATTTTATGAGGCGAGGAAGAAGGGTGTAAAAGAACCGAGAAAATCAATAACATGATGCAAAATCCTGCCGTATTCGAAGCAAGGCAAAAAAAACACGTACCTAAAATAATGAAAAATCTCTATGCTATAAACTATGCACATTAATCACTTATTAACTGGTGCGATGAATATTACGAGAGAATTATACGACATAATTAAACAAAAACAAAAAAAATACACTAAAAGTTATAAAAAATAATAATAAAATATAAAATATAAGGCAATATGTTCATTGACATCACGCAGTGTACGAGGTGAGCCACAACTCGGGGCCGTTGAGAGTTGACAATGTGACATTCTGTGCAGGACTGGTGAGTTGGATTCAGATCAACGCGAAAAAAAAATAAAAAAGTACAGACAAGTCCTGCGAATCGTACTCGAGAGCAAGAGATAATTGGATAAATCATGAGGATCGAATAAATGAATTTCAAAACGACAGGATTACATGCACACAGTCACACTTTTAAGGACACTGACATCTTTTTACATACACAAGCACGATACTTATATATATTATATATAAAATAAAAGATGATGAATAAAAATAACATAAACCAACAATTAGTCAGAATGAAAGCGCTGAAGTATATATTATTAACGTAAAAGAAAATTCATTCATTAAAAGAAAGAAAGAAAATAATGAAGCATGAATTATTCGTTCATATATTAAGCATTATTCGCATGTGAAAATCCATTGACAGATTTATTAACAGTTGATCGACATTTTATTGTATAAATTTTATTAACGTGTGTTGCAGAATACGAAACGCATCGATGCCTCGTTATTTATTTAATTGTTCAGCTACGAGGCATTATGAAATATATTTGGTTAAAAATCAGATTGAAGTATCAATAAACGGGTGGAGTTTTTTCCACCCGGTCTTGTTCAAATTATGGTAACGAATAATTAAAAAAAAAAAAAAAAATAGTTGGCCTAGTACATCGAATTTCATAATTTTTCTCGCGTTTAAGCTGCAAGATTAAAATCCGATCTAATTGAATCATATATTTATTAAAAAATTAAACTAATAAAAAGAAGCCCGCCAGCTAATCGAGTAGATCAAGGTCAGTTCGGTATGTTCAACTATACTTAAGAATTTCAATAAGATCTAAATAAGTTGAGTGTGCCACACATGGAGGCAGTCAGAACTACACTTTGACTGGCATTTTAGATCTCGCTTCTTGGCAATCGATCCAGATTTTGCTTGAGAGAGATTGGCTACTACATAGAGAAAAAAGTGGGATGAGAGTGAGAGGTGAAAAAAAATTACGTGCACATGCAGCGCAGGCACACCACAAACACAATATGTCATTTACACATACGCGATAAATAAGAAGAAAAAAAAGTATTGACACAAAATGAAACGCAAACATGTCTTGAAAGAAGAGAAACTTACTTTAAATTTCTTTCATATAAACTTATATTCCAATTATTGAGTGTAAGGGTAAACATAATATATGCATGGGTTTGACGAAGTCGAAAAACCGAGATGAATCCTATATAATATAATTCTCAATTATATATAAATATATATATTAAACATATATATATATTTATATAAATATAAATATAAATATTATATACATAAAAATAAATAAGAATTATGAGACAAGAATGAGATGATGTGAATCTTACGTTTTACTTAAAAAAATAAAAAAAAACAATGTAATTAAAAAAAATCTCTGTAATGGAATTTCGACCGGGTTGTCATTAATAAGATTTATTACTATTTAATTATTATTACAATGAATATTATTGGAAAGAATTATTATATCATATTTATTGTTATTGCGCCTCAGTTAGGTGAAAAGGTCTGAATGAAAGATCCATTTGTACAATCATTGCATCATTAAAATATGATTAATTAATGCAAAAAATCATTTGTTTTCATTTCAAATTCTCTTTTGGATCAAAATCAAATTATATCACCAGCGTATCATGCGTAATGCATAATTCATTATATGTAGAATGACAAATGAACCTCCATCTTCCGGAAATCCCACACTTGCAGAGAACCTCAGTTTACTCATTCACTCATGATCATAATATGTCAAGCAAACTACACGTACATTTTTTCGATTAATATAGAATCGAAAATGAATTACATAGCACAGCTTTAATATTTATCTATATTCCACAGGTGAGATTTTTATTTTTGATAATACAAAAAAGTATTTTCTTTAAAACTATCTTATTACCAATTCCTTTGGCCAAGTCATTATCTTATCAAAACCGATTCTGATTTCTTATTGTGTTGATAATACAATGTTGGCAGATTATACCTATTATCTATGAACGTTCAATTAAAGAAATTATTACACCCAAATTGTACACTTTGCTCAATTTATCTAGCTCGTGAATATAAATAAAAAGTAAAGAGCGTCTTTATCGCTAACGAAATTGTTGTTCGCGCACTGTGTAAAACCTCCTTCAGATAATCCCAAAAATACAATCCATCAAAAAAACTCGACTGTAGCAAAAAATTGTCTCATTTTTTCTATGCATAACTGCTGTCGATGTTTATCAAGAATCGAGATGAGAGATAAATTTTTACTCTCGTCAATTTACGATAATCGGAATTGGTCACATATTCGCTCATTCACCCATGCCTGACTTGTACAATTGATAAGGATTATAATCCGGCCGTCCAGTTGATAAAGAATTTCTCAAGATTTGCTGCTGAATTTGACTGCGCGGTTGACGACGCTCAGTATATCGTCAGACGCCTGGCCGCATTAATCGCGGCTGGAGTGGATTCAACAATGCTTCCATAACGTAAAGTCGAGTGAGGTGTATCGGAGTGTGTAAAAGAATTAGAATTATCATTGTGACTCGTTCCAAGTGTGCAGTTTTTTTCTTGCAGCGAATGTGTTACAAAAGAAAAGTTCATTGAATCGAGTTCTCGCAGATATACTCTAAATTAAAATAAAAAAAAAAGTAAACATGCTCGTAAGCTACTTCTTCGCGTGCATAGTCGCGCTCGGCTTGTACACCGGCCAAGCGGCGGATAATCCTGCCGCTGCCGCGGCTGCTCCTCCTACTTGCGTGTGGTACGGCCAATGCGAGCCCACTAGCACAGGTCAAGTACGCAATGTCGCCTCGAACGAGCCGGCACGACCATTGACGAAACAGACCAGCATCGAGATTTTGAAAAACAGGTGTCCGCACCTTTTCGACGGCCAGTCGGGTAAGCAAAAAAAAAAAAAATTAATGAAGGTAAAACAAATGCAATAAATAAATCGTCATGTTGATCGTGTCGCCTGACTCGCAGCAGATGCACCATTATTGACTTGCTGCAGCGATGACCAAATCGAAGACATGACCGAAAAGATGAAACAGGCTGAGGGAATCTTTGGCAGATGCCAGTCGTGCACGAGAAATCTGTTACGTTCGATTTGCGACTTCACCTGCGGTCCCAATCAGAGCCAATTTATGGCCGCTACCGCGGTCGACGGCCAATGCATCGATTCCATCGAGGTTCATATTTTATTTTTGTCGAAACGATTTGTCAAAAAAGTAATTCACAGATCGAACGTTTTATTTGCTTGTGTATGTGTAGCTTTTAATTTCCGAGGACTACACAAACGCGACGTACGAATCTTGCAAGAATGTGCTGGTCCCGTCCACCTCGCAGAAGAGCATCGAACTCGCGTGTGGAGAATACGCAAGTAATTGCAACGCTAAAAAGTACGCTAAATTTGTATACTTATCCTTATCAAGATCCATTCAATTACGCCTATTTATATGCACGAATATGAGTTTTTATTTCTTGTATGCACTCGTTGCAGTTGGTTCAAATTCATGGGTACCGCCGTTCCAAAGGGCTACGCACCTTTCGAAATCAACTACGTATATGATTTTGATCAGCTACAAGAAAAAACGATAAGACAGTTTTTAAATCCACCTACAATAGGATGTCACGAGGCTTACGATGTAACTTTTTTTCTATCGTCGTAATATTATATGGCTAATGAGGGGATGCCGCGAGGCAATACATGAAAATAAAATTTCGTCGTTATACGGAGCTTTTACGAAAAATATAATTGATAGAGATCTCGGAATCAGACTTGTTGAATTCCGTTAAACAATGAGCTCGTTGACCTTCGATTCTCTAGGTTCTCTATATTTACGTGTTTACAACTCCACTAGTATCAAAAATTTCCGTGGTAGTTGTGCTCTAGGTCAAAGTATGTATTTAAAAGATATAATTTTCGATTGTTAAGGTATTATAATACTTTGGTATCTCATGGTATTATTTACACGATTGTTTACTTGGAGAGTTTACAACTAAATAACGACATTGAAACGAGTAGGGAAATAATATCTAGCACGTACAATTGTACATTGTATTGACGCTGAAGACTTGAAAATTTTTTTCGACTTATCCAACGTAATTCGAATTCAGCACCGAAGCTTTCAATTAGCTCGGGATCCCCTTGTACCGTTACTATACTCATGACGAATTTTTATTTTCACCGGGCCATCCGGTCATCTCCTTGAAACTCCTTTGAGCTTGAATAACGAAAATCGAATCGATTTCACAGAACGCGACGGAGGCTTGCAGCTGCGTCGATTGTCCCCAGGCCTGCAAAGCGAACAACATTTTTTACGACCAGACTAAATTTGAAATTTTTCATTGGAACGGTTACGGGGTCGTCGCAGCTTTGATAATTCTGGGAACGAGTTCCTTGACCGTCATTCTGGTGTACATCGTCAGGTTCAGAAACCACACGGATGGTAATCATCGAAAATAAAAAATAAATAAAAAAAAACAACTCGAAAAACAAACACGTAAAAAAACAATTTTTTATTTTTGCGCGCTCGCAGATAACGAGTCGTCGAATTTATCGAGCTCGGACGATCTGTCGCTCGATAAACCGCGGGCCGACGGGCGAAAATCGTCGCCGTCATCGTCGTCGTCCGCGGCGCAGATCTCGCGGGGCGCGACATTCCGCCAGTTCCTCGAGTTCCTGTTCCAGCGCCTGGGCACCTTCTTCGCCCAGCACCCGGTGAGCTCGCTGGCCATCATGATGAACTTCGTGATCGTGCTGAGCTACGGCACGACCAAGCTCGACATCACCTCGAACCCCATCGAGATCTGGGCGGCACCGAGCTCTCGAGCCCGCCTCGAGAAGGACTACTTCGACGAGCACTTCCAGCCTTTCTTCCGCACCGAGCAGATCTTCATCAAGTCGACGAATCTCGCAACGGTATATAAACGATATGCCCGATAAATATCTCTCTGTGATTCCCTCGATATAATGCGTAAATCGATGAGTTTTTGAGTATGATACAAATGTATTTTTAGGTCAATTATACGGTATACGGAGAAAACGTCACGTTTTCGAACGTATTCGAGGAGACATTTTTGAGAAAAGTACTAAGTCTGCAATCAGAAATCAAAAAGGTAAGCGTCGCCGAGTGAATTATATCCAATTATAACGAACGAAACGCGAGATTGATCAAAATTTTCACATTCTCATCATTTTTAAAGCTCGGTCAAGCCGAAGGCGAGGGTCTAGACAAAATCTGCTACGCCCCGGTGAAGAGCGACTTTACCGGACCGATGACGCTCGATTACTGCACGGTGCAGAGCATCTGGGGCTACTTCGGTGAGGACAAGGATCAATTCGACGCGGAGAAATTATACGATTGCCTGAGGTCGGCACTTTATACAAAATAGGAGATTTCACATAGTATTATATACCTTTATTCGAAAAGATCTTCTAAGAATCGCGGAGCGCTTCGTGCTTGTATTGCAGCAATCCTTTCAACCCCGACTGCCTGGCGCCCTACAAGGGACCCATCATACCGGACATTGCGCTCGGTGGCTTTCTGCGGGAGGACGACAAGGGCCGCAAGTACGACCTGAAGGACTACATCAATTCCACCGGTCTGGTCGTGACGTTTTTGGTGAGAAATTCCAAGGACGAGCAACACGTGGAGATGGCCAAAAGATGGGAGAGCAGGTACTGCTGCTGCTGGGCGAAGCACCGATATACACTCGGAAAAGAGGAAGTTTCACGTCTCTCTATAATCTCGATTTTGTCGCAGATTCTTGGCTTTCATGAAGCACTGGGACGAGCACGAGCGGCCGGCCACGATGGAGATCGCCTACACGAGCGAGCGCTCGCTCGAGGACGAGCTCGAGCGCACGTCCAGGGCCGAGACGCTGACGATGATGGCCAGCTACGCCCTCATGTTCGTCTACATCGCCCTCGCGCTCGGTGACTTTAAGTTCTCCTGGCATTGCTTCGTGAGTACATATTGAAAACGACGAATGGAAATGAAACACGATACACAACTCCGTTTTTACGCAGGTGTCCTGCAAGATATTCTTGAGCATCGGCGGAATACTCATCGTTCTCTTTTCCGTGCTGTGCTCGATCGGAATATTCGGCTACATCGGCGTGCCGACCTCGTTGCTGACCATCGAGGTGAGCTACATTGAACGCGCACTAAATAATTCAGAAACGAGGAAAAAATTAATGCATCGTTTAAAAAAATTCTGCAGGTCATTCCGTTCTTGGTACTCGCGGTGGGCGTCGACAACATCTTCATCCTCGTCCGAGCCCACAAGCACCACAAACGACGATCCCTGGAGAGCGTGGCCGAGCACGTGGGTCGTGTGGCGGGCCTCGTCGGGCCGTCCATGCTTCTGACCAGTGTCTCGGAGATATGCTGCTTCCTCATCGGTAAGCTTCCGCACATTTAAATCCATTGTAGTGTATAATTGTCGAATTTTTTTTATTTATGTTATGCGCGTTATTGTATTTCAGGTACTCTGTCGGAGATGCCGGCGGTCAACACGTTCGCCCGTTTCGCCGCCGTCTCGATATTCATCAATTTTCTCCTGCAGATCACGGCCTTCGTCAGTCTGCTGTCTCTGGACGCTCAGCGCGAGGAGGTAAATTTCATCATTTCTATCGTATCAATTGAAATTACAACGGTCGTGCATCGTCTCGTCCGCAGCAAAACATCCTCGACTGCCTGTGCTGCTTCAGCCTGGATAAATCCAGAATAACCCCGGCCAGCCCCGGCATGGTCAGCATGTTCTTCGAGAAGCTGTACACGCCGATGATCCTGTCGAAGCCGGCCCGGCTCGTGGTGCCGCTCGTCTTCATCGCCACGCTGACCGCCAGCGCCTTTTACGCGCCCACCGTCGAGATCGGCCTCGACCAGCGTCTCTCCATGCCCGACGATTCCTACGTCTACAAGTACTTCGAGGTGAGTTAATGATTTTTTTTTTCATTTTAAATAATACATGAATGTCCATGAAAATCGAGCGATAGCAATATTTATAGGAATAATATATTATTCCCACTCTGCGAGTTTGCTCGCTCAAACGTCAACACAAACGTAGCTTCGCGCCCCTATTTACACTCGAACGATCTCAGTGTACGTACAGCCGGTATCCTACGTACGTCGTGTAAGAGTTGCCGCGGAGCATGAAGACTGAAATATCACAGCAAATGTGATTAAAATTAAAAAAAAAATTGTACATATTTCTCATCGACAAGCGACTACGTGCTATTATGTGTAATAAAATGGTTGGCCTTGACCAAATCCAAACATTGGAGGACTCGCGCGAACATCTCGAATGGAAGCAACAGCAAGAGCGACGCGCGTTCCTCCATAAAATTTATCACTCTGACGAAGGAAATGGCGAAAGCGAAATTTGGTCAGTCGGGGTCCTAGCCATTTTCGAAAAGAAAGAAATCGATCAGTATCTCTCGGCGTCCGTCGAGTTGATGGCCAAAGGCCCGATCGACGGTGCCGCGGGAAAACGATTCGTCCAATTCGTGCGGAAAAGCGGCTACAAGGACAAGGCCGACTTTCGCCAGTCAACGGCACGTCGCACCACGGCGATACATCGCAGCCGCCAATTGGGCATCTTCGACGTCCTCGACGATCTGTTCAAGATTTACAGTTCCAAGTTCAACTACGAGGACGAGTTCGGCTGGACGCACTTCCACGTGGCCTGCCTGTGTCAATCGGAATTCGTCGTAAAGAGATTCCTCGATAGCTGCTCCGAATTGGCCAATCTCCGGGTGAAAGAAACGGGCGACACGCCGCTACACTTCGCCTGGAGCCCGGGCATGATCGAGCTGCTGCTAAAAAATCACGCCGATCCGAATCTGGCAAACGCAGACGGACTGACTCCTCTGCACGTCATTTGCACGAGGGAGAGGGACGAGGCTTTCAGGATGCTGGTGAAATTTTTCGAGATCTGCCGAAAGATGAGACTGAGCGTGGAGGTCAACGCCCGGGACAAGCGAGGCGAGACGCCCCTGCACGTGGCTCTGCGTAACGGCGACCAAAACTCGAGCATGAGATTGTTGAACGTAGGCGGCGATTTGACTCTGGCCAACGCGGACGGATTGACTCCTCTGCACGTCATTTGCCAAAGAGAAAGCAACGACGATCCCTTGGCGAAGAAATTCCTTCGGTTCTGCGATCGAAAAGATCGGACGATAGATATCGATGCCCGTGACAAATTCGGCAATACGCCACTGCACTTGGCTGCGTTTGGTGGCCACGCGGACTTGATCGAGATGCTGCTGAGCAGAAACGCCAAGCCAAATTTAGCCAACCGAGACGGATTGACTCCTCTTCACGTGATTTGTAAGACAAATAGGTTGTCGCTCGATTATCAATTGGTGGCGAGGTTTTTCAAGATCAACGAAAAAAACCGGGTGATAGTCGATGTTCGGGACAAGAAGGGCCGGACCCCGCTTCAATGGGCCGTGGCGAATATTCAGCCGCAAGTGATGGAGTATTTGTTCGATCGTGGCGCCGATCCATTGACATTCGTTTTTCCCACCGAGAAGTATTTCGGCAAGCGATTGAGACCGTGGAAGAGTCACTCGTCGCGTCATTTTAAATTGGGACTCGCAGCTGGCGCCATGATCATCGTCGAGTATCTCGAGAATAATGGACACAAACTGGAGCTGAGCCAGACTTTAATGATCATGAAATTATTCGCCAAGTACGAGTTGTTCGCCAAGTCTACGGAAAATCATTGGTACAACGATGAAGAGTTCAAGCGCCAAGCGCAAACGATAACGATGACGGACGATCAACCAGGCCTGTCGCTCTACGAGTTGATCTCGTTGCAACCCATAGAGGCCGAAAAAAGAATCGCGTTAAAGGACTACTTGGAGTGCGCGCACGATAGCAAGTTGGAGAAACTGCCCGAAGGATGCGCGGATGATTGCGCCTCGCATCTGTGCGAGAAAGCGTCGAGACGATTTTTCCGTCGGAGCGCGCTGTACCCTTTGTGGGAGCTCGTAAGATACCGGCTGCCGATTCTCTGCTGCCACATGATAATCGAAAATCTACCGAACGAGGATGTGCGGAATATCGTCGAGGCGTATTCATTGTCGTGATGTCGATGAGAGATATTTATATCTAATTGTAATATTTTTTTATGTCTGGTGTAATTTAATTTTACACATTTTTTCACATCATTCGAATGAATAAATTTGAAAAAGAAAGATCGAATTTACTAATATACTCTCTGTGTTGTAATTTTATTCCAATTTAAAGTACAAAAGGCCACGAAGAAGTTTCATGTTGACGATGTTGATTTTCAAAATAAAAAGTTTTGTCACTTGTGCCCGACAAATAAAAGGGGAATAAATTAATTAATGGTGCTTTTCGCGCGAGAACTTGTCACTCTCTCGTGTTTGTTTATATTTTCAAAACGAAAATTTAACGATCCCTACTTGCCTATAGTACAATACATTCACATATGTTTTTTTTGCTCATATAATTCCTCTTGAATGTATTTCAGTGAGTTGATAATTATGAATGTGCACGCATAGAAAAGTACACGTACGCGAACAATCTTTTAACTCCAAAAAACGAAACTTGCGAAAAAAAAAATAAAATTAAACTTTCAAACGAAAATAATCGCTCGTATATTATTTGTTTCATACGTTTTGGATTTTATATCGATTTTTACCCCTGATTTCCGTAGTACATGCAAGACTTGCTGTCGATGGGACCGCCCACGTACTTCGTCGTGAGCAAGGGTCTGAACTACAGCTTGCCCGAGGTGCAGAACGCCATCATGGGCTCGGCCGGCTGCAACGACGACTCGCTCTACATGCAGATCTTTTCCGCGGCCAACCAGTCCAGCAAGTCAGTCATTTTCTCCTTCTTTTTTTTGCAAAAGCGTGGCTAATTGTACGTTTAAACTCATACATCTCTCTCCTTTTTGTACAAAAATCGCACAGGTCTTACATAGCCAAGCCCGCCTCGTCCTGGATCGACGATTACGCGGACTGGTCGCTGATCAACGGCTGCTGCAAGTACTTCCCGAAGAACGGCACCTTCTGCCCGCGCGAAATTGGCGAGTGCGACCAATGCGACATTTCCAGGGACAAGAGACACAAGCTGCGGCCGAATCAGACGAGCTTCAGGCACTACCTGGACTTCTTCTTGCAGGATGTTCCCGACTCCTCCTGCGCCAAGGCAGGTCGCGCCGCTTACAACGACGTACGACGATACAATAGCTCTTTTTTTGTAATCGGCTTCAAAATACGAACCAATGATAACCGTTGTTTCTTGTCCTCAGGCCGTCAAGTATTACACCGACGACGAGGGCCAAGCCGACGTCGGCGACTCGTACTTCATGACCTATCACACGCCCCTGAAGAAGTCCTCGGATTGGTACGAGGCCCTGAAGAGCGCCCGACTCATCGCCGAGCAGATCGAGGGCATGATCAATGCCAAGAACATCAGCCAGGGCCGAGAGATCAAGGTCTTCCCCTACAGCGTGTTCTACGTGTTTTACGAGCAGTACCTGGAGATCGAGCACATGACGGTGGTGTCGCTGGCTCTGTCGCTGCTGGCGATCTTCGTGGTGACGCTGCTACTGACCGGCTTCTCGCTTTTCTCCGCCATCACGGTGGTGATAACCGTGGCCATGATCATCGTCCATCTGGCCGGCTTCATGGTCATGTGCGATGTGTCCCTCAACGGAGTTTCACTCGTCAATCTCGTCATGGTGCGTGTACATTTATTTTCTAAGCTTATCAATTATTTTTTTTATTTTAAATCAACTGCACTAACGATTACTATTTTTTTTTTTTGCAGGCTGTGGGAATTTCTGTAGAATTTTGCAGTCACATGGTTCACGCGTACTTGATGTCGAACGAAAAGACGAGATGTACAAAGTCCGCCGACGCTCTGTCGCGCGTAGGAAGTTCTGTGAGTTTTTTCTTTTCATTCTATATCGATTGATGATCGTTCTGATAATTCACGATAATCTTACTCTGCGATGCTATGGTTTCTTTTCTTTTCTTATTCAGGTGTTTTCTGGGATTACATTGACCAAGATCGTTGGCATCGCCGTGCTTGGCTTTGCAAAAACTCAAATATTCAGGGTATTTTACTTTAGAATGTACTTGGGAATCGTCCTGGTCGGAGTTACCCACGGTCTCGTGTTTCTGCCAGTTTTGTTAAGTTACATAGGTAAGAAAATTGTGCTCTTTATGCTCTTTATGCTCTTTTGTTGCCGAAAAAAATTCTGTTTTTAAAAAATGTAATTCATTTTCAGGTCCCCTGCACAGAGTCTAAAATTTATACTCGTGCTGAATTTTAAATTCTAAAATCTAAATGAAATGAGCAATGTACAACAATCAACATTTTATGGCAAAACAATGTGCAAATGTGAAGCGTTTAAAAGGTCAATGCAGTGAATAAAAAAACTTACATGGATAAAATGTGAACAAGTACTTGTATTGTGTTGAATATTGTATATATTTATCAAACATTAATGGAGTTAAGATGTGTAAAAACTTTTTTTGCTACGTTATAGATTAGTAAATAAATATGAAATAAAGTAAAGTAGTGAAATCTTAAATATTGAATAAATAAAATAAATTTTCGGTACAAGGATTAAGATGAAAATGTTGTTTTGACTTAGTGATTCAGAATTACTGAAGTGGTCGGTTTAGAGATAGTCAATAAACTATGACTTGATTTCAAATTAATACTTGCATACCTAATGCATACATTTTTATTAACAATATAAAATTAAAAATTCCTACATTAGTAACATTCACATAACACGTCACATTTTTTATAATAAATTGAAAATAAGACAATAAGAAACATAAGTTAGTTGTTTTGTTAATACCATATGCTCCACAATCATTTTTTAACAAAAATATAATATTATATTTAAATTTAAACCAAATCAATAAAGAAACTTACAACGAGAATAACATTCATGAATTCATAATTTTTTCATAAATCATCAGAAATATATGTTATCATTTTTGTGTTATTAATAATTTAGTAAACATTTTCAAAATTTAACATTTACAATTTATCCCATATCTAACTACGCAGAAATATTTTAACAGCAATAATGAACATAACTCACTTTAACACATTCCTTATTAAAAATTTACTCATTACACATTATAGATATATGGAAATTTATACATGTATTTATACTCAAATTTATCATTGCAACATACTTATATCATTTGAATTAATTAGAAAAGTATCAAACATTGACCATATATAATTCAAAATAGTATTATTATAATGCAATCAAAATCTTATTCTAACATTTAGCACGTCTTGACATATTTCTTTTTCATTCTGAAATTTTGGCATTAAAACAATGTTATGTCTACTTTCCGAAAAATACTTAAATTTATGGTTTCGAAACTTAATTATTAAAATTTGACGTTTAATATTTCTGAATATTTGAGTAAATCATAATGATCATTTTATGAAACTTATTATGCATGGATATGATTTTAAAGTCTTTGAAATTTCTGTCAAACAGCATACAAAATATTGTAATATAAAAAACGTATTAAATGAATTTACCAATTTTTATGTTCCACAATTACAGGAATGAGATTATTTAATTTTTGGTGTTAATTAAAAGATGTAATTATATCTTTTTATACTCACTTTTTAAGTTGAGTTCAAGCTTTTTTAATTGTGTTAATGTTCTATACAATTTATCAAAAACTTCTCAAAGTTATTAATCAATAAACTGTTTTCAATTCCTTAAAATGTACTATTATTTTTACCATAAATCATTTTACAATGTAGTTATAAATTTAACAATAAACAGAATAAACAAAATTCTTAGTAGTAAATGGAATATTTTACTTGTTTATTCGCCATAATTGTAAAAGATTCGTGGGTCAACAAATAGAAATTAATTATTTTTCGCATAAACTACAACAAAAAAGTGAAAAATTTTATTTTTCTCTATTATTGTATCGTTTAGGCATTATCACAGATTAGTTTTGGTGGCAGCCCTTATTTACAAGATTAGGCCAACAAGGCTTTCGTTAGACTAGTAACTTCCAACATGGCTTGACGAAATTTTTCAACAATTATCACATGCTTACATCAAGTTTCCAATGATGGAAAAATCCTTGTTAGAACAAAGTAGGCCACATCGCAGTTAGACCAATATGCTGTATGAGCTGTCACACTATATAAATAGTTTCTGCCAATGCCTACAGCTTGTAACACATAATCTAATCGTTGAGATAATTCTACGAAAAAAATTGTTGATATTTTTGTTTGCTGTAATCAATAATTAATTTTATCATTGAAAATATATGTAATACCTTGATCAGGCTGAATAGGTGGATTGTCAGGTGTCGGTGACGAGCCTTCTTTTACAGTCCAGCCAGCTCTTACTATATTCCATAAACTCCATCCTTTACTTGGTGTATCACCAGGGCTGTTGTCTTCTTTATCATCTGTGTCTGCAATAAATATACGATTTATTGAACCTAATTTCAGTAATTCAACGTCAAATTGTGAATTACTTGTATTTGACATAAAAGTACCTGATAATGGATTACTAGGATCGTCATTATTTGTTAGCAATGAAGATGGTTGGCTCTCAGCAGATTCAATTTGCGAGTCAACTCCTCCGTGAGGGGAAATCAAGACCGGTTCTACTTTACTATACCCTCTTTCTAATAATGGTTCCATTCTGTATGCCACAGGATCCGACCAATGAAATATATTATAAAAACGTTTGCATAAATATTCTGGCACATAATCTAATCTATTGGACGGCGTACGAGTGCGTAAAGCCAAAAATACGGATAAAGGAGAACCCATACAAAATAAGTTTTCAATCTGAAACAAATTAAAAAATATAAAATCTTCAAAAACAACTTTTGATGAATATTTCATTTCTTACAGGAAAATGTAGACCTTCTGAAGATCTTTCAGGTGACCCTGGTGGTCTAGTTTCAAAGCCAACCCATCCAGTTACAATATCATATACAATTACACATCCCAATGAATGTGCTAAAATGGAAACTTTTCCTTGCCATCCAGGGTGCCTTTTTGTAAATTCGTAATATAGTTTATTCAGTTCTCTTTGAAGTCCAGCTCTTACTTCTCCTCCATAAAGAGGACTTGTATAGTACAATATATCCATAGCAGATGTATTTAGAAGTGTTCGTATTCCCAATACACTGTATGGAGTAATGGCATCAACAATATCTAAAAATAATATATTAAATATAATAGATAAAAATCTCTAATCACATGTTATATCAGTAAAGTTAATTAACCTCCATCAAGTTTCAAAGATGATCTCCATTCAACAGGAAAAAATTCTACTCGATGCAAAGAACTGGGAAAATACTTTTGCTGCATTTTATCAACGCACTCTCTGAACCTATAATAATAAATATGTAGCTCATTAAAATACCATACAATATATAGCCTTCTTTAATTTGATTTCTTTATACTCACATAGAGGTATTACGGATAATCTTCCCTGTATCTCTTTTTTGACCAATTCCATGAACAACAAATACCAAGTGATCAATATCATCTTGTTTGTCATCCATGGAGGCTGGTTCCTTATACCCTCTTAATAGTCTGTAGCCAGTACCTAAATGAATTGAAATCATAGTAATGGGAATTATTTATAATTCTATTAATTAAGAAGAATTAAAGAGATAATTTAAACTTACTTTTTGCAAAACCAAATTTTGATGTTACACTGCGCATTAATTTACTTGGTGTATATTCACTGTAAATTACTACATCATTTATTGCATGCCAGTCTATATGGTGTTGAGGAAAGTGCACAGTGTGGAGTACTAAATTGATAATTATTAAGAAAATTAATGTAGGCAAATTATGATTTCAGATAAATATGTAATTTTTTTATACTTTTATATGAATGAGATGGTGTTCCAAATTCTGGAGTAGAACTTGATTGAGTAAGCGCTTGTTTTTCAAACAATCTTAAGTGAGCTTTTTCTATTTCATCTGAATATTCTGAATCTAAAGGAATCCAGCTCCCACTATAAAACCATGTTCCTCTGGTGATTTCCCACTCTTCCCCTAATAAAAATAAAGTAAAGAACTGTAGGTATAAAATTCAATAAATATATTGAAATTAAAACAATCAAACTTTTGGGTAAGATTTGAGATTAAGTATAAACAAATTTTCATTCAAGGACGCTCAAATAGTATTCAAATTCATTCTGCTTCAACCATTGTATTCACTCATTCAAAAATTTTCCACTTAAAAAAGTTGACATTGAAGGCACTTTTTTTCGTTTTAATGAAGAATAACAATTACCTGGCCAGTATATTGAGACACACTTCTTTTGTTCCAAGTCAACTTCATACATTCCACCTCGAACAACAATTTTCACATTGTTAACAAAATTATCACTGTTGTTTCCGTTTTCACTACTTCTGCTCTGGATTTCTCTCCACGAGTTTTCGATTCGCAAACTGTCATATCCACAAAATTCTATCCAAATTTTGTTTATGTCATCTCTGTAAAGCCATCTAACTTCTTCTGGTAATAAAGGTGACGCGTACGGTGATTGCTTGGGTAAATCAGTGTCTGGTTTATCATCGACATCTTCCAACAAACCTCTCAAATTGTATTCTGGAAAGAAATGAATGTTATTAATTACTGATATCTGGTAGAAACTCACTTTAAAATTGATAAAAGGACAAAATAGAGCTCAGACATAGGAAAGTACCATACATAATTGCATTATGCGGTCGATTTGCAACAGAAAACAAGAAAATAAATAAATAAGAAAAAATGCGAGAAAAGTTCACGGCATCGACAAAAACGTTAGCGGTATATATTGTTAATTTAACGAGTCTCTCGTCGGTCAAACGATGTCAAGTGTCAAAGCCCTCGCGGGTAAACGTACTGTTCTGCTGCTTGTTTTGCTTTTAGCATTTATAAAGCTCATAATCCGCGCGCGCGCGACGATCGTCACACATTCGTACACATGCACACGCGGTATTATACATACATACAGATACAGTACATGAGTAATAGGCCGTGTATAATAAAAATACGCGCGTGCGGCCACGGTACAATTATACGTAAAAGTAAAAGCTTCGAGATCGATGTGTGTATAAGATAGTTGATTTAATATCACAACAAGTGCCACTTCGTGTACGACACTATGTCTATATAGGTATTATATATACCGTCGAAAGGCAAATTATAGACGTCATGTGTCACATTTGGCGGCGTACAATAGCTTTATACACACATCGTCGTGATACGTCAAAAGAAATTGACGGCATTGAAATAATAAATGTAAAGCTCTACATATCTATCTCTTTATCTGCACTCACTTATTGTTAAATCGCCGTGGGTGATGTCGGTCTCCAGGGGGGTCTCGCTGAAGGGATCGACGTCGCCGAGCAGCGACATCCTGCCCAGGACGCAGCAGGCTCCGACGAGCAGCAGCAGCAGAAACTCGTAGGTCGTCAGCAGCACCTGCGGCGACGACTCCGGCCAGCCGTAGCAGCAGTCCCAGAAGCGCCAGCAATCGAGAAACTGCCCACCAAATCGTTGGATATTTTATTATTTTTATCAGTTGCGCTTGCTCGAGCTTCTAGAGGTGTAGTGGAGCAGCGCGATTATCCCCCTCGCGCACACGCGTCACGCACGAGAGAAGGAACGGGGAAAAAAACAAGCATAGGAAAATGAAGAGAAGCGCAGATCGAAGAAGACGATACCTGATACGTATATATAATATAGGTAATTATGCGCGTTAGTTATAGACTACTGTAGGTGCTATCGCGGAGGAGAGCCCGGGGGCTTGTTCATCGTTATAACGCGCGACGATGTCGATGCGGCGACGACGACAAAGCGAAGGAGAAAGAGGAAGAGGAGCAGTAGCAGCAGCAGCAGTAGGGCATTATTTCCGATCAACAACGAGATTACGCACTCGCGACACGGTTATTTATACATTGTATTGCATCAGCGCTGCAGTATACATTGAGCACGATTCACTTGTTGTCTCTTTTATATTGGGCTCTTTTGGAGCCGTGCATCGCGTTGCTTGTTATTATTACTATATATACATCGAAACGAGCGATGAATCGCGCTGATTCACTATAATATACAACGAGCGAGAGTCAGCTGACACGAGTTTTGTATATAGCAGAACACAACACACTGGGCAGACTGTCAAAATCTCCTCGAGAGTCGATCGACTTCTCTTCCGAATAAAACTGCACACGATGCGGTGCGTTGGTGGTGGTGGTGGTGGTGGTGGTGGTGAGGTGCAGAGGTATGTGCCTGCTGCACCGCTGCTGCTTCTGCTTGTTTAACGATGATTATTGTTATAGGTGTATCGTAAAGCTAGCGCTGCACACGAGCAGAGAGATCTCCTCCTACGACAGCGTTGGATGCGCTCCAACTTTAATATAGAGCTCTCGCGGCTGCGTGTGTGTCAGTGTGTGTGTGTGTGTGTGTTGTGAGATAAGGCAGTTCTATACGCGGGGGTCACATAAGGTGTACAATAATAATCATCATGGCATGCGCGCGCGCAGAATCCACCGCCGTATTATATATATATAACACTATACTGACTATACACTATATATGATATATATTAGACGGTGCGGCAAAGTGTCGCACTGCTCGCGCGGTTATATTCGTGATGTATAAATGTAAAAAATGCAAGGAAGTCGCTACTCTAAATGTGCAATGTAGCTCTGGGACTCGTTCGTATACGAGTTCCGTTCGATACGAAGTGCGAATAAAAAAAAAATAGCAAACGACAGAGTATGGTATGTATGATATGATACGTACGAGATAGGATTATGTGTTATCCGTGAGACTGCCGCGGCAAGACTGGCATCGGTATAGATAGTTGCAGCCGCGCTTGAACTCTGTGGTGCGTATTATATACATCGCAGTCCGCAGTCCCCGTTGCAGGCGCGTATTATGTACTATACACTACTGTGTTGTGCTGCTCTGCACTGCCTCGTGTTACACATACATATACAATATAAACGTACAAAAACACGTACTACTCCACCTGCACGTTTGTGTTGCTGCTGCTGCTGCTGCAGCAAAGCGCAGTCTTGTAATTTTTACAAGCGAGTGCGCCGTTGCGTATATATATTTGTATTATTGCAAGTTCGTTCGTCGCAGACGATCCGCAGTCTCGGTATTAAATATATAAAGAAAAAAAAAAGACTTGAGCACGTCGCGCGTTATTTTACGTATAGTACATGTGTTCGCAACAGATCGAGCTATATAGACGCGGGTATAACGATCGTGCTAAATAACGATTCGCATTTAAGCGAGTGCGTGTTTATAATGGATGGGTATAGGAGGCCAAGGGCTGCGTATACGCGTAGGTCGCTGATCGTATGCGAGCAGTAATATAATAGACGAGAGCGTGAACTATATTTCGACAGATTCTTTTTTTTGGCTTGTTAAATAGCAGAGCTCGCGAATGAGCAAGTGTAATGACTTGGTTTTTTTTTTACGTAATTACTGAAATAAAAGTAAAATGCAAAAGAGTATTTATTTTTTAGATTTATTTATGTGAATAACATGGACAGTATGGAAAATTAAATTATAGAAAATATGTTTATCGCGATTACGGAATTTGACCTGTAATCGCCGAGCAAATGTTCCACAAATCTTGGTTCATTAGCAGCTTTATAATCATGTCACAACAAAGAATCGGCAGCCGATAGCCTGTCAACTCCAAGAAATAATCCAGTGTCCATCGTCGGAAAAATCTTCTTGAAACTTTCTCGCTCAGATGATAAGTACAACGTTCGTTATGCCATCCAACGAGGGACACAAAATCATGTATAAAATTCGCAGTAGTCCTTACAAGTGAGTCGTTTTTCCGCATCTTCGGGTCGCAATGTGATCAAGTTTGGAGCGTCAGGTTCGGCTTTATCATCATCTCTTTGGCTTTGCTCATAAACTCTAAGTCATAATCCCAACATATCTCATTGTACTCCCATTTATCGAACAATTCATACTTGGCGAACATTTTCATGATCGTCAGGGCAACGCTTCGGTCCAATTCGTATCCTTTTTTCTCAAGATTTTCGATTATGGCCAGACAGGCTAGCAATAATTTCAAATGATCTTCACAACGTAGCTTCTGTCGTAATAACTGATCAAGGTAACTCTCAGAGCGAAAAACGAAGAGAGACAAATCAGCACCGTGATTCAAGAGAAGATCAACTGCATGGGAATTCAGATTTGCCACAGCTAATTGCAGCGCTGTCCGACCACAACAGTCGCGAGCGTTGACCTCGACCGTCTGCTTCCTCTCGTCGTTGATCTTGAAGAATAGCTCCACCATGTCGAATGGTACGTAATATTTTCTCTCGCAAATCATATGCAGAGGAGTCGACCCTTTCTCGTTGGCCAAATTCGTATCGGCGCCTCTTCGTAGCAGCAACTCAGTCAAATTTTTTAGACGGCGCTTCAGTGCCAAATGCAATGGTGCGTTACCCGAGTTGTCCCGGGCGTTGACTTCGACCAGCTGTTGTCTTTCGTCGTTGATCTCAAAAAATAACTCCGCCAAGTCTATATTGCTGTGGAAATTGTTGCAAATGATGTGCAAAGGAGTCGATCCTTCCACGTTGGCCAAATTCGAATCAGCGCCTCTTCTAAGTAATACTTGGACAATCCCTTTTCTAGAGCCGTAAAACAGAGCGTAGTGCAGTGGTGTCCAGCCCAACTCATTCTGGGCATTGACCTGTATCAGCTGCTGTTTTTCGTCGCTCATCTCGAATAAAATCTCCGCCAAGTCAGCATTATCGTGTCCACCCTTGCAAACATTGTGCAGAGGAGTAACATCCCATACGTTGGCCAAATTCGGATTGGCGCCATATTTCAGCAACAATTCAGTTGCCTTCTTGTGCCTGTGTTCCAGAGTCAAGTGTAGCGGGGTATCGCTTGTTTTTGGCTCGAGGATATTGGGATCTTGGCCGAGCTCGAGAAATTTCTCGACGAATTCGTCACAGCCAAAGAAGCAGGCCACATGAAAATGCGTTAATCCAGATTCGTCGGTGTAATTTACATCAAATCTATCGTATATTTGAAATAAATAATCGATCAATTTGGGGTAATTACCGAGAATCAAATAATCTTCAAAAGTATGATGCAGTGGTGTGGTACGACTCGACGATGGCTTGCCGTTTATATCGACCTCGGGCTCGTCCTTGTAACCAGTCTGAGCCACAAATTGAATGAGTGGAATTAGCTCAGTCCTGTAAGTATCGAAACACGCGGACTTCAAAGACTCTGTGAGAAGCCAATCTATTTCTTCGCGACGAAAAATATCCCGGAGATTTGGAAGTTGTTCCGTCCAATCTTTGATTAAGGGATAGAGTTGATGAAGAAGTTCTTGTCGCTCTTTTTCGATGTTCCAATTGACCTTTTCACCCAGGCTTTTCAATGTTCCTAACTTTTTTTGGTTAAGAGTATTCATGTCTTTCCTCACTCACACACAAAAACACTGTCACTTGTTATATGAAATATTTTATATTACTCTAAATCATTTGCTGCGGTCGACGCAATCTTCCTTTGTTACATTCACGCTGCGGCGTTGTGCCTCGTTTGACCGTGCAAGAACAACTGGCACGAAATCGTAACACCATAATGAAATGAGCAAAGCGTCCGAGTGCGCGAGAGAGACAAAACAGGGCCGACTATTCAGAGTCATGAGGGCCAAGCCATTGCATGCTTGCTTCGAGCCATTGCCAACGATCGTTGCGACTTACGGCAGTCTAATGAAAAAATTTTTTTTGTGTCTGGTTTAGGCCTTTTTCACAGTCGTCAATATTGGTCACTTTACTGATTTTCTGGGATGTTAAAAGGCGTCATACACCAATTTACCCATCTTTGTCATTTTTGTGATATAAATAATAATATAGTGTCAATCTACATTTTCAACATAAAATTTACGTCTTTGAGCCCTAAAACATGTGGAAAAAGTGGCAGAATGGACCTTTGAATCCAATAGCTTATTTTTGTTATTTTAGCAGTCTGGCACTGTGCGCAAGGCAAATCGACCTACAGGCCGTTAAAAAAATCGTAGAGAGGTCCTTTTTTTTTAAATTACTCGTTGAAAAGAGCACTTTGCGATGGTGTATGTTAGATTTCGATAGAAAAATTACTTTGTTACTGGTACACGTTCAAACAGTCATTTTTTTTCAGCAATTTTTAGTGTCGCGCTCAAATACTACTGGTAACTCAACATTAACTCGAATCTTATTTTAATTTATATGGATTTAAACAGGACAAAATTTCCAAGAAATTAAAAAAAAAGCGTGTCCATACGATAAATCTAGCCCAAGATAGAAGCATTTGAAAATCGACGAAATTTCGATGAATTTTTTTGTTGCGATAATTTTGTTGCCGAGTGTATTTAAATGATAAGAAAAATGTACAAAATTAAAATACATCCGACATAAAAAAATTATATCGTCATTCTTTCGCTCTGCATTAGAACTCTTCGCCACTGTATCAATATTTTTCAAAATTCACCGACTTCGTGATCGTTAAAGCGTTCAGTTCGTATTCTCCTTTTTCCAAGTGCTTGAAGAGTAATTTCTTCTTTTGGATGTCTCTGAAGGTCTCCTAGCAAATCTTTAGTGATGCTAAATTCGGAATAGCACCATTTTTCAGCAGTAACTCTTCCAACTTTTTGTGTCCGTGCTGTACAGCCAAGTCTAATGGGGTGTTACCTAAATGATCCTCGGCGTCGATCTGCAATGGATGGTCTTTTTCGTTAGAGAGTTCGATTAACATCTTCGCCAAATCGACATCGTCGCGGTTATCGTTGCAAATGGTATGCAAAGGAGTCAATCCGTCCTTGTTGGCTAAAGTCGGATTGGCCCCTCTTCTCACTAACAATTCAACTGTGTCCATCAATCCCTTGCTCAGAGCCAAATGTAATGGTGTATCTCCCGCATGATCCTGAGCATCGATATGCACCGACCGCTGAACGTCATCGCAGATCGCCAATAACTCCGCGGCACCACCTTCCTTAAGTCTGCTGCAAGTCAAATGCAGAGCCGTACGTCCCTGTGCATTGGGTAAATTTGGACTGCCGCCTTTTCTCAACAGGAATTCGGCCAAAATGTTGAGATCCTTAGTCACAGCTACGTGTAATGGTGTGTTAACGCCTTTGTCCTGGGCATCGATTGGTCCCAGCCGATACTTTTCATCGATGATCTGGAACATGTTCACCAACTCGTCGTCTCTCCATTTCGAGCAAATCATGTCTATGGGCGACAATCCATTCTCATTGACTAAATGTGGATTCGCGCCTCTTCGCAGCAACGATTCGACTATGTCACGACTGTGGTGACGAGCCAAAGCCAAGAGAAGCGGTGTTTGACCCCACTCGTCCTGAGCATCGATTTGCACCGACTTTTTCAAGTCGTCGCAAATATCGAAAAAACTCTCAAGCATCAAGCTAACTTCGAACGATGTGCGAAGTAGCATAATCCAGTGCAGAGGAGTAAATCCGTTGCAGGCCAAGTTCGGATCGGCGCCGTGTTTCAGCAGCAAACAGGCGGCATTTAGGTGTTTGCTTTCCAGAGCCAAGTTCAATGGTGAATCACCCGTACTAGACCAGAGGTAATTGGGGTCTTGGCCGGCTTCGAGAAATTTCTCGACTATGTCGTCGTAGCCGTAGAAGCAGGCCACGTGAAAATGAGTATTTCCGGTTTCGTCGGCGTAAATCACATCAAATCTGTCATATATACTGAAGAAATTGTAGATCAATTCGGGGTAATGTCGAGAATAACAGTATTGCGACAATTGATGCACCGCAGTGGTACGATGCACCAGAGGCTGCTCGGCCTCTTTATCAACTTCAGGTTCGTCCTTGTAGCCGGTCCTAATGACGAATTCGATGAATAGTCTTCCTTTATTTTCAAGACCATCTAGAATTACGTTGACTGCAGAATCCATGAGAAGCAAATCAATTTCTTGGGGACGAAAAATTTCCCGGAGATTCGGAAGTTGTCGTGTCCAATTTTTGATTATTGGTTCAATTTTCCCAAGAAATTCAGATCGTTCGTCTTCGATGTCCCAATTGACCTTTTGATGAAGGCTCTTCATTTTTTCTAATTTTTTTTTGATACCCATGTCTTTATACTCAAACTTATAATATAAAATATGTAATCACTTTTAATCACTTGCTGCAGTCGATGAGATCTTTCTAGAGCTGTTCACGTCGCGCGGGCTTCACGTGTACTGACTGGTTGTGCAATGTGCGCAGTGCGCACACAACGGTCTACACTGAGAGACCGATTGAATGTATACGCCACACGGCGCCTGGTAGCAGAACCACAAGTTGCCGTGTCGCTGCTACACAACAGTTTTGTGTGCGAGCTACACGTTGTTGCGTGCAAGCTACACGTTATTGTGTGACGGTCCCACAAAATTTACTTTTTACAATTTTGAATCGCGCGCCTTCGTTCGATGCCATTTTCGAGAGCTCTGTAACCTTTTAAACGATTAGAAAACGGAAATCTATTGTAGCAGGGGCCACGTATGTACGCTTCCGAATTGTTACCGAATTACACGATAGAAATTACGAGCTTGAACGAAGGAAGCGAACGCGAGATGTAGAGAGACAGATGTACGGCGATGCTATACATAGACAATTCAGAGACATGAGCACCCAGCAACACTAACGTTGCGTGTTGAGAGCTGCACACTGAGAAAAAAAGAAATTGAAATGCTGCATCCAACAGAATGTTCAGCTTGACTTATTAGTCCAGTGAAAACTTACATGAAATTGCATTTTGTTGGGGAGAGATGAAACCTAGTCTACTTTATGTTTTTGGGTGCGCTGAATTCATTGCCGTTGTTATTTTTTACCTAAAACATCAGCGTCAGGGTGAATATCGAGGGTGAAAGAGTTTTTCGCTGATATCTCGCGAACGAAGCAAGATACAGAAAAACTAATTGCACCAATCGATTCCTCGTGAAATTTTACATCGAAATACACTTTAAACTTTTCAAGTGTCAGTGCAAAATTGTTCACAATATTGAAAAATTAGTTTACAGCGATCTTCGGTGGTGGGGGCCAGCGGTGCCGCTCGAGTATATCTCTATACATGTCGCTTCCCTTTCGCTTCCGGCCCCCACTACCTCCGACCGCTGTAAACTAATTTTTCAATATTGTGAACAATTTTGCACTGACACTTGAAAAGTTTAAAGTGTAATTCGATGTAAAATTTTACGAGGAATCGATTGGTGCAATTAGTTTTTCTGTACCTTGCTTCGTTCGCGAGATATCAGCGAAAAACTCTTTCACCCTCGATTTTCACCCTGACGCTGATGTTTTAGGTAAAAAATAACATCGGCAATGAATTCAGCGCACCCAAAAACATAAAGTAGACTAGGTTTCATCTCTCCCCCAAAAAATGCAATTTCATGTAAGTTTTCACTGGACTATTATGAAATATATAATTTTATGAGTTAAGGTGCAAATTTGCCTGTGTCAAGAAGATTTTCGTCACGCAGAGAAAAAACTCAAAAAAGATCGTCATGTCAATGTACAGCCAGATCTTCGCCTTGGCTTAAGTGGACAGATTGGTGTTTCGAGCTTAAGTTCAAAAATAGCTATGTAAATTGAAATAGTGGACATTTATTTCCTTTCTATGATAGTAAAATATGTTCATTCTACACCTGATTGACCAAAACAAACTTCTACCCAAGCTCTGAATTCCTAATTACATTACTTTTTCATGATTACTAAATATTGTGGTTGGATTTACTTGCCACGGAATCCTTCTGACGTGACTTCTTTCTTCAATTTTGATCTACAACTTGATGTACAGGTCAGAATTCGACCAATTTGAAGAAAATCAATATTTTATTAACACTAAATGCCATATTCAAGTACTTGGAGGTAAAATAAAAATTATTATATTTTACCATCATAAAAAGAAAATGTCCACTATTTCGATTTATATAGCCATTTTTGAATTTCAGCTCGAAACGCCAGCCTGGCCTCTTGATAAATTATATTATTTCACAAGCTAAGCTGAGCATTCTGTACTTGATGCAGTATTTTGTTAACCGACTCTCGTTGGCGTTTGTTCGCTCGTTATTTGTAGATTCATGTACCCTCCTATGTATTTGAGACTAATATATTAGAAGTTTCCAATCAAAAATAAAAATAGTCGAATAATCATCTTCTCATTGTTTTTCACGCACGTGGCTGTGTGCGGGGCTGATATTCGTCCGCTTAAAATAGTTATATGTGAGCGGCTTACTGCAATCCACACTACTATACTACTATACACGACTACGCAGAGCCTATTAATTTTTTTCTCGCTGTATATTATCTGCTTATCAGCCGCATTATCGTGTATGGGCGATCGGTGCGCTCTTTGTGCGGTGGCAGCTGTCATATTTTAGCACTGACGCGCGAGCGCCTCTTCGATCATTGCACTAAATATAGAACCGATTCACGCGTATGTAATACTGGCATTGTTCTTGTTCTAGCAGGCTTGTCAACGATGATCGCGACTGTTGTCGTATCGTAGCTGCAAAAAACCAGCACCTATACGGCTAATATCGCCAATTATATGTATTTTATAAAATTCATATCGCGCGATCGTGACGAGATAGAAGCACTGCGACTGCTGCTGCATACTGCATGTTCGGTATATGTAATGCTCAATTGATGATCCGCGATCGCGCGACTCTCCAGTAATACATGTAAAACATATGTATCGTAATGATATATTGCGCACGACAGACAATATTGCAATAATCGTGCTCGCGAAGCGTTACATGTGGTACTTATATATGGACGTACGTCGACGTCGATCGCAGCTGCTGTATACTGCAGTCGTCGACTCGTTGCAATAGCGCACATCACGTGAATCGTGTAATCACGTGTGCCTGTGTGTGTGTTTCAGCAGCAGTAATCGCGACCGACTGACTGAATGACTCGAGCTGCACACGTATTTCATATTATACACGAGAGCTGCAGAACAGACCCATATATACATTTTTTTAATGTAAAAATGTGAATATTTACACGTGAGTGGTGGCAGACAGAATCGCCGGCATTGCGTGTATACGCGCGATGCGCTCGTTGTAACATTTATATACCGATCGACGCCACTGCCGTCCGCGCACCACTATCTGCTTCTACTGTACTCTCGCAGACCGCAGTCGATCGTGCGTACGAAGATTATATTAATAATGAAATTTTCTCGATTCGTCATATTGAAACATCGCGTGTACACCATCTTTTATTTCAATCAATTAACGCGTATCGCGAATTTTCGAGCCAACGACGCCAAAACAACGACGATCGGCGATCGCTCAATTTATTAACGAAAGATATCCGCGCGTGTGCGTGAGTTCGTCGTGTTGCATAAAGTTGATCGTTGCGTCTCGCGGTCACGGTCTCGCTCCTCGCGCCTATTATACGTTCTGTGTGCCATATATATACGATACCGAGCGAGCTTGTCAAATGTCAATGAAAAGCCGCGCGCGTAAGCGAACTCGACGCAGAACGAAACTTATAATTTAAGCTTGTAATGTGTGTGTGAGTGTGTGCCTTGTTTTTTTCTTCTTTTTTTCTTCTTTTTTACTTCAAATCGTCAAGATCGTGGAATGTTACGCGTGAATTGTGATACTTATTTATGTTTCTCGAAGTATGTATCGTTCATATATGACGGTGATCGGTATAAACTTAGCTCGAATCGTTATGGGTTTCAAATTTCTCATTCAATGCGACACTTCCTATATTATTCTATAAAGACTACAGTTAATTAAAATTGAATTAAAAGCAATGTCTCCTCGACTTTGGATTTTCCATCAAATCTGAAACCTTTTTCGTTAGAAAAATCGGTAATGATCGCACGTGTCTATCTGTAAGTACCTGCACGGCAGACCTATCGCGCACGAGACGTATTTTTCGATCATACGTTACAAAATACACGACAATAATGGAATAACGAAGCCGCACAGTTCTCGGAATACAATTATTTAATGCGTACCCGTAATTGGTCTTTCTGCTCGTAAAAAGGAAATTCCGAGTAAGTTACTATATATACTAAGGCTCGAGAGGTACACCGCGCACACGTTATCCTTATCAAGTGACTCATTTCGTGGTGGCATAAATTCGATAAAAAAAGTCGCGAATTTTTTTTCTTTTGCTTCCCTCGAAAAAATGAAGAAAAAAATGCTTAATTGACAATTCGAGTTGTGATATGATGGAGGAAAAATATGTGTAAACGCCATAGATACGAGTGTGAATGTAGTGCGATAGTTTCCAAACGGTTGATACGCGCGTGCGAGACGTTGAAATATGTTGTCAAGATGCCCCGATATCTCTTGGTGGAGCAAAAAATTCTCGCCACCGATAAGACGGTTTTATGTGCTAATATATACGATTTTACGCATGCACTCGCGTGCGGATTTCTTTAAAGGTGCGTTTCGAAATACTCGTATTGTAATATCTATTTACACAGGGATTGAATAAAGCGAGGTGAAATTTAGAAGCCTACTATATACGAGTACTATTTTTTTTATTATAATAGCTGGAAGGAGCTCTGGTCGTGAGATCTATGAAATAAGGTTTTGCGACGAAAAATACTGGGGATACTCACTTGCAGCGGTAAGCTTCCTTGGAGCATGACTGCCAGAGCGAGAATGACGCACGCAGAGCAACACGACTTAAATAATTCTATCGATTTATATATTTTATACCTTTTTCAATGCAGTCAAGGTTGCACAGCTCCTGCAATACTTCCTTCACAAACCAACTTCAAACTACATATATTAAATCCCAATCGTAATCGCGTCCTTCGACGAGAAGAAACAGAGAAAATAAAAAAAAAAGACCGCACGGTGTTATGATATACGCAATGTGCGGCGCGCTCGAGCCGACGTTTTTCAAGCTGACATTATAAAGCCGCGCGCGAAACGCGAGCGCGAGCGAAACCGACGACTGTGTGTGCCGCCGACGACGACAGTCCCCGTCGTGCCTCTCGCCGGGTCTACGATAAGTACTGCACTGGTACTACCACACTATCGTACGCGCGAACGAACGCGGCGGGGCAAATTCGAATCTCTGCGCGCAGCGCGGCAGCATCGTAGGTAAGTGTACCAAGGCATATTACATATCAACGTAATACAGCGGCAGCGGATCCACTTTAATAAGCTGCTGCCGCTGCAACGCTCGCGATTCTGCACAATATATCACATACGTATATTGTGCAGAATCGCGATCGAGTCGAGAGTTTGTACACGAGGAAAAATTCGCTCGCGTTCTGAGAACAAGATTTATTATAGAAAAACTGCTAAGACGCGCAAGCTCGCGTGCAATGTGCCAGATTTTCCGTCCTTTTCTTTTTAAGATGAAAAAAAAACGAAAGAAAGAAAAAATCTATTTACAAAAGTCAAACGACGAGGACAGCTGCAAAATTTTAAAAGTGCATCTCGTACACAAATAAAAAAAAAACAAAAAGGGAAACAATCATAAGCGTTTGTTTTCGTGGTAATTGCACGTCAAAAACACTTTTATACCGATTGATCGGATCGCGAGCGATGAAGTGGCCGATCGCACGAAGCGAGAGCCCAGATTGATAAGTAAGACAATGTTTTTTTTCTATTATTATACACTCAAAGTTCGAACGTGCCGTGCGTATGTTAGCCGCGATAACGACTGCGGTCGATTTACGCTTATTGCGATTCTGTCAGCTAATCGCAATGCAAGCACAGGCATGCACACACACGCGTAAATGCAATTAAATAAAATATGCGATGAAAAAAAGCGCAAATATAAATGGAGCGATGAACGCGATGCTGCATGATCGCGACTCGTGCTCGGTCGGATTTATATATTTACGTTATTTACGTGTTTGACGTTCGACACGTGAGTCCCGCTGTAAATACGTCTTTACGATGCACACTTAATATCGAGTGTATTTGTGCTGGGCGATTATTAAATAAAACTTGCGGTGCACGCGTACGATTAAAAGTCAAGGACTTATTTCCGTTACGTATGTGTATATAGTTATGGAGCTTGACTAGACAATGACCGATCGATGATCGATCACGAGATCGTCAACTGCGTTATACGATCTACGCACATAATATAACCTTCCGCACGCTCTTACCTGCTCTTGCTTGAAGCAGCGACTTTTTCAATGGATAACGCTGATCTCTATAGTCGAAGAAAATTTTTTCGTATCACGCACGCAACTTTTTTCTTTGTTATTGTTCCGAACTCCAAAAAATGATAGCTTTATTGGCAAAGAATTCAATTTATCGAATGTTGTATACAAACTCGACTCGGCAGCTGCTACGAGTGGACTGGACATTGCACTGCCGACGAGGAGATATTGCACAGCGAGCGCGGCGTGCTTATACGATATTACCACACACTCAAACACTTGATTTCCTTCAACGTGTATTCGAACGCACATGCCTACTACTAAACTCGGATAGGAAGCTCGAGCTATTTAGTCGCGCTACTACTGCTAGTGCTGATGTTGCAGCAGCAGCTGCGTCAACGTTATAATTTCTACTATTCGAGGATGTCGATATTTTGTACGAACGAAACTCGAATTTCTTATGTAAAGCCCGATCGAATACTTGTTAAAAAAAACCTTTATTCTTCCTCGCGTGTTACGTATTTATATGATAAAAGAAAAAAATAAAAAATAATAAGACCGTACGTTAAAAGTTTGTTTGACTGACAAAGTAATTGATATGGCTATTGAAAAGCCGTCTTTATTGCATGACCCATTATCGGTCATTTTGCTAAACATCCGTTTATCAATTCGCTTCATTGATTCACGTTCGTACCTGCAGAATACTTTTTAAAACTCTGGGTAAAACCATCGTTTCTATCAAAATAGCATTCTGAATATTATTCGACAAGGTAATTTAAACAATTGAGATGATCTTTTCTAAATTTGATTTCAAATAGTAACAAAATAGTTTCATTATCATTGTTCAATAAGTATATGCATGGTAAATGAGTCTTGTACTAAATTCTCAGTGCAAATTAAATGCAGTTAGTAGGTTTATTAAGTTCATTTTTAAAAATTGATTGTGTACATCTATCTAATAAAATAGTCATTACAACATGTTCTGAACAAAAATAAGAGAAATTCAATCAAATATACTAGGTCATACTTTATTTTCATTCAAAATATCATGTGCACTCGACTGTATATACAGTATGATAGTTTCATACATTAACACTAAAAAAAAAAATGATTAAACATGAATTAAACTTTTTTCAAAATGCCCACGAGTGATAAAGAAAATTTGCTTCATTAAGTAATAGAATAACAAGAATTTTCATGATGCAATTTTGAGGTGTCACATATATTTTTCAACTCATTGGGTTAATCACAGCTACCATTCAAGATTATATCATTGAAATGACAATAATTATAATAATAATAAACGTAAAACATCAAAAAGTTATTGACTCGTGGAATGCACTGGACTTATGTTTAGTAATAACGCAGAGGTCCGGTACTTAAAGTAAATTATTAAATCTGTAACTTTGACATTCAACTTTATGGCATTTTCCAAAGAACATTTAAAAATTACTTCCAAATTTTTATGCTGTATTAATATCATCAATTTATTATCATGTATATATGTTTATTTCTATAAAAGGTATAAATAGTCCTTATGATTCGTTAAATTATGCACAGACTTCACAGTCAAAAGAAATTAAATACTTAATTCTTGTATTGATTGGATCATGCTTATATTTTACATGTATTATAAATGATTAAATAGAAATACCTTAAGTCAAAAAGTAATTTAAAAAAATCAATCTAATCATTTTTAGCTTAATATTACTTTATATAATCTCAGCAGCTCTGCGTAGCAAAACATGAATTTTATCCTTGATCCAGTTTTTGTTGTATGGTGCATACGTATTTGTTGATTTTTGATAAACTAAACATGAGAGATCTGTCAAATCATCCAGAAAGTCAAACAGTTGTTTGATGTCATACGTGATTGTTGGCGTGTTGGGATTCTGTCTTTTTAAATATTCTTCATATATTTTACACACCCCTGAAAACAAAATGATGATCAGAATACATTCAACTGGCAAAGAAACAGTGGCGAATAATTAATAATTTTCTCACCTTCCATGCACTCATTGACACTCTCATAATCAGAGTAAGTTCTGGTTTCTGGCCTATTTGCAGGTTGAACCAATAGAATAGTATGGGCCTGTAAGAATTCAATAGCAGCATGAGAATCAAGACTCGAAGAGAGCGAAAATTGCGAAAAATGTCGAATGCATTGTATCGTCGTGAACGTGCATGAGTGCGGGTGCGAACTCGTCAGGCTAACCTAGAAATGACCCTAGCAAGCAAAAACTCTACGAACGTATATCCAACGTCGAAAATCATTCGCAAAGTTCGGTCGGAAAATCATCCTCTATGCGAGATTCGACAGAATGTTTAACCTTCTTTGTCACATTTCGACTGGGTGTACGTGCACGACGATACACTGCGATTGTGCTCGTTCGAGCGCAAACTTACCATTGTGTTTACGTATAATCCCTGCCAAACGGGGTTATTCACGTCCGCAAAGTCCTAAAAATTAACACTGGTTGATACCCGCGCGGGTCAAAACGTGCACACTCGAGCACAGTAGTAACTGCTTTTCACTCTCGTTGAAACAAAACTTCTTTCGAGGGTCCGCAAAAGACCGCACACAAAATTTATTTGACCGCTAGGAGGTTTCGCTTGTATACATTGGGATCGCGACGAGAAACGTCTCTGACGAGGTTGAGCTCAACGATCGAGAGTTTTCGACAACGCAAAGCAGGGGAGAATATATATATGTATACTACGTGTGACTGTGTATAGTATTGCAGATGTATGCGCGCTCGTGCTATATATTTTCGTGGGAGAGGAAAAGAGATAGAAAGAGAGGAGAGAGAGAGAGTCAGGAGGAGATGGCAAGAGACTGCGTTATGTAGTTCAGTGCAGAACGTAAGCGCAGGTCCGCTTTTAATGAAAAGAGAGATAGGTTCACGGGGCGCTGAAATCGTTCTCTCGAGTACGGGGGCAACAATAACGTATCAATGTATGCGTGATTTAATCAAGGATTCTTTCAAAAATAGCACCGGCATAAGAACAATGTTGCGATGCGCGATGTTCGAATTTTTGAAAATTTGAAATTAGTGCGATAAGAACATTCCATTCGAATTTTATCGGTTTTCTTTTCGCCACAGTGCATTCGTGCAAAATAATATAACGTTCGGTTTACTACGCGAGCTTGCAAGCATGGTTATGGGCATGCACACATTTTTTACGCAAAAGGTTTTTACTAATGAAGAGTTTTTTTCTCGAGCATGTTTTGTAAGCATGTGAAAAAGATCGCTAGCCGGTACTTCAGGTACGTGTAAACATAATAATACTCCTGTTTACGGTATTAACTTTTCAATGGACTCTCGAGAGAATTATAAATAATTTTGTTAGATCTTCGCGATTTTGTAGTGTTAACGGGTTTTTATTAATTTTAATCATTTCGAAAAGATAATAAAACAGAGGGAGTAGTGGTTACATTTATCAAATCTCTACATTACAAATAAATACATTTTTTAAAAACATATTCTTGGCTAAATTGAAAAGCCATAAAACAATACGCGAGAAATATGTAAAAAATGTAATTCGAATTTTTCACTCAACAACAATTTGTCATAGCATGACACACACTATATTGTAATGAAACGATCATAAATGCATCAGCTGTCCAAAATTGATAAAATTTTTCTCGTTTTCACACGTTATTACAGTTTACAGTTAATGATTTCATACGATAGTGTTAAATTTATATATATTTTAAACCAGGCTTTATTCACCTGGGAAAAAGCATCGCATCGATCGTACACTTTATCTGTTGACTTTTTTTTTGCTTTTCGGAGCATAGCAGAAGTGCGAACTCCGGGCATGAGTGTGCGTGAAATATACGTGTGACATATATGGTTGATTCTCCTGAAATCTGCTTTTTGCATGTCTTTATGCCATATTCTTAAACTAGTGAAGATGAGCCAAAACTGGCTCGGTCATTCATTCAATATTGTTGTATTCTTCATGATAGGACATAAATATTTCAATTTTTTAGGGTCAGTTAAATTTGCCGTGAAGATATACATGCCAAATGTCACCTCCGTGGCATGTCTACATCTCAAAATCAACTCTATTTGCATGTACCATGCATTCTCATTAGCACCTGACCCTATAATAACTATGAGACCAGCTTCTATACATCCAGAGTAAAGTTTAAGTCTATTATAGGGCTTTGAAAAATGTTTTAAAAAAATTTCCCACGCAATTGAAAAATGTCTCGGATTTTAATCATGCTTCTGAATAATTTCAAACATACCGCCTGCTTTGGGTCGCTAACTCATTTTTGATGTCGCTAGATACGTAAATGTCAAGTATTATAGCCCAGCTTTCGATTGGTGTAGGTTGCGGGTTCAAATTTTACATTTTATCGATGCTGCGATAATTATTCTATTGAAAAATTCACGTGTGTCAAAAAAACGGTCACCTCCGTGGACATGAATATCTCGAGCTATGATCATTCTTTTTAACCGCTCGCCCCGTCAAAAGACTCGTTTTTCATGACCAAATTTCGGGTTGTGCGGAAAATTTTGTGCGTTTCTTATTTTTCTTACATAGTTGATCAAAGCAGCGATTTGTCACCTCCGTGTGTGTCACCTCCGTAACCGAAAATAGTCGATTTTAAGCATAAAATCGGACATAGTTTTCGTAAAACGAAATCTCAAAGCCCCAGATTCAATAATTATTCATATTTTATGGTTTAAAAAAGGGTAAACTAGTTCGCGCCGTTCAATATGACAAAAAAATTTTCACCATTTTTTCGTTTTCCATACCCGAAAAAGCAGATTTCGGGAGAATCAACCATATATATAGTAGGTATACACACAGCAGTCGCGGAGAGGAGAGGAGGGAGACGTATCTCGCTCCACGCGCTGTATCGTAGGTACTGCATGCAGTTGAGCAAAAGTCTTCGCGCGAGCCACAGTGATAATCGTGTGCCCCATTGATTGGGTCATAGCATATAGCACGTACGCCAATATCTCTCGATTTATCCCATTACCCTGTCGCGTCTGCACCCTATTAAAAATTGAGGGTACAGCAAATATCGTTACATAGAGATATTTAACGAGGATCCTTTCGGGCCTTCGCAGCAGCTGTAGCAGCAATAATAATCGATCGTCGTATTCGTGGCAAGTGTTGGCAATCATGGAGAGCAAGCCGAAATTGTGCGAGGAGCCGACGTGGAAGAAGCTGCAGGATTACTTCAACGCCAACGGCGCCAAGATCAACATAAGCAAGCTCTTCCAGGAGGATCCGGCCCGTTTCGATAAGCTTAAGTGAGTATAGTTTATAATTAACGATTTTGTTAAAAGTCGTGACTACCAAACTTGAGCGGATACTAACTATCGTTCTCTCTGTCTTCGACCTTCCGATGACCTCCCCGCCTCGATATATAGTAGAGTAGAGTAGTCGCGAGGCAGCATAAAAAGAGAGAGAATATTCTCACGCGACTTATCAATCGCTTTTAAACTTGTATAATATATGCATAGTTCCGCTTATCGGGCTGATTAACCGACGTTTCTGTTTTCAAGTAAATATGTGCATGTATATATAGAAACAGCTCGGATGTTTGACTTTACGGGACATTTAAAAATCAGATGTCACGCGTCTCTCTGTTATATACGTGCCATAACGTGATGGATTACTGATGCAAGTCGTCTGCTGTATTATATACGATCGACTCATGATTATGCCCATACCAGTTAATTATTTACTTACATTTTTATGAAAGAGAAAGTTCAATGATAACTTTGAATGTTTTGGAATAAAATTTTACCCTTTTGTGAGTATTCAAAACAGCGTTATGTAATGCTCTGTAAAGTGACGTGATAACAGGTTATGAAAATTCGCTTCCTATATATGTATGTATAGTAAAACGATCGATCTTTTGCAGCTTGCAGCTTGAGACCCCGCAAGATGGGCCGATTCTTCTCGATTACTCCAAAAATCGCATCACACAAGATGTCCTGGCGTTGCTGTTTCAATTGGTAAACACTCGCAGTTGTTCAATTTTATCCGGCAATTCAATACGAGTCAATTAAAATCATTTGACGAGAATTGTGTTTTTTTTTTCCAGGCGCGGGACCGTAAAATCGAGCAGGCTCGTGACGCGATGTTCACGGGACAGAAAATCAACTTCACAGAAGGCAGAGCTGTGTTGCACACTGCACTGAGAAATAGAGCCAATACTCCTATTATGGTTGATGGCAAAGATGTCATGCCAGATGTCAATGCTGTTTTAGCTCATATGAAGGAATTCACAAATCAGGTAAAATATTTTTTTTTTTTTTTTTTTGAAAAATTTAAAATATTTAAAAAAATTAAAGGTATTTAAAATAATAAGTTTATTAATTATTGTAGGTGGTATCCAAAGAATGGAAAGGTTTTACTGGAAAACCTATTGAAGATGTTGTAAATATTGGTATTGGTGGTTCAGACTTGGTAAGTCATTCATTACTCGTTTTCAAATCAAGTATATAATGTATCAAATTAATTAATGTGATTTTTCATTAGGGTCCTCTGATGGTTACTGAGGCATTGAAGCCATATCATGTTGGTCCTAGAGTTCACTTCGTCAGTAATATTGATGGAACTCACATTGCAGAAACACTTAAAAAAGTGAATCCAGAAACTGTTCTTTTCATCATTGCTTCAAAAACATTTACAACCCAAGAAACAATTACAAATGCAACATCAGCTAAAAAATGGCTTTTAGAGCATTTGAAAGATGTATGAAAAATTAATTGATTATATGAAACAACCAATTTTGTCCTATTGTTAATTTTCTTAATTTTAATTATTATAGGAATCAGCTGTAGCTAAGCACTTTGTTGCTTTGTCTACCAACACTCCAAAAGTCAAAGAATTTGGCATCGATGAGAAAAATATGTTTGGATTCTGGGATTGGGTTGGAGGAAGATACTCTTTGTGGTCTGCTATTGGTTTATCTATTTCATTGACAATTGGCTTTGACAATTTTGAAAAATTGTTAGAAGGTGCCTTTTATTCTGATCAACATTTCCGTTCTGCTCCATTGGAAAAAAATGTTTGTACAATAATTAATCACACACACTTTCATATAATTTATGCATTTTCTCAGCTTTATTATTATTTTTTTAGGCTCCTGTAATTTTAGCTCTTCTAGGAATATGGTATCACAATTTTTATAATGCTGAAACTCATGCACTGCTCCCTTATGATCAATATTTGCATAGATTTGCTGCTTATTTCCAACAAGGTGATATGGAAAGTAATGGCAAATACGTAACCAGATCTGGGGATGTGGTCAATTATTCCACTGGTAAAATTGATTCATAAATGATGAAACAATAAATTAATTAATTTTTACTTTAATCAATTACCATTACGTTTTATATGATTGTAGGACCAATTGTTTGGGGAGAACCTGGAACCAATGGACAGCATGCATTTTATCAATTAATACACCAAGGAACTAGACTGATTCCTGCAGATTTCATTGCCCCTGCCCAATCTCATAATAAGGTTAATTTGGTTTTGAAACTAAAAGTTTTATTGCATTTAGAAATGAAAAAATAATGGCATTCAATGTACAGGTGCAAGGTGATCTTCATCACAAGATTCTTTTGTCTAATTTCTTGGCCCAAACTGAGGCTTTGATGAAAGGCAAAAGCCCAGACCAAGCCAAAGAAGAACTAGAAAAATCTGGACTTGGTGCTGATCAAGTAAAAGCACTACTGCCACATAAAGTGTTTGAGGGAAATAGACCAACTAACAGCATTCTGGTGAAAAAGCTCAGCCCCTTTACTTTAGGAGCACTAATTGGTTAGTAGCTTTTCAAATTGTACTTAAAAATCATAAAGGAACTTTTATTAAATTTTTTTTAATTTTATTAGCAATTTACGAGCACAAAATTTTCGTACAAGGCATTATTTGGGACATCAACTCATTCGATCAGTGGGGGTAAGTAAAATATCATAAATAATTTGACACAATTATCCACTTAAAAATTATATCAATTAATTTTGTATCTATTTTTTTTTCTAAACAGAGTGGAATTGGGCAAGCAATTAGCTAAAGCAATTGAACCAGAACTTAATAATTCTGATAAGATTACAAGTCATGATTCATCAACAAACGGATTGATTGCTTTTATTAAGTCCAATAGTACTTAAGATTTTTAGAATTCATCTTTTCTTTTTAAATATTTTAAACAACACTCACAGACTTAAAAAACTAAATAGTGGTCTAGAAATGAATTTTCTGTGAATTTGAAAAAACGGCTGTATTCAAAATGTGTCTGATTGATTTGTTACTTTCAAAAGATCCTGAAATTTTCAAACATTATAATTTTAGAGACTTTACGTATGTGTGATATGAATTGCAATTTTTTTTATTAAATATGGAAAATTGGTTTTGATGCATTAAGGTAGTTGAAAAAACTTGTATGCCTTACTAAAATATCAAATTTGAAGAGTTTGATCCTTTTTGTAGATCAAATAACAAAACAAATGCTTCACCAATTTTCTCTTACCAGATTATACATATTTGCATGGATTGTAAAATATTATTGTTAGTTTTTACGTTGTGTGGAATTTATTTATCAAAATCACAAGATGAATGTTGTAAATGATCAGCGATTTACCTGTTTTTTGAATTCTTTTTGTAATTTGTTACTTTGCAAAAAAAAAGAGATGACCGTTACCCGAGATAACGTCGATGAGCAATCTCGTTATGTCTATTATAAAACAATGTCAATCGTGCGATTAGACGAGAAATCGTAGATCAATTAATACTGAACAGATTGAAGCATTGTCGTTCGTTATAATGTTAAAGTTGATGATGATATACGTATATAAATACAAATTATATTGAAAAGAAAAACGAGCCGTTTCTGATTTCTTTTTCCGTACGCTATGCACAAAACACACAAACTACAATACTCGCGCGTCACAAATTTTCGCCTCTTTTACATTGTACATCATACAACGTTGCGAGGGAGGGAAAAAAAAGCTGTCAAAACGTCGGCTCGAGAGCGTGCGTTCGTCTTTATAAATATATCGAAAAAAGATGCGTGGTACATACAACAACGTAGAGAGTCGCGATCTCGAGTAGTCGAGAGTACGAAACAGAGCGATGCATCATAGCTCTATATCTATACGCACACATTTTGTGTCAAGAAAACAAGACAGCTTTACTCAAGGACACGACGGCGCGTAGTATCCACACACGCGCGCGCCGCTTAGCTTCCTACATTCGTAGTAAGTATATGTGCATATGTCAAATAAGACGATCGGGTTAGCTGCGCTCGTGCACATTACATATACTTATTATGCGCCACGGATAGATAGTCATTATCTATATGTTTCTCGCGCAGCGCGCAGAGTCTCTCCAGTTTGTGTGTGCGCTTTAATAATGTTCGCGGGCCGACTTACGTCAAACTGCAAAGCAAAGCTCGCGCGCGCGGCAGCAGCCACCACCTCCTCCTCGCGCTTCTTCTCCGTTAATATATCGCTGACCGACTGTACGTCGCGCGGCTTCTTAGCAAATCGTCGTCGTCGCAGTCTTTCTGCCAGTCCACTCCTATAAACTACATTAACGCTACACGCCAGTAATCGGTTTTGCAGCGGCTCTCGTGCGCTGTGCATCTATTAGCAGCTTTTTTGCCGAGAGTAATGACGTAACCGCGATTATAACCGACTCTGGTTACTCCGTGGCTCTGTGTGTCGCCTTCGGAGAGAGACTTTATTGCATTACAAGTCGTTACGCGACTGATCTCTCTATATCCTCTCTCTCTCTCATTCTCGGCGCAGTGTGCATCGATCAACAATTTCCCGCGTCGCGCGGCACACAATGGAACAATAAAAAAAAACTAAAAAAAAAAGAAAAAAAGAAGCACTCGTCATTGTTGACGAGACTGTGCTGCTGCTCGTATTCCAAGTATATCGAATCATCGGTCCGCGAGAGTTAAAGAGGCAGTCATCGCGCCGCGCGCGGTGAAATTTTATTTTTGAAAATCCGCGTACACGACGATCAGTCACACAAGCGTCGCGCCGCCTCTCAGCATAGCCGAGAGTCAGCGAGTGCAGTTTTAATATAATACGCGTTTGAATCATTCGCGATCCTACGTTTGCGCGAGAAAGTCGTTTAAGTATATAAGGAGCTCTATAAAGCGCAGTGGCACTACGCACTTTTCCGAGGGTAGCGAGCATCCACAGGTATTATATAGCTCAGCCGCAGCTGTGCATTGTGTGCATACAGTGCATCGAACATGTGGTGTAGTACTACGTACACACAACAAAAGCTAGTAGCGCAACGTGTTTATGTTTACGACTAGAGTCGCTCGTGCTTTGGTCGTCCGCTGCTGCTGCTGCTGCTGCTGCTGCTGCTGCTCCGACTGCCGTGTTGTTATTGTTGTGCATCTCGCTGTCGTCGTCGTCTCGCTATTTGTTGTGATTTGTGACGAGTCACACTGTAAATATAGTACAAACACACACACACAGATAAAAATCGCATAATCTAATCGCTGTATATGGAGACATTCGCGACCGAATTATCCGCGCCCTACCCCCTCTTCCAGTAACAGCAGAAGAAGAAAGAAAAAACCGAATGTAAATTGATATCTCACCCATATACAACGACTGACAACCGACGACTGACGACCGACGGCGATTGCATTATTATTATGGGCGTAGTCGTCGTTATGCTCGATCGACTGCAGCAGGATACCTTTTGGCTCGTCTAATAACGAATAATCATCATTATTGTTGTTATTGTTGTTTTGCTGTACTCTACGCACCGCGAGTGACGTCCAGCAGTTCTGCTGCGCGATCAAGACGAGACGAGAGTGTGTGTCGCGGGCACTCATATATAGGCGCGCAACACGTAGCCGTCAGTTTTTCGCATCCCGCAAAGTCTCTGTCGTCGTGTGCCGTGTAAGTGCGCGCGACAACGACGTGTGTCGCGAAATTTGTGCTGTCTGCAATACTATCATCTGCTGCACAGTCTCGACTCGCGGAGCATCGAGTGACTCCGTCGTCGCATGTAAGTGCATCGCAAACACACAGACGCATCCAACTCCACTTATACATAGCTGCTCCGTGCGTGCGTGCCATAAACGTGACTGCAGTGCACAACGCGGTGCAGTTCGCGTACACACAGCTCCGAAGTCTCATACCTACATGTAAATAGCGAGTAAATTTGCTCTACCTACCGCGTGTGTATATACCATGTATGTATATGTATGTGCACAATCTCGAGGCTCTCGCTCGCGGGTGTGGCGCAATTTTTCGCAGTGGCAAGAAGGTGCTCCAGTTTTTACGGACTAGATGGCTTGCTGAATAAATGACATTGCAAATCCAAGTGCGCGCAAGTGTGCTGCCGCAGCAGCAGCAGCGATCGTCGTCGTCGTCTTGTATACACTTTTACCGTTGCGCGGATATAATTATTTAGCGGCCGAGTAGTCGGGCTTTGAACGCGCAATCATAATACAGCTCGCGGTACGTCACGATCATCGCCCACCGCGAGAGAAAGCTTAGATGTATTGTATGTGTACCTGCTTTATATATCGCGTGCGTTCAACTTGCGAGACTTTCGCCGCGCATTAGTTCTGTCTTGGCCTTTGTGTACATCGTAAAAGCTATATTACCGAGTCGTATTCTTATGTAGTTTCCAAAATTACAGCCGCTACATCCAGTGCCAAAGATATCAACAGCAGCAGAACCAGCAGTAGAAACAATAACAGCGACGACGCCGACGACGAGTGCGCAAAAATGAGTCTGTTCGAGAGGTTTTACGGACCCTGGAACGAGCAGGTCCTGCATAATCTCGATGCCAACGGGTTGCGTCATCGGTACGTCAGTCGTCGTTTTTCCAATGACGTCTTTTTCAATATATTATTAAAAAGCCAGCTGATTCTTTATAAGCTTTCATATTACATTGTACTCTGCTGCCTAATGCGTTCGATTATTCATGCAATCTTGACGTATCTTGTTTTATAGTCTCTTCTTCTCTCTCTCTCTCACGAGCGTCAGATAGTCCGCTAATTCACTTTCGCTTTTCTAAGAACCGATGTTGCATCTGGAATTCGCGACGTTTAGGGTCTAATTGCTACCTGTATATGTAATATGTATATGTGTAATGTACACGATGTGTCGTTTGTTGATGATGAAACGATAGTTTAACCTTTTCTGAACAACATCTTTCAGGCTGGTTTAACAAGATGTAACGATAATGGTGGCCCCCTTCATGGTATATTTGACCCCCTGTTTTTTCAATATTTATACCCTTTATTGCACTAGACACTTGCCTACTTGAAAAGTGCCTATTGATCAAAAAATGAGTTTTTACCTGTAACAATTTAAAAACCAAATCAATGTACAATTGAAGATTATTTATTTCTGCCCAGAAAAATGCCAATTGGTTTTGTATATTTAATTTGCTTTGTTTTTTTATTTGTATTAATTATTGAAGTTTAACTATTAATTTACACTTGTTACTTCCGTGTCCTAATATAATTTTGAATCATAATGTTAGAATGTAAATTATTCTGACAACCAACTACTTCACAAATCAAGTTTTTCCTTATTGACATTATTTTTTGCTTTTATTTTGAAGGTTTCTAATTTATGTGTGTGTATTTTAGTAACTTAATTTTTACAAATAGTTATGAAACTTGAGTACATAATATTTAATTGTATTTTTTTTATTATTTTAGAACAAAAACTTCTTCTGGATTATGGCTTGGATCATTGGTTGGATTAAGTGCCCTTTTAACTTATCTGAAAGAAGACAAAAGTTATTCAGAAATATGTTTGGTCACAGGAATTACTGGATTCAGCCTGTTTATCAGCTCTTTATGCTTATTTTTTCAACTAAGGAAAGAGAAAGTAGTCGCAAAAGATTACCATCTTTTATACTTTTTACCTGCCATAATTTCAGCTATTTCATTTTTACATATAGGGACTAAAGGTATGAATGATATTTAATTGTTAGTTTCTTTAATTTTTAGTTTAGTAACAAAATAGATTTTTATTTTTATATAGGTTTATTTACCAGTGCTTTCTGGGGAATATTTATTGCAAGTATGGGTACATGGGGTGTTGTTCAATTAATGTCTTATTTACCTGGATGTTTTACTTTGGGTGAAGCAACAGCTGTGATGCATGGCATCATTCTCTTTCTAATGTCTACATTTCAAAATTTGCCTTTAAGGTATCATTTACGTCCTATTCATAGCAATGATATAGTTACAGTAATACTGCAGGTTTGTACAGTTTCTAAAATATAAAGAATCTTTAAAATAGTTTTTTTCAATCAAATTTAATGTATTCTAGGTTTTGACCCTTTCCGTTATTGCAATCTGCATACTTTGTGCCAAGTACCCTATTTTTCGAAAAACTCAGTCGTTTTACTTTTTAACTTTTGCAATGATGGTTTTTATAACTCGTCCTGCCTTGAATGAACTACTTGATCAAAATCCTGTTTATTGGGTCATATCTTTTGTACTAAGTTCAAAAAGCAAGGTAAAAAAGTTTTACTGTTATACTTTAGAATAGAACTTAAACTTTAATTTTTTTTAGATTCTTCTTGTAACATATTGGACTGCTTGCTTACTATTTGCTTTTATCAGCATTAATTGTCAAATTCTGAAAGGTGATAAAGCAACAACTTCAATTAGAAAAATATTCCATATTTTGGCTGTCATGGTCTATGTTCCTGGTTTAATACTGGAACCAACGCTTTTGTATCTAGCAAGTGGAGTCATACTTTCATTGTTTCTAATGATAGAGGTAAGATCAATTTTGATTAGACAATATGTAAAACAGTTTATTAAAAAAAATTATATGTTTTTACTAATCATTTATTTGTAGCTTTTCAGAATATATAAAATTCCACCAATCGGTCATTTCCTACAACAAGGATTCACTTCTTTTGCGGATGAGAAAGATTCAATTGTGTCATTAACTCCACTTTACTTGTTATGTGGATTATCTTGGCCTTTATGGTTGCCTGCAGATAATATGCATATATTAATATTAATGAGTGGTGTAATGACAATAGGAATTGGAGATAGTGCTGCTAGTTTTGTTGGAAGTCGTTGGGGGAAACACCGATATATTAATTCATCAAAATCATTTGAGGGTACCTATGCTTGTGCAATTTCTCAATACATTTTTATTGTTGCATTAGCACTTTGTGGTATGTATAAAAAAAAATTATTACAAATTTTTTCTTTTTACAACAATATTTTAATGAAAATTTTGTTATTTTTCAGGATATGTGAATACTGGTCCACTGCTAGTCAGAATAATTTGTTCAACCATTTTGGTTTCAATTCTTGAAGCTTATACTGAACAAGTAGATAATCTAGCATTGCCATTTGTAAATTATCTGTGCCTTTCAATGTGAATATAAAACAGCACTTGAAGATTTGATTAAGACTTGAACAGCATTAATTGATCAAAATGGAAATCAGTTGATGCAAAAGTATCATATAAAGCAAAGTGAAAGTGAACAAATGAAAAAATTCTATTTTTAATTCAAGTTAAAAACATGTTAATATTTAGTGAAGTTTATCATCTATTTTAATCAAAATTAGCTGTGTTGATGGATATTTTATTGTTGAACCAATTATATTTATATTTAATCTATTTCTTAATTCAATTATATTTAAAAGTGTTTTAACTTGATGAAAAAATGGTTGTATAGATGAATAATTTTGTAAACAGTGTGTATGTGCTAAAGAAATATGCTGATCAGTGAATGAATTAGTGATTGCCGAACGTACTGTGCCTAAGAATTACTTAACTATTACTACTGAAAAAAATCGTTGCATTCCTATAAATGCACTTCTATAAAGTTTAGTTTTTGCAAAAATGACAATCTAATCTAAAATCTATCTGATATGTATAAAAATAGGTTATTTTTGTACAAAAAAGTAATTAAATTTCCCACTCGAATTTAAAATTCTAATATGGTTCTATTTTCTAACCATATGGAGTAAGTTACATAGAGTGTGAGCAAAAATTTTTGTGATATAAAAATAGTTTGTTATTAGTGGACTGTTCAAGATTGCCAATATACTTGTTTTTCACAAGTTTCAGTGTATGTTGTATTAACATTATATTAATGTATTGAATATCTTGAATAATAATTTCATAGTTACCATTTTAGAATTAACGCGAGGAAATGTTTGATTACTGATATATTGATTGTAAAACTCTTTACTGTATTGTCTTTGTAAATAATTGTTAAAATCGAAAAAGTAGTAATTTAGTTATGCCAAGAAGCAAATTTTAATTCTTCTTGAAAAAAAAGGTTTTACTAATACAAAAATGAATTACTTTAACGACGAACAATGTATATAAAAAATGCATTTTCAATGCTTTATACGAAGCTCATCATATGCTAATATTGTTAAAAAATCTCGTTCCTACACTACTAATTATTCCTGTCAGCTCACGGTTGTTTTTCATAATAACAGAGATTATATAATAGAGTTATAAATAAAACAATATTTTTTCACACAGACGTTCAAACTACTGCTTTGACAAATATCATGTATTTTTATACATTCGTTATTACCAATTAAATTTTTTTGACGCTTGACTTTTAATACTTCTTGAAGAATTTTCTTTATGCTTTTATTATGTCTTGTATATTTAGAAGAAGAAAACAGCAAAATACAAAGAGACATGATTTTCAACTCGTTATATTTGCAATTTTATTTATACAAACTATTGTTAAACTTTTTTAAGTTGTTTAATAAATACGTTGATACTCTCAAAAAGTCTATCTCAATTTTTTTGGGACGTCATAATATAAGATATTATTAATTATGTCTACGAGAACAAGCATTTTAACATAATTTTGCGATTTAACTAGTGATATTTTATTTACCCTCAGGAACCAGAGTAGAGAAACTGCAAATTATGGTTGGTTTTATCACAATTGGATGGAAATACCGACTACAAAAATAAATCGAGCAAACGAAATTTTTTTATAGCATTAGCTGATAAAGTTCACATTTATGTAAAATCCAACCCTTCAATTTGTATTTAATTTGTTTTCTTTGGATTTACGTAGCAACTGTTTATTTCAATGAAAAAAACAATGACAATTGGCTTAACAACAATATTACAACCCCGCGAAAGAATTAATGTAACACGAAAAAAGAAATCGGTAAATTCCAATTTTTTTCTTTGACATTATTTTATTATTGATTAATATTTATTATATTTACATATTTACATAATGAATCTGACAACATACGAACTAAGATTACTATAATAGAATAGAGAGCTCCACAGTTCCACAGTTCACTAATTCACTTCATAATTATCCATAAATTTTTTTTTTATTTGTTGGAGCTTAGCCACCAATGATGGATTTTTTCTCAATTTTTTCCTCTCTATTCTTCAATTTTTTTTCAAAGTTCCACCGAGCAAGTTCTTTATACCTTACCTTAATGTCAGCTTAAAGATAACAAAATTTTAAATGAAATTACGCCAGACATTACAAAATACTGCGCAACGCAAATATTTTCATCGCTAGCTTTGGTTGGTACCTGCCAAGTAAATGTGATACAAATCTTTGTTCGACAGATTGTCGATGACCATCTCACAGATCTCGACCGGCAGCCGTTTGTGAATCAACTCGTAGAAACGATCCAGTGCCCAGTCCAGGAAGAATACCCTCGCTAGTTTCTCGCACAGATGCAGAGCGCAAGCGTCTCTGGATCCTCGGGGGAGCTTGCTCAGTTCCCTCGAGCGCGCCAACTCGATGTAGCACTTGTGCGTGACTCGCTTTGCCGCCACTCTGGGCCGTAACTGCAGCAGGCGGTAAATCGACACTTTCGGAGTTATCATTATCTTTTTTGCTCTTTTCTTGAACTTTTCGTCGTGGAGCCAAGATCTTTCAAGAGCCATCGACTTCTCCCCCAATCCCTGCTTGATGAATAATTTCATCATCCTCTTGGTTTGGCTCGGGCACAGCTCGTATCCTTCCTTTTCGAGGCGTTCGACGATGCTCAGAATGCCGGCCGCCTGTCTCAATTTGAAATCGTGCCTGCTCTCGCTCGGTCCCGATTGCAGTCTCTTGTCGAAGTAGCGCGTAGCCGGGAAAACGAATCTGGACAGATCGGCGCCGTTGTCCAAGAGGGCATCGAGCACGTTCGGCAGAAGACTCGCCACGGCCAGTTCGAGCGGTGTCTGGTACAGCTTGTCCCGGGCGTCGACCCGTATCGGCTTGTGTCTCGCGTCGGTCAGATCGAACAGCATCATCGCCGAGTCGTCGTTGTAGTTGCACTCGCAAACGATGTGCAGAGCCGTCGATCCGCGCCGATTGGCCAGATTCGGATTCGCGCCGTTCGTCAGCAGGACTTGGGCCAAGTCTTTGCGGCCGCGAGACAGCGCGACGTGCAGGGGTGTGTTGCCTGACTTGTCCAGGGCGTCGACCCGTACCCGTCGATCCTTGTCGCGGCACGCTTTGAAAAACGACCACGCGAACGCGTACTCCTGCTGAAATGCGTTCTCCTGGCAGATGATGTGCAAAGGAGTCTGTCCCTCGGGATTGGTCAGATTGGGATCCGCGCCGTTCAGCAGTAAAAATATGGCCACTTTTTTGTTGCCGTAACGCAGAGCCAAGTGCAGGGGCGCGTTGCCCAACTTATCCAGAGCATCGACCTCCACGCTCCGATTCAACAGTTGACTGATCTGGAAAAACGTCACCACCAAGGCGTCGTCGTCGTCGTCCTGTTTCTGGCAGATTTTGTGCAGGGACGTCGATCCCTCCTCGTTGCCCACATTGGGGTCCGCACCGTGTCTCAGCAGCATGATGAAAATGTCGTTGGTGCAGAAGGTCAGAGCCTGATGCAGCGGTGTGTTGCCCCACTTGTCCGGGGCGTCGACGTTCACCGGCCTGCCGACCTCGTCGCAGGTCCGCAGCAGCATCGACAGCAAGTCGCGGCTGCAGTTCCGGCAGGCAACGTGCAGAGCCGTGTAGCCATCGACGTTGGCCAAGTTTGGATCCGCTCCGTTCCTCAGCAACAGCTCGACGATCTCCCAGTTCTCGTGCTGCAGAGCCAAGTGCAGCGGTGGATCGAGCGTGTTCACGCCCGAATTTCGCGCCACGAGATTGGGATCCTGGCCGGCCTCGAGGAATTTTCGGACAACGTCCGCGTAGCCGTATTTGCAGGCTACGTGGAAATGCGTCAAGTCGTTTTCGTCGGTGTAGTTCGCGTCGCATCTGTGATAAATTTTAAATAGCTCGCGCATCACCGTGTCCTTGTTGAAGAACCAGCCCCTGGCCGCGCGATGCAACGGCGTAGCGCGACGCAAAATTAGTTTCCCGTCTTTGTCTGTCTCGGGCTCGTCTTTGTAGCCGGTCAAAGCCACGAACTTGATGAATCGTTCCCCCTGTCGAAAATATTTGCTGTATCTCGTGCTTATTATAACGTCGACGGACTCCAAGAGAAGCCGATCGATTTCTCCCCTTTGAAAAACGCCTCGAAGGTCGGGAAGTCCAATTTTCCAATCCTTGATTACGGGATGTATTTTACGAATAAATTTGCTTCGGTTTTCTTTGACCTCCCAATCTACCTTTTCGCGAAAGCTCTTTAATTTTTCGAGTTTTTCTTGATTGAGGAGAGCCACGTGTTCGCCAGCTCGGCCCTGGAAACTTTCCGCGGATTCGTCGCCGGAAAACATATTTTAACGTTCGGTCGCGCACAACGCACAGTCACTAGATTTATTTTGCACAAAAATATCACTCGCTGCGACCTTTTTACATTGCGGCGTCGTGATGTGTACCGACTGTTTATGCTGCACACTACGATCTACACGAAGAAAACAAGTCACATGCTCGAAACTGTATGATGAAATGAATACACTAATGACTAGAAAGTGTATAGGCAGTTTAGTGGAGGCTATAACAGCTGTGTGCCTGTAATGAATACGCGGCAATCATAACAATATGTTTAGCCACGCCCCTAAACCAAAAAACCGAAGTAAATGACTCCGATTGTATCGTATGTGTCGATTGACGCGTACCGATCGAGATAAACTTTCGGTGATACCAAAAAATATCGATGTTATCCGAGTATCAAAATAATCGAAAAACTTTCAAAAGTATTACCAAGCATCGAATGATCAGAATTTCAATTTTTTACGATTTTTCCAGGGCATAGCAGGCAGACGCCATAAAAGTAGGATGTCTTCGAGTGATCACTGGATAGTAAATAAAAAATAATTAATTATTATTCATTTAACAGTTTAAGTTGAAAACAAAAAATGTTTGAAAATGAAACTAATGCTATCCTCCCCGCCAAATTAGTTTTCACGATTCACTCTGATTCTAATTTTTATTATATATAATAATTTAGAATTTTTTTAGAAAACGAAGAGAAAAATTGAGAAAACTTATGACCAAACAAACGTAATATTACATTCAAGCATTTGCAATTGCATAAAGTGAGTTGAAGATACTTAATTCTAGTTTTGTCAAAATTAAACAGAATTTTCAGATCTCTTTAATCTTTTTAGTTGTTTCAAATTAATTGGTTGCGTCAAAATATTTATTTTGAAAAATTACATTTACAAACGATAATGTGCTTTAGAAATCCGTGTACAGTTATTAATAAATTTTTTTATTTGGGTGAACTTGATTCAATACTCACCTTTATAAAGTGTATAATACTATAGTCAATTCTTATTGAAATCAAAATGCAAAAAAATGTTAACTGTCACGAAAAACGTGCTTTTAAAAGGCTGCTTTATTCATTTTCTGCCTTTTCAGCCTTCTTCGATTTTATTTTCAAATTTCAATACTCTTTGACATTTCTTGGCTGTAAGCTCTGAAGATTGAATTAAAACCATTAAGGAGTGAAAAGTATTTCTTAAATGAAAATTAACAAAATAGTACTTTAGTTCATGAATAATTTTTATATTTTAAAAAAAATTACATACACAATTTACGTTTGACGATTTTTTAATTTACCATACTTAAACATGTAGCTCAAAAATGTGTTCTTTCGACGCTTTCTGCGCAATCAGAATGCAGAGATCGTGTCATATCGGAGCCGAATACCTAAAAGCTTCATTGGTATTATTTATAGATTACATTTTTATGACTCTTGAGAACAGTTTGCATATTTTTCGTGAAATTTCGAAACGATGTTAACAATAAACACGACACGCATATGAATTTCAGGTAAATTTTCATGGTACCACGCAAGAATTGTTTAGTTTTATTTTAATCTTCGGTTTATACTAGTAAGAATAATAATACTATTGGTAATGATAAATAATTTTATTTCATTCAAAACTAACTTATTTAATATTTAACGTAAATACCATCAAATTGAGTAACCAAGCACTATATTATATGCAATTGTTCTTTTTTTCTTCACTTATGCATCTCTTTCGTCTTCTCTACTTTCCGATCATTGAATCAATTGTCATTCGAGTAAATAATTCGTTTGTTGCTGATATTTTTCCGCGAATTTTAACGTGCTTCACGATGGCGTAAAATAAAAAAAAACAGTCGATTTACGCATGATTCCAAAATAAACTACTGCAGTTACATATTTACATTTAGTCTATCATGTGTTATAATAATGCTAAACGACGCGTTGTGTTTCACATTGTATCATTTATAAAAATCATTCATTCGACGAAACGAAATGAAAAAAGAACATATGAATATAATCGTGTTACGTCGAGGAAGTTAGCTCGATATTTCTCGACTTCCATTCCATTCGTTATACTATATTATTTTGTTCAGCATTAAAATAAGTTTTATCGTTATAGAAATATATTATGCGTAAGTGCAATGTCAACATTTAAACAGTTTCATTGTATTAATGACGAGAGTCGACGAGGCGGGGATCAAAAAATTCAAGGGATTATCGATAACATTCACTTTCTGCGGCTTCAGTTAAAATTTACCGTACAATAGATATTTAATAATGAAGTTCAAATCGCGATTAAAGCATTTATCAATCGCGTCGCTTATACACACAACATTATACACGTTTAGTTGAAAGTATGCATAAACCAATAAAGACAAATTTCAAGTTGTTTTTTTTTGATTTCTTATATACTATCGTTCAAAGGTACTTTTATAAATCAATTTTTGAAGTGCGCAAAACTAAAATTACTCCGATATAAGAATCGATGGTGGCGCGATTTTTCAATCATTTGAAGTTGTGCTGAATACAAATATATATTGTCCAGAGATAGCCCATATATATATTTGTATCGATGACGTTGCTGTAAAACGAGCTTTATAATTTCGACGAAATAAATAAACCAAAGAATTGCCTGAATAAGATAATCTCGCGAATCTTGTTTGCATAATGGAGAATTGTATTATTTAATCAGTATTGTAAATGTTTTTGTTGTTTCTGCTATTGTCGGCGATGCAGCGCGGGAATCAAAATTTCGTACATTAGCACCAGCCCTCCTCTACTCGCGTCTACTCTCTCAGCTTGTGCCAATCGGCTATCTGGCGCTTGGGCGAGTTGCAGACCTCGTTCCAGTGGTTCAGCGCCGAGCCTTGGCACTTGGGGCCGCCGATTTCCAGCCGTCCGATGACCTATACAATGTAGACAGTGTACGTGTATAGTACAGTAGAGAGTACAGCACAGCTTGCTATCTTCTATACATTTAAAAATGTACTTATGAAATTTTTATCGAGTTTACCTCGTTCTTGGTGACCCTGTCCCAATCAAGAAGGGCAAACTCTAAGCTGATCTTGCCCAGACCCTCGGCGCCATTGGGTATCTCGAAAACGATCGACTCGTTGAATATGGGATTGAGGGTGCGCTTCTTCACGTGGGTCTTGCGCTTGGCGATGCGCTGATTGTTGTAGAGCAGGTAGATCTTGACGTAGGGATCCGCGAGGCCCGTCACGTCCATCTTGGGCAGATTGCGCGCCTTCAGCACGACCACGGTGAGCTTGCTGGCGGCCGGCTGCCAGCACAGCGACACGAGCAGCTCGCCGCGGCCTTGCGATTGTATCTGTGTGTGCACAAGAGAAGAAATAATTTTTTTTTTTATTAATAACGAGTTGAGAGCGAAGATTCGAGGCAATGTGTGTACCTTGAGGCTTCGCGGGCAGATTTCTCGACAGAGGGTGAGTTGCTGATTCTGGGCGATCTCCAAGTCGGGCACCTGCGACAGGGCGCAGACCACCTCGCCGATCACGTCGTCGCGCGAGTACCGATCGAAGCTCATCACGACAAAGTGCAGACTGATTTTCTGCAAGTTATCAGCACATGTTCAGAATTGCATCATTTTAATCGATTGATAATTTTTCATTTATATCAGAGTAGAATAATAACATTGAAGTAATCAATACTGAATTGTATTCAAGGTTCATGAAATCTTCAGGAAAAACTAATTCATCAGTATTGACTTATTTTTTCACATTAGATGCAAAATAATTCATGAAATGCAATCTCATACATTATTTTTAATGCAAAAATGAACCCCGAAGATTTGATTCTGAACCCAAATTTAGACATTCATTTTAAATTAATGTTTTGATTTATTTATTAAATAATACGCAATAAACTAGCAATTTACGGGTAAGGATTGCTTAAAATATAATGTTTTGATATTGATTCATTTGATGCATTCATTGCACAAAAATTGATAAAAATTCAATCATAATTGTTATATACCAATAACCCAGCGTTGGGTATAGTAAAATTTAAATATAATAATTAAAATAAGACCGTCAAATTAACACGTATGACGCCTAATCTCGCGGGTAAAGAGGCATGTGTGTAAGATGAACACAGAGACAGGCAAGCGCTGTCGCATGAATGTGTGTGTGAATGTAAGCGGCCAACACACATCGGCGCATTAGATCGAACCCACGCGCATATGTGTATCAGCCGAACACAGAGCAAGGCAAAGGCTGAAGGTATGTACGGACGTGCGCGAGCAACATTACCGACGCATTAGATCAAGCCTTCGCACGCGTATATATTCCGTGTATGTGTACTCGCGTGTGTGTGTAAGTCGAACACAAAGAAGACATAACACACACATGCGAGACGAGACTCGTGGAATAATTTGAATTGGCACAAAGGGGAGAAGCAGGTTCGCACGCGCGCTCGCAAGTCCCATATCTCCCCCAAGTTTGACCTTTGACCTCAGATAACCATTGGGCACACTGGTCTAGCGGAAACCGAGTCAACAAGTGACGAAATAGCTGGTAGACTTGCGACTTGCGGGAAAAACCCAAGACGTACCCCCGCCAAAAGGTCCATGATTTAATTAGTATATAACGTGCATAAAAATTAGGCCTCGGGGCAGATCATTTTATACAGTCGAGCAGGGCGAAGCTCTGGGCAGATCATCCTAAAGAGTCGAGTAAGGCGAAGCTCTGTGCGCGCGAATAATCAAATCAGTGTAACAGCGACTTGAAATATTTAACGGACTTGTAATACAACGCGAATTGCACATTTTGTACTTAGTGAGAACCAAGCGCGAGTCAATAACAGCGACTAACTTGTACTTGTACTTATACGCCGCGACCATCGAAATTGTTAATTGTATTCGCGAACGGTAAAGCTCGAGTGAGTGCTTCACCCAGCCCAGCAGCGCAACAGCCCAACAGCAGCGACGACCGTCACTGCAGCAGCCACCGCAACACCACCGAGGCAGCCGCGACCGGCGGCCAAGCAGCATCAGCGTAACGCTCCAGCAACAGCAACAACGGTAGCGCCCCGACGGCGTTTGCAGCCCTACATATCGACGAGCATCGGCCACACTTATTTTGTAAGCTTGTTCAATAGTTATTAGTTTTCTTGTAATAAAGTCTTGTGTGTAAATCTCACTTGAGCGTTATACACTTTATTTCATGATCCTTCCCCACTCAGACACAACAGAAAGTAATATTTAATATTCAAATAATAAAGTTATTACCCCGTATTAAAGGGTATATAACAACTGGTGCGATCGGCCGGCGGCCCGATTGAACTTAACCGATTGCAAATTACTGTTGTTCTGAGTTGGGTGTGATCAATGAGATGGGTGTAAAATGAATCAAGATAAAACAATAGAGAACAAAAAACAGGCCGATCTTGAAACCGTGAACAATTTGCTTCAAGATTTGACACTCGTAAAGGAAAAATTAGCAAACGCGACCAGAGATAAAGGAACTTTAAGAACTATTAACGATTTAGTAGGCCAACAAAATAAAATTAACAAAGAATTGAGTAAATTCGAGTACTTGAATATCGAGTTTGAACCAACTAGAAAAAAATTAAATTCATCAATAAAATTACTTCACGAAGAGATTAAAAATAAATCTAAAATTATACCGAATCAACAGACACCTTGCACAAGAAAAATTTCTAATACCAGCACACCGCGAGTCCCACAGGACACAGACAAATTAATCGAATCATTTATTGAAAGTTTTATACTTGAATTAGACGAGACTGAGGTAGCACAAATCGAGACTGAAAATATTAAACAGGAATTACACAAAACAGTAGCTTGTATTCAAGATACATTAGAAAAGCCTGAAATCAAAGAGGGATTTTTCGAGAAGTGTTTTAATAGATTTTTAGATTACGTAAAAGTTAAAGAAGAGGATTTATCGGAATTTTACGAAACAGTTATAGAAAATAAAAGTTTAGTAGCACATAATAATTTATTTGAAAAGTTTGATCGCGAAGAAACATCGGGTACAGAAGGGGAGGAAATAGAAATTAATAATATGGCGTATAACAGAGGCCCGTCGTTTAAAGATATTATACAGCTTGTGCCTAATTTTTCGGGGCGCGATCGAGACGAAGCAATAAAATTCGTAAAAGGGTGTAAACATGCCGAAGAGTTGCTTAAAGATAATCAAATGAAAGATTTCCTTAAATTTATTCGAGTAAAGCTGTCAGGAGTTGCACACGAATGCATTGATACAACAGCGATGGAAAGTATTAAAGATCTAACGGACTTTGTTGAGAGTAACTTTGGAACAGATAAATTATTTTTTGAATGCTACGGAGATCTAGCAAAATTAAAACAAGAAAATAACGAAACAGTATTATGCTTTTATGCGCGATTAAAAGACGTTGAAAGAGAAATCGAAGCAGTTGCGCGACGCGATGCAAAATATAACTCATTGTTCAAAGCAAATTTACAAACCGATCTATTGGCAGCGTTTAAAAGGGGTTTACGGTGGGAAATAAAGGCTCGATTGACGGCAAACACCCTTGACGAAGCACGCAACGAGGCAATTAAAATCGAGCGAGAAGACGGGTTTGACGGTGATAGAAATAAATTTAGATCATACAATAAAAAAATGACATTTTGCACTATCTGCGAGTCAAAAGAACATTTGACAATTGACTGTGACACCTTAAAATCATTAAGCAAGGTAAAAATAGAAAAATGTAGCTATTGTCAAAGCTCGGAGCATCAATTATCAAATTGCATAAAATTTAATATACACACTAGGGAGAAACAACCCGAAAAATGCAGTCATTGTAAGAGTACCGACCACCACTCAAATAATTGCTTCAAATTTGCATTAAAAGACAAAGATTCATGTAAAAAACCAAAAGATCCCGAAGTGATCACTATCAATCACATGAGCCAAATATGTTGCTCGTATTGCAACAAGCAAGGACATACCATGAGTAATTGCAGCGATTTTATGAAAATAATATATGGCCGTATGGATGATAGCAATAATAATAACATTAATTACAATGACGAGCAGGAAGTAAATGCGATTAACCTTATGAACACACCATCATGCACCTGGTGCACTAGAAAAGGACACATTGCGAGAAATTGTAACGAATTCCTTAATGCAGTAAGCAGTTGCTTCGCAAAGAATAGCAATAATAATTATAACAGTGGATATAATAATAATGATAATTATAATAATAATAGCAATAGTTTAGGCGGGCCAAATAACGAGTATAGATACAATAATAGTTATAATGACCATGGTAGATCCAATAGTTACAGTCCAGACAATAGACAGCCAGAAAGTAGTGAACATGGCATCCGTAAATGTTATAAATGCAGAGAGCCGGGTCATTATGCAAAAGATTGCAATAATTAGGAAAAACAACCAGCGGTACTCAAATAGTACGGGATGAAATATGAGTAGCAGGATTTTAAAAGAAGCTATGATTGAAAAAAAAAAAAAGTAAATACATAGAATAAAATAAAATAAAATAAGATATAATAATTAATATTTGCACCGGAAAATATTCTTCGTTTTATCGCTAAAGAAGAATTTTGAATTTAAGATAATAAGCGCGATGATGAGCTCAGTAACATCAATTTTAATTCAGGAAGTTAGTGTGACGACGAAGTCTTTGTGACAACGCGGTCTTTGTGACAGCGCAGTCTTTGTGACAACGCAATGAAGTCTATGTGAAAAAGTAGGAAGCTTGTGTGATGAAAATGAATTCTGTGTGCAACGCAATGAAGTCTATGTGAGAAAATAGGAAATCTGTGTGATAAAAATGAATTCTGTGTGCAACGCAATGAAGTCTATGTGAGAAAATAGGAAATCTGTGTGATAAAAATGAATTCTATGTGCAATGCAATGAAGTCTATGTGGAAAAATAGGAAGTCTGTGTGATTAAAATGAAGTCTATGTGACAACGCAATGAAGTCTATGTGATAAAATAGGAAGCCTGTGTGATTAAAATGAAGTCTATGTGACAACGCAATGAAGTCTATGTGATAAAATAGGAAGCCTGTATGTTTAAAAATTAATCGGCAACGCTACTTAGATCGTAATAGACCCGCAATGACAAAAAAACCGTCCCCGCGAAGTACATCAATCTCGCGTAGTAACATCCGAAAATAAAATAAGACAAATGTTTTCAAGGTTTTAAAGCAATAAAAATGGTAGTTTATGAGCATTACGACAGGATAAGAAAATCGTCAAATACCAATTCGAGCAGACGCGCGCAAGGGTATGCAGATAACAAATTTACACCTTTTAGACAAAAAGTTCACGAGTTCAAAAAAATAAAAAGAGATAGAAAGTAAAAGGTCATCGAAAATTTACACACAAGACGATCCGTATTTCGAGTAAGCAAATTAGTAAAAACAAATTTTAACATTAAAAGGCCTCGAAGCACGGATATTAGGATATTCATTAAAAATTCAAAAAAGGGCGACGGAGGGAAGTGTACTGCGTACACAAATAAGCAAATGGTTTAAGATTTATGTAATCGATGCGCTCCGTTTATATGAATAAGTATAAAAATTGTAGCGCGTAAATATTTTCTGCATATAAAATTGATTTTATTAAGTTATGTAAGTTGTATGGGTTATGCTAATCTATGCCGAGTGCAACTTCGATTGATATACCTAATATTGCATTTGTATATGATATATATTGTTTTGCGACACTTAATTGAAATTTAAACAAAAAAAAACTTCCAATCCATTCAATTGAACAATTACATTCACACAAACTCATGTACACAACATGTTAAATTTAAAAACAACAAAACTCACACGCTCAAAATTTCGATCAACAGCAAAAAAAGCAATAAAACTCAAGAGGCACATCTACGACAGCCTAAACTTCAAAAAAAAAAAACATTTTTTTCAATCGTCAAATTCATTTCACTAGTAGTAGCAGCAACATGGACAAAAACAGCGCAAGTGCAGTGCCCGAGCAAGTATTGGGAGCCTCTCCCGAACAAGTGGTAGAAGCAGCGGTCGCAGTGAATCCGTTCTGCAGACCGGCCGCAGGACCGGCGGACTACGTCAACCAAGAGCTGAGCGCCGAAGATGAGACCTCCGACGAGACTTCGGAAGCAACCAGTGAGGAGGATCTACGGACGCACAGGTACATCGTCATTAACGAGTACGACCCCCGCATGACTCTCGAGCTTTTCGGTGATCTCGTTAGACTTACGGTTAACATCGACTGGGATGCGAGATACCACGAGGAGAACTAGTAGGAGGACGCGCCAATCTGCAGTCGATGCGGACAGTAGCCAGACCCACCCGGGAGAAGAGTTTTCACAGCATTTGTTTGAGAACGCCGCAGCTTCAAGAGAAAGGAAAGAGCACGAACACCGTCATCAAATACATTTTACACAATCTTATAAATTCACACGAAAACCCTATATAATACATTTACAACAAAAACAAATATGCACAACTTATATATTATTACGGACAAAAGAAAAAGGTAAATCTTGTTACAAAACAATATATATATTTATATGAATAGTAGAAAGAAATATGCACATCTTAAAATAAAATGATATATAATTGAAGTTATTGTACGAGGACTATGCACGCTTAACAAAAAATTTATAAGAAAAATTGTTTTCGCGTTATTATAATTTTAGGCGTTGAGATGTATGCGCATGTTGTAAGAATGTAACGACATGAAATTCAAGATAATGAATAGAACGTGCGCGAGAATCGAAATAAGGGATAAATTATTTAGTGCCACACCACGCGCATTCAAAAAAGAAAAAAATCCACATTTTTGCGAATAACTCATGCGTCTAGGAGATAACAAATCGGGGCGCGCAGCCAATAGACTATATGCAAAGATTTTGTACGGTTGTTATTAATCTACCAATAGAAACAACTAAACCAACAAGACTCGCATATCACTACGGGTAAAGAAGGCGCGATATATTTTATTAATAAAAAATATATCCCCATGAGCAGGAGCTCATGAGTTCTCATAGGCGTGGAGGTGTTATATACCAATAACCCAGCGTTGGGTATAGTAAAATTTAAATATAATAATTAAAATAAGACCGTCAAATTAACACGTATGACGCCTGATCTCGCGGGTAAAGAGGCATGTGTGTAAGATGAACACAGAGACAGGCAGGCGCTGTCGCATGAATGTGTGTGTGAATGTAAGCGGCCAACACACATCGGCGCATTAGATCGAACCCACGCGCATATGTGTATCAGCCGAACACAGAGCAAGGCAAAGGCTGAAGGTATGTACGGACGTGCGCGAGCAACATTACCGACGCATTAGATCAAGCCTTCGCACGCGTATATATTCCGTGTATGTGTACTCGCGTGTGTGTGTAAGTCGAACACAAAGAAGACATAACACACACATGCGAGACGAGACTCGTGGAATAATTTGAATTGGCACAAAGGGGAGAAGCAGGTTCGCACGCGCGCTCGCAAGTCCCATATCTCCCCCAAGTTTGACCTTTGACCTCAGATAACCATTGGGCACACTGGTCTAGCGGAAACCGAGTCAACAAGTGACGAAATAGCTGGTAGACTTGCGACTTGCGGGAAAAACCCAAGACGTACCCCCGCCAAAAGGTCCATGATTTAATTAGTATATAACGTGCATAAAAATTAGGCCTCGGGGCAGATCATTTTATACAGTCGAGCAGGGCGAAGCTCTGGGCAGATCATCCTAAAGAGTCGAGTAAGGCGAAGCTCTGTGCGCGCGAATAATCAAATCAGTGTAACAGCGACTTGAAATATTTAACGGACTTGTAATACAACGCGAATTGCACATTTTGTACTTAGTGAGAACCAAGCGCGAGTCAATAACAGCGACTAACTTGTACTTGTACTTATACGCCGCGACCATCGAAATTGTTAATTGTATTCGCGAACGGTAAAGCTCGAGTGAGTGCTTCACCCAGCCCAGCAGCGCAACAGCCCAACAGCAGCGACGACCGTCACTGCAGCAGCCACCGCAACACCACCGAGGCAGCCGCGACCGGCGGCCAAGCAGCATCAGCGTAACGCTCCAGCAACAGCAACAACGGTAGCGCCCCGACGGCGTTTGCAGCCCTACATATCGACGAGCATCGGCCACACTTATTTTGTAAGCTTGTTCAATAGTTATTAGTTTTCTTGTAATAAAGTCTTGTGTGTAAATCTCACTTGAGCGTTATACACTTTATTTCATGATCCTTCCCCACTCAGACACAACAGAAAGTAATATTTAATATTCAAATAATAAAGTTATTACCCCGTATTAAAGGGTATATAACATAATTAAAGCCAGCCTCTGCCACTAGATGGCGAGTTCCGCTATCTGTAAATCCGCAAGTGGTTAAGTGAAAGTAATCGTAAAGTCAGAACATGAGGTATATATATTTTATCATCGTATTTTTAAGAACAAGCATAAATAATAATATCAATTCAAATGTATAAATTTGATATAAATGACCAATCACATAAGAATTCCAGCAATTATACATTGAATTATAGGTGGTGCAATAAATGAAATATTCAACCTTTTCACTCCTAAATGGACCATTTCTAGATAATTTTTTTAGCGGTTTATTACATCAATTGAATCTATTAACGACCAAAATGATTGATTTTTTTTATTGGTTTTCACAGTGATTGTTTTTGTAGTTTCAGGCCTTAAAAAAATTTCGCACGGACCTATTTCGATGTAAAATTTAATGCCCTTTTCAAAATTGTCTCAAAATTTTGATTGTTTGGATAGTAAAAAAGTTATAGCTATTTAAACAAAAAAAAACGTAAAATTTTTCCAAAAAATCAAGTTTTTGATTTTTTTAGCCATGTTATCATTAAGGAATCACGATATAAACATGATCAGGGGTTATTACTACTATCAATAAAAAAAATCAAGCATTTTGGTCGTTAATGGGTTAATAGTATATTTTGTAACAAGTGAGCGAAGCAGTTGACTCATCCAGGAGTTGTTTTCACCCGAGCGTAGCGAGGGTGCAAAGACTCCTGGGTGAGTCAACTTCCTCGCGGATTAGTTGCAAACGATATTTTTTAACTCTGCTTGCGAGAAACTAGGGTTTTCTGACGCTTTAAGGTTAGAAAACCCGTGTTTTGTTGGCTACTGGAAATCGCGACTCCCATTGATCAAATACATGCTTTCGAAAGATTTAGAAATAAATTTGCTGCAGGACGGATGGTATGTGCTACGAGATAGGTGATCGATAATAAAAATATATTTTATCTAAAAGAACCAACTTCTAAACCACTTAATAATTCAATTTACACACCAAATCATGTTTTCTAAATTTCTCAAAAATTAATAAAAGCTCTGATAATGGTTTTAGAATTGCGCGGTAGCGGTACTTTTTCTAAGCTGCCACTGCTTTTGCCACTGAATTCATCTTCGTAAAGGATAAAACCTCCAGCTCTTACTCCAACTCTAATCTTAAAATATTTTTAACAGTTTACATACCTGCAACTGGGCCAAGGATATGCCGAAGAAGGTGAAGTCCTCGTCGTAGACGGGATCGCGAGTGTTGCGCAGCACGCGGGTCTTGGTGCGGTGCTGCTTGTCGGGCAGCAGCTGCAGCTTCACGTAGGGATCGCTGCTGGCCCCGCCGCTGTGATTGCCACCACCTCCGCTGCCGCCACCACGAGCCGGCAGATCCTTGCAGGCCACCACGGTCACCACCAGGGCGTTCTGCTCGACGAGGTAGCGCAGCTTGAACACGAGCTGTCCGAGGCGCGAACCGAAGCCGTTGCCGTTGTTGCCGTTGGCGCTGATCGCGTAGCTCAGATTACAGCCGTCGACCTGATCCATCGATCGCTCGGCCTTCTCGCTGTTCTCGAGCTCGGCCTTGTCGCGCTCGTTCTCGATCACGAGGCTCGTCATCGTCGCCGCAGCCCCGGCCAGCTCGCCGGTCGGTGTCTGCAGCGGCGATATGGCTCCTGTACGTAAAAGTGGATACGGGCGTATGTGCAGTTAGTTCAAGTTCACGATGTGGAAGTAGAGGTCTATAGGGTGACTATCCTGATACTCGACCAGTTATGAAAAAAAATGTTTGCAGAAACCGTCCATTTTCTTCTTAATTACATCTTTAATTTTAACAATCAAAACTTGAATATTACCCTCAAAACTGCCAAAATTGGCAATGATATTTTGAGAAAAAAAATTGTAAATGTCGTTATTTTATATTAAAATGTGGTAGATGATTAGTCTTAAAAAAAATATTCGTTTTTCACATGCTCTGGTAAAAATGTACAATATTGTTAATGGACAATCGATAAAAACCTGACCATTTGAAATGTTTTAAAATAAATTACCGTTAATTGACTTGTTAATAGTAATTTTTCTGATACAATTATGTTATAAATATTAAGCACATTTTGAATGACCTGAAAATAACAGTTTAACTGTTTCAAGAAATTTAGACCAGTTTTCGAAAACTTCAACTACGATATCAGTTTAAGAGTTCCCCGCTAGATGGCGAGTACCTAGTTATGTAAATCTACAACGTCAAATTGGGCCCACGGTAGCCTTATAGTGGGTAGAAGCTCTGCTCTCTGCCCCGGAGGACTGGGTTCGATTCCCATACCCCGCCTCCTGTAGGAACACTAAATACCTGCAACCCCAAGAGCTTTTTCAAGGCCAGAGAACAAAGAAAAATGAAAACCAGTAAAAGGATAATTAAGAAATGACTTTGTAACTGAAAAAAATGATATGTAATGTAAAAAACATTTAAAAATTATATGTAATTAGAAATTTAATGTATGAAAATTTCAGAGCACGTGTAATTTATCATCCGAATAAAATAAAAACGTGGAGCATACTTTGTTACAACAGGGTGAAAAATAACTAAGCTAGTGATTTGTATACGTCCAGCTCTAATGGTTGTTTCATGTCCACGAAACTTTTTATTCGGTCGAAAACTATGTCACAAGAATTAGCATTTCTACCAATAAGTATCTGTTCAATATTTAGTACGATATTATTTCATTGTTTTATTTAAAAAACGCGTGTAAGACAAACATGAAACTTACTAATGAATTATTAACTCAACTCTACCGTTTAAATCACATTAAAACTTTTTCAAATTTTCATACGATTTGCCTTAAAGTGTCGATATATCAGATACAGCCACTCTTACGCTTAGCTCGGCTTACCCTGCGAGGATCTCGCGTGATGATGATGATGATGCTGATGATGATGATGCTGGCCGAGAATGCCGTTCAACGGACCCGCTCCCGTGGGACTGGGCGTCTGGGCGCTTCCCGGCGGACTCTTGGCCGGCCCCGTGGGACTCGGGCTTTTCTTGAGATAGTGGCCCTGGCTGCCCGGGCTCTTGACGGCGGTGGGCTTGCGATGGGGCGGCCGGAACGGTGGCAGACTCTTGTCGCCGGCGAGCTTGACGTGCTCGGCGCGCCGCCTGCGGCACAGCCACCAGGTCATCGCGGCGGCGCAGGCGAGGAAGGCCGCGCTCAGACAGACGGCCACCAGAGTCGTTGGCGATACTGTAAAGCGTAATTCAAATGTTAACGATTCGAGGGGCAAAATCGAAGATATTATACAAAATATGGTAAATTTGTTAATTTTGTTGGTGGGAAATTATGTCGTTCGATGAAAATGGATCGTTTCCGAGTAAAAAATGACCTTATGCTGCAGTCAAGTTTATATGCGGAAAAAAAACACAAATGGGGTTTTCCGTTCTTATTATACGCACGAGCATAACGATGAAATAAAAGATTTATGCATCCGTCATAAAAAAGTCACTCTTAGACTTTTCCCCCGAGACGCGGTGCTCTATATATTACCTATACGCATATATGCGACATTAAACGCGTCGTTCGGAATCGGGAAAACATTTCAAAGGCAGCAGCGTAAAAAAATTGACAGGCGCTCCAAAAGCCGATGTGGATAATAATAAATGTTTCGAGAGAGCAAAACTGTCCTAGTCGCGGAGGGATAATCTATTACTGACCACTTGTTGCGCGTAATATTATCATTATTATGCAGCGCGATAATCGAGTGACTATTTGCAGTTTACGTAAAGCCAATTGCGCAATCGACGCGTATTACAGAGGAGATGAATGTGCTTGCAGTGGTGCGTATTGTTGATATGGGACATCAACCACACAGATCCGAAATTTATTATTGTTTCATGATCATGTATTATGCGATAACAGCGTGGAAACTGCGAGGTGTCCTTTACAAAGCTTTGAAAGTACAATGAGAATTTACGACCTATGCGTTGCTCTTCTACGTCCTCTTGCATGTAACCACATACACACTTCGAGATCGAGAGAGCTTGCATTATTCACTCCGTGTACTTCTTTATTTTCTTTTCAGAAAATATCGCGCCTCGTAAGTATCGCGCACATTCGAGCAAAAGTTTTCCAAGCGTCACGTACACTCGCGTAATGTTGATGGCCGGAGAAGTGCACGGCTTTTGTGCTGCGCAAAACAAAAGATTACGCGTAGCGGGTAGGATCGAAAGTACGGACGATGTTGTCACCATCTGGTTCGTATCTCGCTTTAACACGAGTACGAACCCTTAAAAAAATTACAACAACTATTCAGTATGTTTTACGCGAAAGAAATAAACATATGTCACGGGCATCGATATATGTCATTCGTCTTGAAACCACCATTCACTTGATTAAATCGAGTATATAGAAATTGCTGTAAAAAAAATGTATTATAAATTGGATTCCAATTCGTCGATATGCAGCAAGTGACATATACAACATATCTTGCAATCTATTCGTTTCGGATATTCGATAACGCATAAATGTATCCATCTGCACTCGAACGGTAAATATAGACCCGAGCGAAGGAGAGATATGGAGACATAGACAAGGGCACGACGTATCGGTGTAATTTTATCCCGCCCCCACAAATCATTACATCGAGCGCATTAAAAATTTTACTCGCGATCATCAAATTTCAAAGGTGCATCGTTGTACACCGCGATACGCCTCGAGAGCTTGCATCATTAAGCTCGTAAAAAAAAGGAAGGATCGACGCAACGAGCTTACACGCGTGCGGCCGCGTATAAAACACGTACGTTCGTGTGTGTGCACTGGATAAAGGATGTCAGCGATATATAGGTATTAGAGCGCGCGCCCGACGTCATATGTTTGCCTATATTCGCAAGCAAGCAAAAAAATGTCTACGCCTCGCTACGAGACGTTTAAATTGGAAAAAAGTGAATTAATTACAAAAATAAAGGTCGTCAAGTTTCTAATTGATCATCGCATCGAGCGACGTTCGAAAACTCACAAGCGTGCTTATTGCTGTAGAGTCAATGGCAAGCTACATCTGTGATGTTATAACAACGATATCGACATTTCGTTAATCAACTTTTCTTCTTTTTTTTTTCTTTTTGAGTGAGACAAAGACATTGTCGGTAAAAATGCAATATCAACGCGTATCACGTTCGATATGTCAGTGCCTACACCTGCCAATTTCAGAAAAAAAAGACAGAGTGTGCGCATCTCGATCACGTATATACGCTTTATATATCTATATAGTCGATGCTGCTTCATTGAAACGTTTTCGATGTGTATGTGCATATAATTATACATCCGTAAAATCAGTCTCAACGCATCGACAAAAATCGACACTTTGTTGCGTATCGATCGCGAGACCTCGAGTGAATTATACGAGACGAAGCTCGGAAGCGAAGAAAAAGACGGATGAGAGTATCGAAGTGGAAAAAGCTCTCTCTCTCTCTCAAGCGAGGAGAGGGTATCCGCGCGCAAGCACCTCCAAAAAGACAACGTCGTACCTGCTTCGACCGGTTGAATGAGCGGGCCATCCTCGATGATGCCGGCCACCATGGTGGTGGTTGCCAACTCCGCAAAGGGTGCTGCTCACGAGCGACCCTTACTCGTTGTCCGAGATTCCGCTGGCGCAGGCCCCGCTGCGTGGCACGCGCGCGGAGAGAAAGCCGTCGAAACTCCGACCTTCGATTACGACTTTTCGACACTCGTGTACTCGCGGTGAAAAGAGACCTCGAGATGTATGTACTACTTCCCGTGTCCACTCTGCCTGTGCCTCGTCGAAAGCACTCGCACACACGACAGCAAAGGCTGCTGCTGCTGCTCGTCGTTATTAGCGTTGCGTCCGAGCCGAAACGGCACCCCTGCTACTGTTACTGCTGCTGCCACTGATATACATGCATACGCGCATGTACATGCAGGCAAGTAGCAGCACAACGTCGCATAGGGGCGCGAACACACGGCGTCGACGTCGACCCGACCGATCAATATAATAAGGCTGCCGACCGACGTAGCATCTGCGCATTCGAGCTTTGCTATATACTATATATACGTCGCGATCCCCGAAATGTCAGCGGTTGATGGGCAAATTTTTTCGGATGTTTTTTCTTTTTCTTTTTTTTTTGATACAGTCCAAAGCTAATTACGTCTTAGTATTTCGAAAACTCCGTGGGAGTATCGTTCATGAGTAAATTAGAAATTTTTGAGAAATTTTTTCACCACGTTTTCAAACTTGAAAAAAAATCATGTTGACGGCTATCTGGGGTCCCTAGCGACACCAGGTAAACAAGGAACTTTATATTTTTAGTTTAACTAAAGAGTCTGCCGATACTTACAACATTAAAAAAAAAAAATAATTCAACAACAATCAAGCAGCTGCTTTTTAGTTATGGGATGCCCTTTTTCACATCGAATCATAATTTAGTCCACTATCTCATACTCTTCAGTTTTTGCAAAAAATTGCAAAAGGGTAAATGTGGGTATTACTGCGGGTGCACCTATTACTGCGGGAGAAGAATAAACTAATATTATGATTTTCTAAAGGTATATGACTGTAACTTAACTATATGAGTATTTAAAGTAAGTTTTTCTCATCCTATGAGTTGAAAATTAATAGATAACAATGAAGTTAATTATTGTTAAAGCATTCTTAAAATGTGATTCTCGAAATCGATCAAAAAAAGTTGAAAATTTTCGTGTTTAGACACATTTTGTTGCAGTTGATTTAATTAATTGCATCGACTTGGAAAGAAAAGTGATAATTTTATCAGTAAGCATAAGTGATGCACAAAATATTCAATTAACTTTTATATCGATTTAAAATTATTATCTATTTTTTTCATTGATACAATGTTAAGTACATCATTTTCTTGAAATGAGTATATTACTGTGGTAGCGCGGCACATATTACTGCGGTAACATAACTGAATAATCTTAGATCTATGACTTTGCAGTTCGCCAATATCAATGTTTATTGAATAATAAACTTACAGTAAAAGCATCATGGGAAAAGTAAAAAAAAATTGTACCAAGTAATAACAAAACCAAAATGAATCCGCAGTGCGCAGAAAAAATTACCCTCAAGATAATGTTAATCATCCTGTTGAAGCCGTCAAAAAAGATAGTACCATCGCCGAAGCTTCAGGTACCTGAATCAACAATCCAAGCTTGAAAACCAGGAAAATATAAAAGCGACAGGTCAGGACGTTCAACAGTTTTAACAAAAACTGAAGAGAATGAAATAGTGGACTAAATTGTAACTCAATGTGAAAAAGGGCATCCCATAACTAAAAAGCAGCTGCTTGATTGTGTTGAAGTTATATGTCTCCGAATCAAGACGAAAAATCTTTTCAAAAACCATTTAAGAAACATTTTTTTTATTAATGAGTTGAAAATAATTTTAATACTATCGAAATCTTGCATTTGAAGCTGAAAAAAAAACCACCGTAATACTTGCTTACCGGATACGATTACGTTCGCAAGAGCTTCGTTAATATATTGCCTCACCAATCAACCTTGCGAGATTGGCGAGAACAAAATAATAGTTATTTATGTAACAAGTGCCCAAAAAGCGTTTTTGGACACTTGTATGCGGTAAAATGCCTCATTTTGACACTATATGAGTGTAACGATGAACTCAATATTCAATAATAAGATAAAATGATAATTGTACACTATCCAATAATCACAAAAGCAAGCGTTGTAATATTTGGACTGAGAGAACGATGGATAGGCTGCCGACACTCGTGTGACACTGTGTAGCCACGTCACAAAATTGTGCATCTGATCGACACAAATTGCGTTAGGCATGCCCAATATAGATGAGGGTTAGATACTCACAAGGAGACCACCCCAGCTCCGGGTCATGAATTTGCTCCAAATTTTTTTTGGGGTCGTTACCCAATACTGAAGCCCTGTGTGCTCAGTTTGATCTCATGGGCCTTAGGGCCCATTTTTTAGAGGATTTTCCACATTATGAAAAAATCTTTGTTATTTTCTATATCGATATAGAAGTACTTGAATAAAAAAATGCGACGACTAAAAGTTTTAAAATTTTTCAAAGAATCTGCTTGAATTTTTCCAGAATTTTTGGGGCCATCTATCACTTAATTCAAGAGGCCCAAATTTGAAGCTTTTTTAATAGATTTTAGGACTTCTTAAAAAGAGTGATCTGCCATTCATAGAAATTTTTTTACATTCATATCGTCCACATGATACGATACATTATTAACTTGCAAATAAGTAGTGTAATGCCCCCGTGCCAATAAATTACCACGGTGACATATGAATCCTCGTAATTTGTAACATTTATCAAATAAATGGGGAACATCGTCTAGACACCTAAAAAATAAAATATTTAAAATATCTTTTTAAAACTACAATCATGAATTTCGGAAATTTTTTCCGCTGACTCGAACCCAAAAACGCTTTATTGGGCACTTGTTGCATGAATAACTATTATTTCTAAAATGAGGGTCAAAATAATACTTTTTTACAAAACTGTGCGCATGTATGTCACCGTTTTTTACGCTTTTTGTTATGTTATACTACATGGAAAAAAGTGTCAAAACCAAAATTAGTAGTGTGCTTTCAATTCCACCGCCAGCTTCACAAAGCTGGGAAAAGGCGCACGGAAACAGCTGTATCTCAGTGCAAAAGCAAAATTTTTGAATTTCGAAATATGCAATGGAAAGGGGAGAAAAAATCCTGTTCAAAAGTTGAATAAAAAAAATTTTGAATTTAAGGTGTATATAAGCCCTTAAAAGGCTTCTTATAATATGTGGAAATCCGAGAAACTTTTAACTTTCCGATAAAAAAAAAAACATTTTTTTTTGGAGTACGCATCCGTAATATGCTTTTTTGTAAACTTTTGGACTTGAAAAGTGATAAAAAAGCAAGGCTTATGGTTTTAAACCATCGATCATTTTTTTAAGGCAAATAGTATGATAATTGTTAATTTTTTCCGTTTTCGCAGTCCCACTGAATGTAATAAAAATTGAGAAGGACTGTGATTTTTTTAAATAAACCGTTTATAGTTGATGTCAAAAAACGAGCAAAATTATAAACACAGTCAAGCATTACAAAGAAAGAAACACAAGTTAGATGGACGCATCTTATAATGTAAACACATAGGAAGCATTTCACGTCAACCCACCCACGCTACAGCGTATTATTTACTCAAATCGCGCAATATCTACCTAGCTATAAAACTACCCATTTTTAACTACGAATTTGAAAAGAGCGGAAAATTTTACGTTTTAACATGCTTTTTTTTAATATTTCGCTATCAAGTTAACAATTTTAGCATACTCGATTTTATTTAGACGAGGTATTTTATGTACTGCAAGCGGTATCTACAAAATAGTCTACAGGGTGCTAAAATAATCGTAGAAAGCTCTATTTTTTTTAAATTGCTCGTTGAAAAAAGAACTTTCCGATGATACAAGTTTAATTTGAACTAAAAAATAATGTAGTCCACGTGAACGTTCAAAAGATCCAGTTTTTCGGTCATTTAAATTGTTATGCTTTAATGCGACTACCAACTGGATATTGACGCAGATGGATTGAGCAACTCGAATCCATTCATAATATATATGGATTTAAAGAAGACAAAATTTCCAAGAAATGAAAAAAAAATTCATCTTGATTCGATGAAAATAGACAGAGATAGAAGCATTTGAAAATTTACGAAATTTCAATAAAAATTGTTATTGCGATAAGTATAATGCGGAGCTAGAGGCAAATTAAATTTGATCGTCCTGCCAAAATGTCCAAAATAGCCCAAATTAAAATTGGCTTGGGGCGCGAAGTCGATTTTTTCCACCATCTGAGTGTGCTATCAAAAAATGTGTTATTTTTAGTCCGTTGGCCCGGCATAAATGTTGTATTCAATTCGATGTAACTTTTTTTCCTTAAGGAGCACGCGGTCCCGCGACGTCTCAATCGATTCGGTTTCTCAAGACCTTTAAGTCCCTAAATTTTGGTAGAGAATGATTAATCGATCATCTCAGAATATTCGATAAAGTATGAAAAACGTAATTTTGTAAAATTCGAGTTTCCATTACATACATTACATAATTAAGGATTGGGAGTCTTGTGACGAGGGCACGGCTTGGATACAATTTTTTTGAAAAATATAATCCCTCAACTACCCAGAAAAAAATTTTGAAGGTGAATCGATCATTTCTAAATATCACTAAGAAATTATAAATCGGGCCCGGTTCCTTTTTACAGTGTGATAAAATCGTATGAAAATCATTTTATAACTCAGTATACTCCATGTTACACTCGTAAAATCTAATAATATATACATGATGACTTTCAATATAGTTTATAATAACAGAAGTATAGTCACTGATCCTGTTTAAATAATTACAGTACGAGTTCCACATCGGTTCCTTAAAAGTTAAAAGTTTCCCGGATTTCCACATGTGCTCCTTGATTCATCATGTATTATGATGTATGTGATGTACAAAATGCAGTGTCAAAATTTACTTCTAGAGGCCTCTGACTCCGCGGCAGTCTGCACTCTGCTGCAGCCGTCTCTCTATACCACGCGCTTATCGCCAGACCACGCCGGTACAAATTTTTCATAATAAGTCTCAAAACAAAAAAAGAAAAACATCAGAACCTGTTTCCTTAAAAAAAAATTCATTTATAACTAAAAGTGTATAGGATTTCATCTACAATTACGTATTTCATCGAATGAAAAGCTACTGTTGTTAAATAATTTAACATAACCTTTGGTTTTAATTGTATTATTGTGCCAAGAGTAAGTAAAAAAAAACTTGCCAAGATGACAGATGAAAAACAATTCGACGAGTATCTCGGTGGATCTGAAAAACTACCTCACGATGTTCACATTCTAAAAATTGCTGCTGCACGAGCTTCTGAAATAGCTGGAATGAATTATAATATAGGTAATATTTAAATTTTAAATACTTTCATTTTCTACTTTTCATTTGGAGTAGATTTTATGTATACGTATATATTTATATTTTTGTTTTCTTATTTATAGGAAATCCACGGCAAACCAAATTGATTTTCCAGAAATTACCTGTACACATGCGGAGAAGAGCAATGTCTCATAATGCAAAGAGAATGCCTCGTAGGCTTAGGAAAGGACACATTAGCCAGATGACAAAATCTGGACTACCTCCTAAGTCAAAGCGACCATCTAGAAAATACCGCAGAAGACCAAAAAATTTGCTCCTAGAATATAATAGAAGACAACAGAATAATTTTTGGCTAGAGACTCACATATGGCATGCAAAACGTTTTAAGATGGTTGAAAAATGGGGATTCAAGTTACCTATGCATTCAAATGATAGATGTTTTAAAGCTAGTTACAGAGCTGTAAAAAATCATTGTTTATTACAAGATATTTCATACTACACTTGTTTAGAAATCAGGGGTAATGCAGAAAATTTAAAAGCAAAGTTAAAAGATCATTGTAATCAAAATGAATTGACTTTTGGAGCTAAAACTTTTATGAGTGGACAAAGAGAAGGTACTCTCATGTTTTATAAGAAAAATGGATATCCCAATCATCCAATTGGTCACGTTACATTTATGTGGAACAATTCTGTATCTAATGAAAAATCAATCTGGTTATGGATTCACCCTGCTTTTTACAAAAATATTTTAGAAGAAATTATATCAAATTTTAACTTTAATTTGAATCATCCTGATCAAACAAAGATCTCAGAAGGTACTATCCCATTTTCAGAACTAAAACTCAATCAAATGATAAAAATTCCAGTTTTCAGTAATGCAGAGGGATGCAAACTAATAATATTAAGGAATTGCTTGAACAGGTTCAGATTGAGTGGGCCTTTGTGTTTGAGTACAATTACTGAAGCATTCAAAGTCCCAAATTTAAATATGAAATTTCAAACTCCATTTATTACTAGCAATCTAATGAATACAAGAAAACTGAATCTAAAAAATTATAGTGATGAATCTATGGAACTAGATACTGATGATAAAGATGTTGGAGACAGTTGGTTTAGAAATTATTATCAGTTTCAAAATGTAGAAAATGTAGAATCTTTCAAAGTACAAAAGGAGTTTTTTGATACTTTAAAAACATTGAAATCACCTAGCCAATTACCATCAAATATGATACTAGGATTAACTATTCTAGATCCTAGATTTTTTTTACCATCGAAAAGGAGAAAATCATTATTAAACTCGAAAGTTATTGAAAACACTTTGATTCCTCCTGCTTTAGCAACCACAAGTTCTCTTTGGGATGAAAATGTAAGAAATTTTCTATCTACCAACTGTAAATCAATGTCATTTATTAATAATCTTAGAACTAAAAATTTGGTTCCTGGTGTGCAAAATGATGAACTTTATAGCGAAGATATCATGCAAAAAATACCAATTATAATAATCCAAAGACCTGGTCATCATTCAGATAGTAATTACACTGAATTTAGTGCTGGATTTGATATTATTTTACCTGCTGAATGGTCAATGCCTGTATGGCTTTCTCTTATTTTACGTTGTGCCAGACCAGGTGGTTTAAGAGAGTCAAAATCAATTGCACAAGAGTGTTCAAACTTGAATGTCCCATGCATCAATCATCCAGACACAGAAGCTTATCAGATTGAAGCAGAGTATACAAAAACACAAATGATTGAAAAATATTTTAGGCTGCCACCAAACAAAAGAATAAATTATGTAAAATTTGGTATAACTAGTCCATTTTTTTGTGAGTGGAAATTGCTTATGAAAGAATGGAATGGCTCTGATGATTTTTATATTTTTAGGGAAAAAAAAATTCTCAGACAATTAAGTAATGAAATTAAAAGTAGCTTTGCGTCTCAAAAAAATCAAAGAAATGGGCAAGTAGAACAAACTGTGACATCAATACAAAAATTATTTGACAACATTGAAAACAAAAATTGTTTTCTTCCTGTCAGAGTTGTTGTGGAAAGAAAAGGGATACCAAAAGATTTTTCTATAATATGTTTACCATCAAAAGAAGACATAGAAATGTATTTGAAAGATAAAGATTGGACAGGACCAATTGAATCCTTCAAGTCTGATTCAAATGAAAATAAACGAAAAAATTTAAGAATAGGTCATCAAGCTTTGTTGAGAAAATTAAGAAGACAAAGAATAAAATTACTGCAAAAAATGAAAGACAATTCATGTCATATAGCTCCCAAATCATGTGAAGAAATGAAAAAAGTTAAGAAAGTGAATCAAGTTGTAAAAAAAAAGTTACAAGATCGTAGCAAACCATTTATTTTACAACAAGCTCAAATTATGGCTAATCTTTACTTACCAAAATGTGAAAGCGTAAGAAAATCATGTGATAGAGAAGTTGTTGGATATGTTACAAATGGTTCATTTTCATATTCTGAAGCAAAAGGTATAGGTTTAGGATATGTTGTTGCTACTTCTGTTTTTAATAATTTCAAAGAAGTTTCAAATTTCATTCTTATCAGAAATAGTACAACACGACAATATAGAATATGTAAATTGGAAATATTAAATTGTTAAGACTATTTTATGTAGCAGATTGTAAATATAAAGTAAGTTTTTCAATGTTTGTAAATATTTAATTAAATACTTTCAAACTTAACATTGTTTTTATTATTATTATATAATCTTTGATGATGAAAATTTTTTTCAAAAAAGTTCTGAAGGCAAATCTTTCTTATATGGAAAACTACTTTGTGTACCAGTTTTCATTACACTATATCCAGCAATCTTGTTAGCCCTAACAATACAATCATTCAATGAAAGATTTTTATGATAGGCTAGGTAATACGCTAGAGCACCAATAAATGCATCACCAGCCCCCTAGAAAATTATCAGAAAGTGAAAAATTTGATTCTTACAGAGGTATAATGTTAAAAAAGATAATAAGGCATACAGTTGTGTCGACTGCTTTGACTGGTTCTACTGGGGCATGCACAACTCTTTTATCATTTTGGGAAGCATGTATAACTCCTTGAGCACCTAAAGTTATAATTATTACATCACAACCTAAAGCTAAAAAAGAATCTGCAACTAATTGGCCATTAATTAGCGAAACATTTTTTATTCCAGTGATAGCTTCTGCCTGTAATAAAAAATTTTGTCATTCTTACATGGAAGTAATAAGTTTAATGCTTCCATTCATAAATATATACAAACCTCTATTTCATTAACACAAAATATATCACACAATTTAAAAATTTCAAAATCGATATCTGTTGGCGCAGGTGCTGCATTCATTATAGATATTCCTGCATTAATGTATTTTTATTAACTTTCACATTAAATTATATATTTTGATTAAATTTGTATTTAAAACTGAGAAGACAAACCATGTCCATTGTACAGTCTTAAAGCTTCTAATGTTGTTTCCATTGGAATTTCTAACTGACAAATAAGTACTGATGCAGCTTGAATTTTTTCTTTTGCATTTATTACATCATTTTTTGATAACAATCCATTAGCACCTTTAATTATAACAATAGAATTCTCCCCTAATGGAGTGAAATTCATTACGTTTAATTTAAAAATTAATGGGAGCAAATTAAATTATAAATGATACTAATCATTACCAGTTTCTGCAACAGCAATTTGAGCCACTCCAGTGTGGATTTTATCTTTAATTAAAACTTCATCAGTTGAAACATTTTCGTCTTTTAACTTTTTCATATAATCATGACCCAATGCATCAGATCCCAACTGAGAGTAATTAATTATAATTCATATATTGAATAATTAAAGAATAAATATTATGATAAATAGTTACTGCTGTGACAAATAGAGTTGAGGCACCAAGTCTAGCAGCTGTAACACATTGATTTGCACCTTTTCCACCAAAACCTTGTTCAAATTTACTACCTTCCAAAGTTTCTCCAGGTTTAGGTAAACGAGAGGAATATCTAGAAATAATTCAAGATTATATTTCTTTGCTTTTTAACATTTAAAACATGCATAAAAACTCACGTTATAAAATCTATCATACATGATCCAACAACAACAATCTTTTCAGTCAATTCAGTCATTTTTGTTGTTTCCTTCAAAATATGACTGAAAATTAGTTGATTCTCTTAGTGCCATAAACATTTAGAGTATAGTATATCAATGATAAACTTTATCTTTGCATTTTTCATAGATAAGTTTCTTAAGCAAGTTACACTAAGAAATTGATGTTTTACATTGCTAATCAAAATGATACTTACAATTTCGAAATTATTATAACTGATATCTATGGTTTGTTGTGTAAAATGCGGTTGAGATAATTAATAATACAGTTTCTTCACAGCCTTAGTTTTAATAAATAAAAAATAAGAAATCAAAAAATAACATCTGGTTAAAATGAATTTGAAATGTTAGTAAAGCAAGAATGTCATTGTCCAGACTTCTACATTCACAGACTAAACTTGAAACACACTCACACTTGGAGCAATAACACAGTTGGAGGGGATAGTAAATCTGTAGTGTAAGAGGCCGGATCATCTTTCGATTTTAAATTTTTAAGATATCTTACTGATTGTGTTAGCTTGGAAAAGCGAATATAAATCCTAAATAAAATAAAACTGAAGCATCAATCATAGCTGATCAATAAAATAGAATTTTATTCGAATTGAAAAATTATCAATAGATTATTATTTCATTAAAACTCTCTGATCAGTTTAGTTTTTATTCATTCCAAGATTAGTAATTAGTTAATACGTGCTTCGTTTCGATATTTTCTAAAAAAAATTTGTCACTATAAATAAAACTTTACAGTATAACAACCAAATTGCACCTCAATTTTATATTACAAATATAAAAATAATTTTATTACAGATATAAAATTAAGGTGCAATAATGAAATACAGAGGTTCAACTGTATACTTATATAGGATATTTTAGCAGGGAAAATAAGTTCAATGAAATTGAAGAACGTAAATAATTTATTTCTCAATTCATCATATTTTCAACTATACATTATGTACTCGTTGATTTATCACAAAACGTCCTATGAAAGGATTTTGAATTAAGAACTAAAATAATTAAATACATTAAATTCTATAATTATTTACAGTATGTACTTAATATAGACTTAATTAGATATAATTATTTACAGTATGTACATTTTTCACAAGTTTGATATACCATTAATGTTTATAGTAATCGCTAGTAAATTCTTAAATGTACTTCTTATTACACTAGAAATTTCAACAATTGATATAGATTAACGAATATTGCTACAGACTTTTTGTTACAATAAACTTTGCATAAAAAATTTCGAAAGAAAAAATTGACGTGTTTGAACGTATTCTTCAAGTTTTTTAACATTCACTTCTCTTACAAAACTGTCCTTACAATAATTTGAATACACGTTTAACTAACGTTAAAATCTCTGCAAAAATGTCATGTATTTCAACAGATTTTGATTGCTTCGAACACTCTAAGTATATTTTGGTCTCGTTAAAAAAGTAAGATACAAAAGTAAATAACAATTAATAAGACAACGATCTTTGTTACAAGATATTTACAACTGTACAGAGCAAGGATGAGGTAAAAAATAAAAATTAGGCGACGTCGATGGCCGCTGCATGATGCTTGAAGCCGTTGAACGGCCTCGGATGCCTGTGCAGCTGATGGTGCGCCGTCGCCTGCTGCAGTCTCGGCGGCTTGCTCGGGGCGGCCAATAGACGACTCCAAGCGCGACAAGTCTTGCCGGACCAGACCCACATGCCGGACGCGATGCCGATGGCCAGCGACAGGAAGATCCGCAGCAGGGCGATCTCGAGGCCGGCCGCTTTGAAGTTGTCCAGGTTAGCAGCGGCGGCGGCGACCGCGGACGAGGATCGGCCATCGTGGCAGTCGAGATCGTCGTCGTTGTCGCAGTCCACCGCGATCGTCGTCGTAGTCGTCGTGGTCTCCGCGGCGCGCCACTCGAGTCGCAGACGTGCCTCGCGATAGGTGCAGGCGAGCTGTCCCAGGGCGGGCAGGGCGTACACGACGGCAAATACTCCGAGGCGCGTCATCAGGCGCTCGAGCTTGGTCGCGCTGCGGCCGGCCTGGCGCACGGCCCGGCGCACCCGGACCAGAGCTGCGCCGGCCAGACCGCCGAGGCCGCAGCCGCACAGCAGGAGGGCGGCGTTGGGAAGGACCTCGAGCCACGGGGCCAGCTCGTCGCGCACCCGGCACAGGCCCGTCAGCTCGTCCGCCGAGATGTTGCGCGAGGCCAGGGTACCTGTTTCATTCGGCGAGAGAAAAAAAAAACGTGATTAGATGTTTTCTCGATTAAGTAATTTTCAATTGTATGGTTCATTCTTCGAAAATCTGCTGTTTTAGTGTTGCAATTAGACCGAAATAAACTTGTAAAATAAAAACTTGTAAAGGTCTTGAAGGATGTACCAACGGTACAGTCTAGTCAAAATCACAAGTGGGTCTAGAAAAAAATTCAAGACTTTTTTGTTTGTTTCAATTTTTTTGTTGAGTTCATACTCATCGAGATGAAAAATCATAAAGATTCATTGTTTGAAATGTTTTATATTTGAATCGTTCATATATGGTGAACAATCGATTTGCAGAAGTGCTCTTTTGTTTAAAGAACCATTAAACTCTAAAAAACGGGTTTCGGATTGAAAAATTTAAATTTTCATTTTCGCAATTTTTTTCAACGACTGCATGATAAACGACATCAAGCTTTCTAGACCACAATTAACTTTTCTATGATACATTTGATTGTATTAACATCGCAGCTAATTAATGATTGCCGATTTAAGATTAGCATTTTCGAAAATCAGCGAAAGAGAGAATTTTAAAGCTACACTCAAACTGCGAGGATTGAATTTTTTTGGCTTCTTTTTGCGAAAAAAAATGATCGCGACTGAAAGTATGCGGTAAGTTAAAAATTATTAAATTGAAGAAGATAAAAAGTTGGTAATATCATAAAATATTTTTTGATCCATGTCTTATACATGCAAATTTCTTATATATCTAAAAAATTGTTTAAAATCTAGCAAGCGTTGGCGAGCAAGGTCAGTGGCTAGTTTAAAATTAATAAGTCACGTACTTACACATGACTATAATTTCTACGAGTCAACTTCAAGTGCGTATCCATGAGCAAAAATATCATTTGATATAAAATAGTTAACCATATAATTATATCAAGTATGTATCACGACTGCTCTTAATAATCAGTATAATATATCAATAATATATCAATAATATATCAATATATACGAAAATATAATCATCAATAATATATCAATATATACGAAATCAAAAATTTCGTTTTTATAATTAATTTTATACAATTGTCGTTAATACAAAGAAGGCTCATACACGTCGCGAAAAAATGAATGAATATTAAAATTCTTTGTTATTATTTCAAAACCTTCACCTTCTAAATGCAATTTTTATGAAAATAAAATGCAAGCTTATTCTATAAGAGTGGTGATGGTTTAGTTACACCGTGATATTAACTGTTATATTGATCATTTCAATCGCATATCAATCGCAGGGTAAACATGAATTTACATCAATTAAGTGGTAATTTTTTAAAATTCGCATGAATTTTTATTTCAGACAAGATATAGCACATATATGCACAAAGAATTAGAATCTAGTTCAATCTTTTCGATAAATAAAAAAAAATGAAAATGATCAATAGAAAGATTTGCGAAAATATCCGTTTATATCAAGATGTTATTAAGTTGAGTGATTTTTATGTTGAAACTGGAAAAAAGAAGTATAATAATAAGAATAATAAGAATAACCAGAACGAAATTTTTAATCGTAATGACTTTGTTAACCTCGATGTTAAGTTTGGCAGGATTTTGGGTACTTTTATTAAAATTCTATAAACACTAGTATTTTTTACAGTGCTGGACATAAAACATTTTGTATTGGACAACTTTTTAAAAAACGTTGTTTGAAAAAATGTCTTGATATAATGCTTAGCGTGTTATTTTTTAGTTTGTGGTTGTACTCCCTTACGATAAATTGTATGCTTCAAAAATTGCCTTTGCAATGGTGACTGACATTATGATTCTGTTGTACTTAATTTATATAAGTGAAGATATAATAAATGCTTGTGACCAATTGAATAGAAACTGGTAATCAGATGACACAATTAACTATAATAAAATCAAAATAAAACTATATTCAAAATAATCTTTCAGTTACGGCGCCAAATGGTACTTATTCTCAGTAAAAGAAAGACGTTCGATTATTTTAATGATCCTCAGAACTGCAAATCCTTGCACTCTTACCTCTGGTCCTACGATTCTCATGAATTGCGAAACTTTTAGCGCAGTGAGTTATTCAATGTAAATGAATTAATTTTATAATTTCACGGACAAAAATTTGGATCGTGATTTTTTTATAGACTTTGAGAACGATACTATCTTATTTAATGGCTTTTTATCGCATTATGGATAAAAATCGGATCGGATTATGAACATTTTTAATATCTCAATTGATTGTAAATAGTCGTGCATACATTTTCATGTTAAAAATGAACTTAAAATACAATTCTTCTTCTATTAATCATTTATATTATTGGTTCTTGATACAAGAACCAATTTTCATATACATGATTGAATGTGCTTCGTTATGTAATGCTTCTGTTTTGATACTTTTTTTCGAAATATTCCTTTACAATTTCACCAGCATTGCAAAAAAGGTACTGCATACACTGTTAATCATATTTAATGCCGATTTAATGTAAATTCACTCATTAAAATTAGAATAACTAGTTCTGAATTTAATTTCGCCGGTGCTTATGAAAAAAACACAATGAAATGTGCTATGAAAAAAAACCATATGAAACACCGAGAAGAAAAACACTCTTCATCGATACGCCGTGAAGAAAAACACGTCTCATCGTAACGCCGTGAAGAAAAATATCTCTCTCAGAAGCTGAGGATTCGACTATTCATTGCCGTGTGGCACGGCACTGGAAGAGTTGATGTGAAATTCCTCTAATATATAAAATTATTAGCATACTTGGACTCATTGTAAATTCGAACTTGCATCTGAACAATAATTCAGTATGGTTTTTTCAGTATTAATTTTCTTTCTTTTATTTTTTGTAAAAATATTTGACGCTTCTTGACAAAGATTTGGCAATTTTTGTCCAAATAATTAATTGATAATTTGTAAATGTGATTAGTTGATTTGATTATAAATAAAAACACTGTACTTGGTTTACTTACTAAGAGACTTTCTTTCGAGGCGTTTCAATGGTCAGAAAAGGGCCAGATCTCCGCGATACAGATAAAAGACACGTATTTTTTTTCTATAATATAGTCCTAACAACACTCATTGAGCGGCGTTTTTTTCACAGTATTTTAATTGGACATTTTTTCTTTGAGGCGTTTAGAAGAGACGTGTTTTTCTTCACTGCATATCGATGAAGAGTGTTTTTCTTCACGGCGCATCGATGAAGAGTGTTTTTCATTACGGCATATCGATGAAGAGTATTTTTCTTCACGGCGTTTCATTGTCATATGTTTTTGTTTGTGGTGTTTTACTTATGCTGATAAAAATGTTATTCATAAGCACCGGCGATTTATGGTTTTTTTAAATAAAATCTTTGTTGAAAATTAATGTAAAAGTACTGATTTATGTTTTTACAAAAATTGCACTGCAAGTGCATTAAAATGCAATCATTACACTTTATTGTTTTATGTAAAAATAAACAGAATAAGTAATAGTATAAATAGTAATAGTTTAGTAATAGTAATTCTGCCCTAGGCCGGGAAAAACAGATATGTCGCAAGGCACGTGAAACTTATACGGGTACTGCGGCTTTCTTTTTTCCCGGTATAGGCCTGTATACTATTTTTCATACACAGTGGCCCGAAAATCGCTCTTCCTGCTTTGCGCAGCGGCAGGGAAGTAGTCACTTTCGGGCCGCTGGTATGAAAAATCGTATACTGGCCTATACCGGGAAAAAAGAAAGCCTCAGTGCACGTGCTAATCGACCTCGGCTTCGCTTAGTTTGCTTATTTCACGTGCCCTGGGACTTTTCTATTTTTTCCCGGCCTAGGGCAGTAATATACTATTTATAATTAAAAACATAGTTTCGTAACACCTGTAAGTATTGTGTATAAATTTGACTGCCTTCAACATTCGTAAAAAAAATTTTTATTCTATAAAATATTTTTTGCTGCATGTTTTACATTTTTCATGAATTTGAGCAATTTTATCAAAATCAGCAAGTGTTACTGAGCGAGGTATTTTTTTTTGTTTAAAATTAATATGACATGTGTTTACACATGACTATAATGTCTATAGGACTATAGGTCAACTTTGCTATTAATTGTATATTATTGTCGTTAATTCAAGAAAAGCTCTCGCGAAGCACAAAAAAATATTTGAATAATAGAATTCTTTGTTCTTATTTTAAAACCTTTCCCCTCAAAATGAATTTTGTATAAAAGTAAATTGTTGTATAAGTTTATTTTTTCTAATTGTTTTCTTTTAAATAAATTTTTTTCTTAACTAATTTTTTTATAATTTTTTTTTATACTTTGCCGGCTAGGTGCTGCCGCACCTCTTGATGTGCAATTTTCAAATTCAGTTTAAATTTTATTTATGAATAGGTTGTTGTGAAATTGCTGAGATTCAACGACATCCATAATCAAAAAAAAATTTAATTCATTTTGATAATACAAAAATGAGTTACTATATTAATCTTTTGATTTCCGAAAAAAATTATTCACCACCAGCGACGATTAATTATATGTCCACTGTCAGTCGATGGATTCTGATTTCTCCAGACATGAATGAAATTATGCGAAAATTTGGAATATTAATGGTTATCAGCTTTGTTGGATTTGCATTGTTTAGTATGGTATCTATAAATGTAATTTTTAATACAAGATCTTTAAAGCATAAATCATTGCTATATATATATTTTTTAATTAATTTACACACTATACATATAGTGTCGTACGTGTGCGTTAAAAAATTGTCTGAAAATATTTTTTAATGTCAACTGCAAAATACTTCAACAAAATTTTCGTAAGTGACTATGAAGTTTTTTTGACTTTTTAACGATAAACTTTAAAAAGATTCGCAGAAAGTAGTATTTAAAATTGGTCGATTCAGAATGTGTGCACGCACTATTTCTCAAATTCTATAATACGATAATAAAAAAAATTATGAAATTTCGTTCTAGGCGCAAGTACTTATACTTGGAGTTATTGAAGGAACTATGAATAGTTATATTGCATTTGA